GGCATTCCGCGTTGTTTCTTTCTGCATGCTGCCGCCAGCTGGAATTTTTCCAGGGGGAAAACGTATTTCATAGCCACCTGGCTTCACGCAGTGGCGGAAGGCCGACGCCGTAACTCCAGTCGAGGCCACGGCTGAGCTTAGAGTTTTTCTTTCCTTACTCGGACTTCCTTAGGACTTTTGATTCCTTAGGATGTAACAAAACGCGTTAGTCCTACTTTAATGTCGAACTCTTCCGATGCTCCCAAATGTGGAGTCCATCAGACCCCCCAGACTCTTCGAGGAAGGTTCGACCCCGAAATCTGGATTCTGGCGACGAGGAAAAGAATTCAAATCGCTTCGAGTCCGAGACCGATCTCAAAAACTGGAGTTCGGTTTCGATTCTCGTCGCAGTTACGGTTGGGATTTCGTCGTGGGAGCAGTCGATACGAGCGGAGTGGAACTCGAGTCGGACGAAAGATCCGAACGGGAACCAGGACCGAGCTACAACTCGACTGTCGTTCTCGAATCGTTCCCAAACGAAGACGTTCGTTTGTCGGGGAAAAGACGAAGGTTTAACGGAGACGATGGTCTTCTGCGTCGACCGAGGAGGCCCTGGCGCACCCGGATCTCCCCATCGTGCACCCAAATCTGGAAGTCGTCACGCGGAAGCAGACGATCGGAGCTCGCCGTGAAGCTAATGGGGTGGGGGGTGGGGGGTGGGGGAGGGGGAGGGGGAGGGAAAGGATCGCGGTATGCGTCGTTCCGAGCCGATTCCGCGAAGGAAGAGGTAAGGATCGCGATGTGCACCGTTCCGAGCCGATCCACGTGGGAGGGTGGGGGGAACCGACGATGGGGGAATGGGTGATGGGTGGTCCGAATCACGGAAGCGGCAAATCGCGGGCTCTCTTTCGCACTCGGAAGGCCGAAGGAGATTCTTTCATTTTGATTGTTGCCGAATTTGAAGGGGAAGGGGGAGGGGGTTCGAGCAAGAATTCACGGACGTTCTGCGGTCGTACCAGGAACTTCGCGTCTCTAAAGATTCCTATCGAGAAAGGAAAGGGTAACCGAGCTCGAATGCTTCGACGCGATTCGCGCAGCCTGCACAATAGAATCGATTCAGAGTCTATTGTGAATTGTGACTCGAAGCGAAGAAGAGGGAATCGGTCGCGAGGCGTCTCGATCTCGGGGATCCGTCGCATCGCGGGTATGGAGTTTCCGTTCCACACTCGGTCTAAGGATGGGGTCGGGGGAAAGTGGATTCGTTTTATTTGCCGGGCGGAGACGATCTCGCTCGGTCGAACGAGAAACGATTCGGGATCTCGGGGACGAAGAGACGAGGAGACGACGGAAGGCATTCGAATGTTCTTCCAAAGGTCGAAACGACTCGTTATGCATGCCATTTTTATACGCCTCGAGTGAGAACGTCGGCGCCACGAGGGGGAAGCGATAGGGAGAGAGAATTTCATCCCGCGATCCGGAATCCTCTTTGAGAGGAGCCGACGAGAAACGTCGCGCCGTCATTAAATTTAGATTTCGCAACCGATGACGATCTGGCGCCGGATGTTGCTTCAGATAAAACGGGGGACGAGCATCGTGGCGCGATCGCGAGGGATGTCGAACGGGCGATGCGCGACGACGAGTCGACCGACGATTCGTACGAGTCCATGGGACGAAGGGTGGGGACGAAGGGACGAAGGGAGACGTCGGGGTCGGAACGAGGTGATGAAAATGAGTTTATTGGGCGGGAGCGGCGGGTCGTCGATGCCGGAAGACGATCCCTTCCGCTTTTTATCGACTGGCCGGCGGCGGGAGTCCGCATTCCACCGGCCCCCGGAAGTAGGATAAGACGGAGGTCGGCGATACGGGGTGGGGGGTGGTTGGGGGGGGGATTCCAGGGTCGCGGTTGGGGGAGTCCGGAGACGCGATACGCCGGTTCCTCGAGGATCACGGAGGCACAACTGGGACGTACGGAGATTTCCTCGCTTTCGATGACGCATCTGCGACGAATGAGGTCACCGAGGCGAGGATACAGTCATCGCTGAGATCTGTCGTCGGACTGGAACGACGGGAAAGAAGGGGACGACGGGAAAAAGGGGATGCGTGCAGTGGAAAAGGTCGAGGAACCCCGACGGGTTTCCGCCTCGCCTTCTCGAGGGACGAAGGGGATTCTCATCGCCGCGATCGTCGTCGTCCGTCTCGGCGTTTCCGGTGGGGAAGGATCCAAAATTTAACGAAGATCGTATCGATCTTTAAACGATCCTCGGAGACCCGTTTTTCACCGCCGCGGCCGGTGTTCGATGATCGTTGCCGCACGGCCACTCGCGCGACCCGCGAATTTCACCTGCTGGAAACGGTTCGTTTTCTCGAATCGCTTAAAATGACATTTTTACGGTCTCGAGAGCCAAGATTCGGACCGAGACTCCGAGTCCGTCGCGCTCGTGTCCCCGAGTTCATCCTAATCCTCTTCGGTAATCTCGGATCGACTCGTCCCTCTTGAGATAAATGTCGGTGGAGAGTGTCGATCTACCGTCGAGAAGCAAGACCGCTCCCTTTTCTCTCCGAGAAACGTTTCTCGGCATTTCCTTTCCCATCGCCCGTCGCGGTGCCTCTTCCCTATCCTCACCCTTACCCTCACTCTTGGCTTTACCCTCACCCTTACCCTCATCCTCACCCTCACCCTCTCGTGGGTCTTTCCCAAATGCCACCGGTTGACATTCTCCAGTCTCGTCTCGTCGCCATGCCTGAAGGATGAGACCCGCAAAAATGCGGTCTGGCACCCCCCTCCCCCCCCCCTCCCCCCACTTCTCGCGTGGGTGGAACTCACACCGTCGCACTCCCGAGTCTCCCCCCTTGCCAGTTCCGTCGTTTTTTTTTTCGGTGTTACGTGATTCCTACCGACATCCGCGACGTGGATCCTTCCGCTTCTAAACGACGCGTCGAGAAAATACATATATCGAACTTCCGAAATTTCTTTTCTTCGCAACTAACTGATAATTTGTACGTGTTGCATCCAGCCGAGTAGAAACCTTCCTCGATTGCGAATCCGATCGAGGTAGGAAGGATAATGCACTTTTGGTAAGGCTGTATAGTTCTTTTTACAAATTTAACAGACCCGGTAGCGAATTTCACGAGTTGGAGGGAGACCTTTGCCCTTTACCGTGCCAAAGGTTCTCCTTGAGACCGTTGATTTTCTCCTACGAGAATCCTCGTGCATTCGGATGTTGAGACGCGTCCCTCTGAGTCTCCTTTTCGCCGCATATTAGAAATGATACCCGATCGAACAAGTTCTTTTAGCACATTCGACAAGGATTTGGAAATTCTTTTGGGATGTCGGTGGGAAACCGTTCCAAAAAGCAGACCAGAAGCTTTCTTTTTCGTTTCGGTTCCGAGAAGCAGAGAAATACGAATCTTTGAATCCGAGTGAAACTTCCCCGTTGTTCATACGCGTACCCGAAATATCGGTAAGGAAAGATCGGTAGAGAAAGTCGGGTTCGCGTGAGGGAAACCTCATGCTTCCCGAGTGAGGGAAACCTCATGCTTCGCGAGTGAGGGAAACCTCATGCTTCCCGAGTGAGGGGACAATTCAAGCGGGACTCACGCATACCTCTAGCACGATTGCATTCCTTGAAATGTGATCTAATGCGACCGAACGACACGGGCTCGTTTTACTCCCACTGGCGCCGGGAATCCCTTCGGCACGTGTAGATGCAAGCATACGCGTTTGCAGAGAAGTCCGTCCTTTACTCGTGCGCCAAAATACGTCGCCTGAGAGACGGTGGAAGTGTATATACAGGGTGGTCCACGATCGTCTCCCCAAAAGTAAAAGCTTATCGCTCGGGAAGTATACATCCGATTTCAACGATAAATGACTCAAACGATAGTCGATTCGATATATTTGTATGGTGGAAAATTTCAGCATTACATAAGAAACTCGAACAAAGTTACATCCTTACAAATAAAAGCCGCCAAATCATTAGTGTTCAATATGACTTGCACAATTTTGAATGACTTGGTGCAGTCTCTCTTCGAATGCCAGCAGAATTCTTTCGATCATCTCCAATGGCCTGTTTCGGCATAGGTTGTCATAGGTCCGCCGATGCATATCTTCAGGTTTTAGAAACCTCTCATGAATTGCCTTCGTGATCTGATCTAATGCGACCAAACATTTTGACATTTGGCATTTGGACCCAAACGGAAGAAATTTCCAAAATTTTCCCGCACAAATTTGCTCTCTTCAAATAATAAAATCATATGGCAATATTCGTATTCTGCAGGATACTGAGGTCACAAATTGCACAGACAAACCCTCGCGATGCATGAAAAACCCGCGAATGAATTGGCGAAGTCCAGAAGGGATTGTGATATTTACAGGCACGATATGGGTACTTTCATTGTCATGATGTAACTTTGTTCAATTTTTTTATGGAATGCTGAGATTTCCAAAATAAAAATATATTGGGTCGTATATAATTGAAATCGGATGCATACTTCCCGAGTAATGAGCTTCTACTTTTGGGGAGACAATTGTGGACCACCCTGTACATCGGTGCCACACCCTGAAGTATACACGATATATTAGCGTCATCACTATTAAATCTTTGGATTAATTAAATACTGGGTGTTCCATTTAAAACCGAACCCAAACGTTAATCACGTAACACTCCCTTCTTTATTGAAACCCTTCACCCAACTGATACCCTCTATTACGACAGCCAAGGTCACCCGCCTAGTTATAAATAACAGCGTTGCCACGACAGTTTGCATATCACCAACCGTGTTGCCAACATAATATACCTCTTATATACTATTCCTTCAACAACGTAATGGGTTCGGTTTTAAATGGAACACCCTGCACTTGAATTTTTTCCTGACCTTGCGAGTTCCTTTCTTGTCTTCGGCTGCTTGCGCAAGTATGCAAGGCCCGTATCTTCGTCAAAATTAACTGCCATGATGAATTTGATCAGTCCTTGGATGCCGAATGGGTTCTGGAATTAATACCACATCGTCTCGTATCATTTCGTATGAAGGAGAGGCAGCCGAGGAAATTTGTCTTCGGAAGCAAAATTGACGTCAGCAAGACGAACATGGCCGCCTCTAGTGTCGCAGGGGGGTCTGGCACTTTCATTGGTTTTGATTTCAGCACTCAGCAAATCAAGGCCGTTGTCATCGACGATAGACTCAATGTTGTCCAAGAAGCCCACGTTCAACTCGACAGTGACCTCCCTGAATACAGGTATTTATGAAACGAAACCGACTAAATTGCAGAGTTAGCTTGAGAATTTCATATAATAAATAGAATTGTATAAACAGTCTTTCTATATCCTGCATGGAAATGAACATTTCAGTGTAGGATATCTTTGTGAATCATGTGAGTTCACTTCCTTGGTCTATGTGTATTTGAGCAGCCCAGGCTATGTGCTAGAAAAAGCTACTCACCTGAGCAGAAACCCAGTTTGGATTGATGCCTGACAGAAAAGGGTAGACTACCCAGATATGGAGTATCAAAGTGGATGCTTGCCTTGAATACATCGTACTAGAATACTAAAGGTAGCCTGGAGCCAGTAGACACTTGTCTAAGAGGCAAAACAGAGACATAGGTCTGTTCATAGGCATGACCTTTTAAAGTTTTTCATTCATGTAATTCCTGGTCTGTTAGAAGAATTTCATTTGCATGCTAAGCTAATTATGTGAGTTGTTCTTTATGACACCTTAGTCTTTTACAAGTTTTTCAATTGAATGCAACTCATTTTTGGCTTATTAACATCCACCTGCAGGAAAGTCGTGTGTTTATTGCAGTTAATGTACTAAGCTCAAGTTAAATGAGCAGTATATCAGTGCTGTGGTACTTTTTTGTTTCATCACATTTTCAGAACCCATGGGGGCGTTTATATACACGAAGACAGAAAGACTGTCACGTCACCTACCATCATGTGGGTGAAAGGTCTGGACATGTTGATGGATCGCCTGAGGGTCAAGGGTGTTGATATTTCTGCCATTAAAGGACTCTCTGGTACTGCACAAGTAAGGGCACCCTACCCTGTAGATGTCTAATCAATTTACATGTGAGAATTTCATGTGAAATTTCTTGCTTCTAAATGAAGAGCTAAAGGGTAGGCTCAGAATAAATATGCTGTCTAATGTAATGTTATCATTAAATTTGTATTCTAAGTCTGTGAACCTGTTTCATTGATTGATTCAACCTATGTTGGACAGCAACATGGCACTGTATACTGGAAGAAAGGTGCCAGAGATCTTCTCAAGTCACTTGATCCAGACCGTTACTTACACGAACAGCTCTTTGATGCCTTTGCTATTCGAGAATCTCCCATCTGGATGGATTCCAGCACAACTGCTTTCTGCAAGGAGTTTGAGGAGAAATTAGGATCCCCTCAGGTGAGATGAAGCTATGAATCTGGATCTTCTTTTGAAGATGTTTTAGATTTGGCTGATCTTATTTTGCAACAGCTTTTGTTGTTCTATTGAGAGCAGAGAGTAGCTGATATCACTGGTGCAAGGGCATTTGAGAGAGCCTCTGGAATGCAGATTGGAAAAATATACCACACAATGCCAGATGCATATATGGCAACTGAGGTATGTGGAGATGTTAACTTTCTACCATGGGATAGTACTCATATTTCTCTCCACATCTTCATTACTAGTCTGGTCTCAAAGTTCCATTTCAGCAGTTGCAGTTCCCATCCATATTTAAAGATCAGACTTCATATTGTTTGCATGGAACACAGAGACAGAGACCCCAAAAAACAGTACTTTTACATCTGCAGGCTGCTTTAATAAGCTGGTGTACACTTCAATTTTTTAAATATATATTTTGTAGAATTATTCAGCTTTCAATCATGATGTATGGACACAGGTTTTAGCTTCAGTTGGGGAGAAGAAAACTGGAAGGAGGGGGGATTCTAGCTGGTCTTCATTCATGAACCTGTCCAGTTTCAGATATTTCCTAGTTAGAACCCTGAGTTCTGTATGTATTAGGGGCACAGGAAGTAGGTCAGGTGAGAAGAGTTGAGCATATAGGATAAAAGTTAAAAAGTAATTTTCTGCTGTTATTCTGAACTTGGGTTAACAGAGTTTCTTTTTCTCCAAGTTTTTGAAGAGGGGGGATGTGCAGTCAGAGTGGGTTTGCAGAAGCATTAATGATGTTACTACTATATGTTCCGCTGTTTCCTTCATGCTGCATGTAGAATGCTGAAAACACCTATAACCTTGTGATAACATGGAATTATCTTCATCATATACCACCAGAGTCTCTGATGTTAAAGGAATGGCTTGACAAGTATGCAAACCCATGTGATCTCTAGACATCACAGTGATTCAAAAGTTGTTCATACTTTGGCATTTCATTTTAAAGTATAGTAGCTGTGCCCATTTACAAAATAGTTGCCCACTTTGAGGATGATTTTTTCCTATGTGAGAGTGATTTATCCCATGGCAAATCAGTTGAAACAGTGATTATACTAATCCATGAATGGTTTTGATAATAATAACAATAATAATGGTAGAGGATTGAGCTCTTTTTTTTTTATCAATCAGCTTGCCTATATTTTTGCTTTGTATTTGTTTGTAATCTCCCTTGATTCTGAGAGGAGGTTTTATTTTTGATATGTGGACTGTTTGAACTTTAAGTGTCTTGTCTTGCTATTTTACTTGGTTAGTTTTATAATTGTTTGGTTTGTCTCATTTTCATTTTTCCTTCTATCCCTGTGTGCTACTTGTCTTGAAGAGGATATCTCTGGTGAGCAGTTTTGCTTGCTCATTATTCCTTGGGGACTATGCACCGATTGATACTGGTGATGGAAGTGGAATGAACCTCCTCGACATCCATCAGAAAGATTGGTCAGCTGAATGCCTTGATGTGAGTTCATTCTCTGATTTGTCTAACTGCTCACATGACTGAATTATAGAGAGACTGACTGTGGCTGTCTTTGTTTAAGGCAGTGGCTCCTGATCTGAGGGAGAAGCTAGGTGAAGTTGAGTATGCCAGCAAGTGTTTGGGACACATTGCCCCTTACTTTGTGGAAAGATACAGTTTTGATCCACAGTGTAAGGTGATCACTTTCACTGGCGATAATTTGTCTTCCTTGGCAGGTGAGGATAGCTCTAATGGGGTCCACTACTCCCATTACATGCCAGTGATAAAATTAACTAAAATTTTATACAATTTGTTGAGAAACTACACAAAAAATAAAATAATTTTATTGTGCAGCTATCAGATCTCAGTGCAATATATACTATGTTATTCCTATGTTTAGTGATTATCCTAGGTTAATAAACAGACAAGTGATATACTCCTATATTCAATGTAAAACATCACTTTACCACAATCATATAAGATAATGTCTGCAAAAGGAATACTCTGGAGCATAGCTCGCTCAGCTTGCAAAGGCATGATAGACTGGTTTCCAAAATCTAAGGAACAAATAGATTTTCCCAAGTTCTGCAACACCCCCATCGTGAAAATGGTTGAAACATACAGGAGTGTGCAAATTAACAATGCTACATTGCGATAGCACCTGCAATGTGGTGGAGATCACCTGCTGATTTGCAAATAGCATCTTTGAAAGACAGCACTCCAAGAGGGGTAGCACAGTTCATGTTTTGATGGCAAGCAGTTAATTTCAAGATAGCTGAATCTTGAAAATGACTGAAAGGAATCATCTAACAGAGCCATTGAGATGGTGCACCATTGTGCCTTCCAGATTGCAATCGTATGTGGGGATCGTCTGGCAGACATCCAACAACACATTTATGACTAGTTTATCCCCAACATTCACATGGTGTTTGTCATACCACAAATTTTAAATGCATTCCTTAAGTCTTGGAAACCAGTGTATATTAAGTAGAGATGCAATGATATTGAATTTTGGCCGATATCCAATATACTGATAATTCCAATATTGGAAAAGAACCAATACTAATATTGATTTCTATATCTAAATTTATATTCACACATTCAGGCATTAACCCCTCCACTGTTAAGGTTTACTTGGGACCAGGTCTGATGGGGAAAGTTTGAGGTGCACCAGTGGTGCACCTCAAACATGCTTATGCCATTTCTACATAGTGAGAATAAATGTTTTGTTCATGCTGAAGCCAGGCTCTTAAATGTGGATTTTATATATTATATTGTATTTGCATCAGGCCTTTTTTCTTTACTGTGTTCCATCATAGAACTTGCAAGGTGGTACAGCAATTACTCTCTATTTTTTCCAAGTTGGACTCAGTTAAGAAAATGTCAAGTACGTCAAAGTTCCCTCGTATTCTCCAATGGACACCCAGAGGGACATGACTGACAGATTGTTAACACATCGTCAGATAATTTGCCATGCAGATGAAATGCAAGTATAACTTTTTCAGGAAAATTTATAAGGTTATTAATCATATTTATTATATTGCAGAAGTATTTTATATACAGGGTGTCCCATTTATATCTGACACATTTATTTTTGTAGTAAATCAGGACTGAACACAGTAATGCAAGCTGTTATTATATCCAAATAAAGTACAAACATGGGAGATTGTCACACTAACTATCACAGGTCTACATCTTAAAATTTAAGCTCTTTAAATGCTATCTTTCACAATTGATGCATTCCTTGCATCGACCCACTACATTGCTCATTACTCTAATCAGTGTGTCGTCACCAATAGCATCGATGGATTTATTAATAATGATTTAAAGTTCATTTCTACTTCTGGGATGTGTCTTGTCAGCTTAGCTCCTCAATAATCCCAACAAATTTTTGTCAAAAGTTTGGGGGAAGGATAATTTCTGGGTTCAGCGGGACGTATTGACAACCACAGAGATTGGCCTCTGGTGTTGCACCATTGACGCCATGGCCATCAGTAGGATTGCAAGCTGTCGATGCCGAAGCCTGAAGGAGGGCAAAAATGAAAAAAAAAACTACGTGAGTGTGTGAACGTGGTTTGGTGCCGGCCCTCCTGTCTCGCTGAAAGCCTCACCTGCTGCCCTCTTCCAGAAAGTTATATCGATTGGATTATACAGGAAGTCCTCGATTTACGTCGTTTCGATATAACGTCGCAAAAATATTTCCATATGCGATGCGTCGTTCCGATACAACGTCATAAAGCGAGGACATCCTGGATAACGTTTAGTCCATGGGAAAATAGGTTTCGTTTTACGTAGTGTTTTCCGGGAACGCATCCACGACGTAAATCGAGGACTTGCAGTATTTTAGCCAGATTGTAGGAACTGGTGGAGAAAATAGCGGTTAAGAACGTGAAATCATTGCACTTCCTTTTATGCTGTGCATTAGCGAGTGGTGTCGTTTTGCGCTCTTAGCAGCAATAGGTAACCAGCTAATCACTGACGGACGCACACAGGCTGGAAAGGTCTAAAAGTGGTCTCTATCGTCTTCAGGAGACTCATTGATAAGTATCGCAAGGCTTCCAAATAGGCTTATTTGAATTCGTCTGCGATTTCATGCTACTTTCTCAATCTATAGAGTATAGACCAGGGGTGTCAAACTCGATTAGACTGGGGGCCGGATGGAAGCCTTCAGGGGTGATTAGGGGCCACAACAAAAACGTAGCACCTTATCTTTAATACAAACAGGCTGAAATTTGAAGTTTGTTTCCGTAAACAGCTGTGGAAGAGGACTTAGCGGGCCGGACAAAATGGACTGACGGGCCGCCAGTTTGACACGCCTTGTATAGACCATAATCAGTTCCGGCTCCGACACCGGTCGATGGGTATGAGTTCAAAATGCGCCATCAGTGTACCGGCCAAATGTGGCCATCGGCACAGCCCTAACATGAATATAAAGATGATAAAATTCTTGAAAATCGGTGGTTCCAAATGGAACCTGTGGGCACGAAAGAGTTTAAATCAGAATATTGTCTAGTGATTTTTTAAACCTAAGTTTTGGGATCCATCTAGGCCTGGGTTCTTCACGCGAACACACACTATTTTTATTTTCGCAAAAACACGGAGTAGGCTCTGATAGTGGCATTAGGCCGAGTTAAGTTGGGAGGTTGAGGAACCGCGGAAGTGAAGGTCGAACCCAGGTGGCATATCCCCAGATTATTATGGCAGTTGAACCAAGCGCGAAATGATTTTAGACTTCTATCGCAGTCGATTATACCTGCAATCACGTGCTTGCAACAGGTCGCAAGTTGTCACTGGGAGACACTGACTGTCAAATAGGGGTGAAGCCTCAGTGCCTTGGGGCCACTCCCAATCCAAAGGAGAAATATGCTTACATTTTCAGCAGCCCAATACTTCTTTTTTTTTTTTGTAAAGAAAACATGTCATTTAGGCATTTTCAACCTTCAGTAGTGTTTTTCACTTGACTTCAACACTCATGCATGAGGAACGTCTCATGAACGTGTGTTCAAGTCAAGTGAAATGTTGNAGTAAATCAGGACTGAACACAGTAATGCAAGCTGTTATTATATTCAAATAAAGTACAAACATGGGAGATTGTCACACTAACTATCACAGGTCTACATCTTAAAGTTTAAGCTCTTTAAATGCTATCTTTCACAATTGATGCATTCCTTGCATCGATCCACTACATTGCTCATTACTCTAATCAGTGTGTCGTCACCAATAGCATCGATGGATTTATTAATAATGATTTAAAGTTCATTTCTACTTCTGGGATGTGTCTTGTCAGCTTAGCTCCTCAATAATCCCAACAAATTTTTGTCAAAAGTTTGGGGGAAGGATAATTTCTGGGTTCAGCGGGACGTATTGACAACCACAGAGATTGGCCTCTGGTGTTGCACCATTGACGCCATGGCCATCAGTAGGATTGCAAGCTGTCGATGCCGAAGCCTGAAGGAGGGCAAAAATGAAAAAAAAAACTACGTGAGTGTGTGAACGTGGTTTGGTGCCGGCCCTCCTGTCTCGCTGAAAGCCTCACCTGCTGCCCTCTTCCAGAAAGTTATATCGATTGGATTATACAGGAAGTCCTCGATTTACGTCGTTTCGATATAACGTCGCAAAAATATTTCCATATGCGATGCGTCGTTCCGATACAACGTCATAAAGCGAGGACATCCTGGATAACGTTTAGTCCATGGGAAAATAGGTTTCGTTTTACGTAGTGTTTTCCGGGAACGCATCCACGACGTAAATCGAGGACTTGCAGTATTTTAGCCAGATTGTAGGAACTGGTGGAGTAAAATAGCGGTTAAGAACGTGAAATCATTGCACTTCCTTTTATGCTGTGCATTAGCGAGTGGTGTCGTTTTGCGCTCTTAGCAGCAATAGGTAACCAGCTAATCACTGACGGACGCAGACAGGCTGGAAAGGTCTAAAAGTGGTCCCTATCGTCTTCAGGAGACTCATTGATAAGTATCGCAAGGCTTCCAAATAGGCTTATTTGAATTTGTCTGCGATTTCATGTTACTTTCTCAATCTACTCGTATAGAGTATAGACCAGGGTTATCAAACTCGATTAGACTGGGGGCCGGATGGAAGCCTTCAGGGGTGATTAGGGGCCACAACAAAAACGTAGCACCTTATCTTTAATACAAATGGCTGAAATTTGAAGTTTGTTTCCGTAAACAGCTGTGGAAGAGGACTTAGCGGGCCGGACAAAATGGACTGGCCAGTTTGACACGCCTTGTATAGACCATAATCAGCTCCGGCTCCGACACCGGTCGATGGGTATGAGTTCAAAATGCGCCATCAGTCTACCCGCCAAATGTGGCCATCGGCACAGCCCTAACATGAATATAAAGATGATAAAATTATTGAAAATCGGTGGTTCCAAATAGAACCTGTGGGCACGAAAGAGTTTAAATCAGAATATTGTCTAATGATTTTTTAAACCTAAGTTTTGGGATCCATCTAGGCCTGGGTTCTTCACGCGAACACAAACTATTTTTATTTTCGCAAAAACACGGAGTAGGCTCTGATAGTGGCATTAGGCCGAGTTAAGTTGGGAGGTTGAGGAACCGCGGAAGTGAAGGTCGAACCCAGGTGGCATATCTCCAGATTATTATGGCAGTTGAACCAAGCGCGAAATGATTTTAGACTTCTATCGCAGTCGATTATGCCTGCAATCACGTGCTTGCAACAGGTCGCAAGTTGTCACTGGGAGACACTGACTGTCAAATAGGGGTGAAGCCTCAGTGCCTTGGGGCCACTCCCAATCCAAAGGAGAAAAATGCTTACATTTTCAGCAGCCCAATACTTCTTTTTTTTTTGTAAAGAAAACATGTCATTTAGGCATTTTCAACCTTCAGTAGTGTTTTTCACTTGACTTCAACACTCATGCATGAGGAACGTCTCATGAACGTGTGTTCAAGTCAAGTGAAATGTTGTCTAACTCAAGTGAAAGAACTAATGAGGGAAATGAGAGAACATTCATCATTCACTTTACATCGGCAGGTCAAATATCGTTTTGGGCCGATATATAGGTTTACCCCAATATCGGCTAAACCGATAATCGATCAAATATCGTCGCATCTCTAATATTAAGTAGCATCCTATGCTACCCTTGAGCACATGGTCCACACCTTTTCATTATTGAAAAAAAGGAAAAAGTGATAGAGTGTCACTTTGTCAGAATGTCTCACTCTTATTTTGAATATCTTGTGCCAAGTGGTATGTTATTCATAATAGTGAAGTTAGTCTATCTGCAGATGCTGTATGTCTTTCCTTGATTCTTGCTTTTTTTTTTATTTTGGATGCATTATCTCACACTGTTCTTGCTTTTTTTTTAGCACATAGTCTTTTGGCTTTCTAGTTTCCATTGCTTCTTCCTTAAGCTGACTTGGCATTTTTCATAGGAATTTGCTTGAAGGACCATGATGTAGCAGTGAGTCTGGGAACAAGTGATGTTGTATTTGCATGTGTATCAGACCCTCAGCCAGCTCTTGAGGGGAATCTCTTCTGCAGTCCCATTAACACTGATGGCTACATGCTCCTTCTTTGGTTTGTGCTGCTTTTCTCATGTATAAAATCCTCCATTCTGTACTGTAAGTTATCTATTTATATTTTGTTCCTTCAGTTACAAGAATGGTTCATTGACTCGTGAAAGGATCAGGGATAAATTTGCTGAAGGTTCCTGGGACATTTTTACAAAATTGCTTGAGAGTATTCCAAGAGGAAACTTTGGAAACATTGGTCTGTCTCTAGTTCATATATTTCTTATGTGTAGTGTCTTTCACAACAAATGCTGTAATGCTATGACAATTAATGCAGGGATGTACTGGGATAAGGAGGAGATTGTTCCTCCATTGGTGAAAGGTGACTTTCGTTTCAACAAGGCTGACCTTCCTGCTGCTTCTGGTTCCTTCCCTGCCCCAGAAATGGAAATTCGGGCCCTTGTTGAGGGACAGTTTCTTTCCAAGAGACTTCATTGCCAGAGGCTGGGTTTCACAATCAGTAAATCCTTCTATTCTCCCACACTTTCATACATTGCATAAATGCAGTCAAATGACAGTCCCCTTGTCATCCAGGTCCTTCGACAAGAATTCTGGCTACAGGTGGTGCCAGCAAGAACACTGCCATCCTTCAGGTTTTGGCTGATGTCTTCAATGCCCCTGTGTATGTGCAAGGACTTCCCAATTCAGCCTGTCTTGGAGCTGCCTTCAGGGCAAAGCATGTAGCAACTGAATCTCATCTACCATATCATGAATCTGTCACTTCCCCTGGTTTCCAGCTCATTTGCGAGCCTAATGGAGATGCTCAGCAGGTAGCCTGAAGCTTTTTGTCCCACTTTATTAAGAATTGAACTAAATATGGAAAAAAGACCTAATCTGGAATGTACATGTACTCATATTCTGTATTGCAGGTTTATGATGAATTGTTGAAGAGGTATGAAGAACTGGAGGATGGAATTGCAGCAAGGTTCAGTCAAGCATCTTGAGTAGTTTACAGTTTCCACATGCTGATCCATGACATCATCACGAGCTAGCTTGATGTGGTGTGAGAACCCCTCTAATGCACTTGCATACTCGCAGCACCTGTGATTTGCATAATTGGATTATATTTTGTCACTACCATTTTTATGATATTGATCCTGTTATAGGTGGCTTTGCATAATCACCATTCCTTGCTCACTTCCAGAATGGGATATTACACTATAATATCAGGTGAAGCTAAAATGAAGTATCATGAGAAAAAGCTGAATCTGAGTATGCACAGTCATGCAAACCATAGTAAATTTGCTGCTAAGCTAATTGTGTTATATGATGATGTTGCTGTGCCCATCTCATAATTTTCACTGCAAAGTGCAAAGAATCATAGTAATTCTGCCAAAGTTGGTCTATGCCCAAATACTACAGTGGTGTATGCCTTGGAAGCTCTTTGAATACTTTTTTTCAGATTTATCCTTCATCAAATTTAAAATTCCTTTATTCCTCAAGGCATTGTTCAAGTATTGGTGTGCATTTACAGTTATTTCATGTTCCATTAGACTTTCCTCTCACAAATACTGCATTCAGCTGTATGGTATGCCTATATCAGTCTGCCAGCTCCTTGCACACTTCTTGAATGAGAAAAATCCATCCACTTTCCCTTTACTTGTCATATTGGGGAAAGGGATGCACTTTCATTTTAGAGGTTTCCCTCTTGAATTGGTGCTCCCCTAAACAGCCGAGGTGTAACAAAATGAAGAATCCCACAAGAAATGAGAATGGTGATACAATGGAAGAGTTGCAAGGGAAGCACAAGAAACATCAATAGGTCAGCCAGACTCTAAGACTGCTTAGAAAATGATAAGAGTAAGTAACCAGCTGGACACAGCACTCAAAGTCCTTTGCAACTTCTTTATTAGGTTCATAGGACTGTGCCTACTCAAGAGTTCATTTGTCTCCTCATGAGCCTTGTGCTACCTAGGTGTCCTTTAAAAAGAGATAAAGTAAAGGTTTCTATTTTTTTGCTGAGCATACGTTTCCATGATTGCAAGCTATTGTTTGATTCTGTTGATGTAGCACATGGAACAGCAACGTTGCTAACATTTGGGCCTTGGATTGGCATTAAATGCTAACATTTGCTTAGGGGCATTGTTGTAATACATGAGCAGAGACTGATCAGGGCAGCACTTTCAATGTGTGATGGAGTTAAATTGCTGCCTGGGTTCCCTTGACTGCTTGCTTTTCCAGTATCCTTGGATATGTAGAGATGGCATCCTAAAATACTAACATAAGAACATATGCAAAACACTATAGTCATCTCATAGATAGCTTATTGGATTCTTGTTCCTTTCCCATGATTTGTTGCCTTGAGTTAGGACATGTTCAATTGGAAAAGGAAGGAGGATGAATCATCTTTCATGGCCTTGTGTTGCTTTCAATTGTAGCCTCTTTTCCTGTCTGCTGCCTTAAGTTTTTAGGCAGTCTTAAATTTTTTTGCAGAGGAAATTTTCATGATCTTGGAAATTACAATGAATTTTGACTTCTTCAACTTCCACGTAGCATAAAAGGATCAAGGTATTTTGGTTCCATTATTGTTGCAATGATTGTTTACCCCATTGAAGTCTTTGAGCTTTATTATTACTTCTCAGGTTTTGTTGAGCTTGATTATCCACATGAATGTGCAAAGTGTTTGAATCATATTTTTGGATCTATATTTTATGGCTTTAATCACTTTTTCACAATAAATTTTTTCATCACAAAATTGATATATATACACTCTGAATTACATGGTATTTTAATTTCAGGGGACAGGTGAAGTTTGCAACACCTGTTGGGTATTCTCATCAACCCTGGTTTCATTATTCAACTTGGTTTATTCAATTGTTGAAGTCGTTCCCTTAAATGCTTGATGGTTATTTTGGAATTCTTTCTCCTCAGCCAATAACAGGATCATAGTGAAACTCAGTACCAACCATGACTGTCAGAGTAGTCTCTGCTGGACACAGGGTGAAGCCTTAGCTTTTTTTTGTTGTTTTTGCATGTTTGCAGTTTGCTGATATTTAAAAAACAGTATCCCTAGCATGTAATCCACCCTTGGGAAGGTTGCACCTTCATCCTAGGAATCCCTTTTATGCACACATTCTGTTTTTTTGCTTGGTTTTCTTTGTGGGGAGAAGTTCCATGCTTCTCTATCCAAATGTCAGCCCAAAGTTGCTTTCTGTAAAGCTATGTTAATCATCTTTTGCAAAAAAGTGATGTACATTGAGCTTGGATAGAGGAAATTAGAGTACTTTTCAGGATGCTAGAGAACCAAACCTCACATTTTTTGCTGTTAGATCTCTGAACATGAAACTTAACTGCTAAAGTTTTCATTCATATATTCCACTCATTGATTTAAAAAATTTCGTTGGTACAAAATGAATAAAAGAATGGAGAGACTTAAATGCTCCCTACTTGCCAGGCCTATAGCCAGTGCCACTGAAGGGTTATGAACAGGACCCATGCAATCTTTTTTGCACTTTTGTTTGAAAATTGGGATGAAAGGTTCTTTACTTATTACTTGCTCTTTACTTATATTAATATTACAGCTTTGAGCTATAATATTAATAGCCTAACTTTTCATGTAGTTAGTAGTTACAACTTGTATAATATCAACCACTTCATTCCCAAAATACTTTGTAAGTAGAGGACAGACTTCTAGGCAGTCATTTTTTTTGCTTACTTGCACATTCATCCATGTATGCAATTTGGATTCCTGGCATTAATGAGAGTAAAATGAGCCTGAGTCTTTAGGTGATATTTTTGTTCAATTATGTGCTATTTGGTCATATTTTCTCTCCTAAATTTAGGACTTCATATCTATGATATTCTTGCAGCCAATCCCTCCCCTTCTGTTTCCCAAGTTTGCTTCTTGGGTATCAAGGATATCTTGATTTTTTTGCTATCATTGAAATATTAGGTTATCATTTTAGTGCTTTTGGTCATAATTGTGTAGTTATTAGGTTATAGAAATCTACCCACTATATGTGAAAAATCTCCATCTCAGTTTCTATCTGCCATGAGTTCTGTAGCTTTAGATGATGTCTGGGTCAGAGTTGGGGGGAAAATGCTATGAATGGAAAGATGGAGTGTTAGTTTATGAATAAAAGTTATACTAAGACAACACACTTAAATTTTTCCTAACCCATACTTAACAAAGGGTTTATTGTTGTCTTCTTAGTTCTCAGGAGTCAGGCTTCTGATGAGATGTCCTGAGAATTTCATTTTCCTTTGTTTTGTTTGCAAGCAACCCAACAATATGTGAATATGGATACAGAGGCAATAGATTTTGCATTGCAGTGCTGTGCTGCCGAGTGCTGTGATGACTAAGTAGATGAGGTCAATGATGGCTGTTAACACACCTACCCTTCCTTTCATTGCTTATTTTTAAATTGAATTTCTTCCCTTCTTTTACATTCTTCCCTCTCAATGAGATGTGCTGTCTGGTATGGTGTATTCTTTTGAGGGGATAGGATGAGGATTGCCAATTTCTGAGCAACATAACATGTAAGTGATAGTAAGGAAACCTCCAAAGTCCACCCATATTCCAATCAAATCAACAGAAGAATACTGCAATTAGAGCTTGCAAATTAAAAATTTTGAGACAGCTCTATGCATTGTTGACCTTCCCTGATTTCCTCAGTGGGGAGACTCTGTCATCAGATATATACTACAGGAGCCTTCCCCATAAGAAATTGAATGGATAAAGCCTGCCTGGGATAGAACATAGAAGGCCGCATGGCTATGACCCATGAGAAGAGGCAAGAAACATGAGGTCATGACCTCTACAAGTCCTATAAGCCCAGGTGGGCAAGCTCACACCACACACACCAGATTTTCACTTTCCCCATTCTATTTCTATGGGCAGCTCACTCATCTTTTATTTTATCAATCATTACCAAATTCAGCAGTTTTTTTCATTGATATGTTATTATCCATCAAGCTCATATCGTTCGGGTTCATCACATTTTTTTGGGCTTGTACCTTATCTTAATGAAAACTTAGTGGAAAGTTGGCACACAGTCAGAGGGAGTAATAACTTGGGAATTATTTTATTGTCTGCAGAATTGCATTTGAGATCTAGATTTAAAAATGAAAAGATGATGTATAGTGCAAAATGACAGGAGAATGAGCAGGTGACACAGCAATACAAGCTGTGGTACAATCATGGGAGGTGTGATCTCACGCTTCCGGGTGAGTCTGCTGTCTCCCATCTGGCATGTTGCTTTCCAATCCAACTTCATGTTTGATTGAGTCTTTTATTTTTTCTTACCTTCTTGCAGGGTGAGCCATCAAAGAAGCAAGAGCTGGAAAGCATTGACAAGGAGATTCGAAACCTGGAAGAATACAAAGTGACAACACAGGCATGGGAGAAACGGCTGGTCGGCTACCTCATCTTCTACTCCATTGTCTTCTATGTTGTTGCCATGCTTGTCCTCTATTTCCTGTTCTTCCCTCCAACATGGAAGGAACGTGCCATTTATTCCATCCCTCTTCTTGCCTTCCCCCTCTTGTCAGTTATCATCTTCTTTCTTGTGCCTTTTCATTCCACAACTGTCTCTTCAAAGCACTATTTCTGTCTCTGCAGAGTTTGGGGTGTGAAGTGCCTAACAGTATGGTATTATGGACAAAAGATCCTTTGGAAGGAAGACAAACTCATGGAACTGAGGAGAAGGAAGCGGAAGATAATTGAGAACGTGATGGAAACCGAGACTTTTAAGGTTGCCAGTGAGATCCTTGAGAAACATGCACCTGATCAACTGCGCAGACTCTTTGGGGTGAGCTAGATGTGAGAAAACAGATGTTAGCCTAGTTGTGGTTGTGATATTGCTTGAATAATCCACTACATAACAGGAGGACTCCTCAGCAAAGACAAATACACCCAAGACAGTGCACAACTCACCTTCCCCATCCTCTCACCTTTTTTCCCTGTTGCCACCTTTACCCCAGTTTTTCTTGGTCTGAATGCAAACAAATACTATATGGTATGCGTTAAGTTCTATGTTTGCCTTATGTGATCAGTGGAATGACTTCATCTCCAGGGAGAGAAAAAGGTGCCAGAAAGGATCCAGCCAGTAAGTCTGACTCCATTTCCAAGGCCAATGCCAGCAAAAGGTATGGAATTACGTCGCAGACTCCCACCCCCACCCCCACCACCTCAACAACCTAGTCGAATTATAAACACCAATCAGCCATCAATGCAGGGTAGTGGAATGAGACCTAGCCAGTCTCCTCCCTCCCTTTCTCCTCCTCTACAAGTTCAACCACAGCCCAGGCGTAAGTCTGCTCCTATGATGTGCTAATGATACATTCTTCCAAAGAAATTCATTGTACTGGAATACATGTGTTGTACTTGCAATTCAGGCCTTGGTGTGCCTCCTGGGCCCCCAATTCCTCGCCCGGTTCCTCCACGAGAAAGGGGACTTATGGATCGAGTAGTGGAGTATTTGGTTGGTGAGGGTCCTAATAATCGCTATGCCCTTATTTGCAAGCAGTGTCATTCACATAATGGCATGGCACTGGAGGAAGAATTTGAGTACATCAGTAAGTTTCCCAATTCAGTGGGGGGGGGGGGATTTTTTTCACTCGGGAAATAAAGCAGGATAAACCTCATTTCCATTGGGGCAGCATTTCGGTGCTGTTACTGTTTCTCAGTGAATCCTGCAAGAAAGCAACGACCTCAAGCACCACGCCTCAATTACCCTGAGACAGCGAGTGACCAGGAAGACGGAGCATCTGGAGATCAGGCACGTACAGAGGTTGAGGCCAAGGACACTAGAGAAAGTCCAACAGAAAAAGGAGAAGGAGAGCATGAAAGAAAAATTTCAGACACCCAGAAGGATGAAGAGAGGATAGATACTGTGCAGCAGGAGGAAGAAGTTGAAGAACAAGAACATGAAGAAGCAGATGACTCCAAATTGTTACAATTTTCTTGTGAGGCAACCTGCGTCCCAGAATAGTCCATGAGAGTTCTTGACCTGTATTCCTTTATTGGAGAATGAAACCAAGCTTTCCCCTATAACAGATAATTCCAATGAGGCGATGGAAATAGATAATGAAGACACAGGAGAAATGGATGAGGGTGCCCATGCAAAGAGCATTGAAGGGGGAATGAAGGAAGAAAATGATGATGCAGATCAACTGCCTTCTTTCCCAACTGGTGAGTGGTGCATTCTTCAATTGCAAGTACATCATTTTCTATGTGGGTTGGAAAGACTCTACTGTACTGTGAAGTTCTAGCCATCATTAATTAGGCCAAGTATTCTCTGGTTAGAATCTTTGGTTCATTAATACAATTAGCCACCCCCTGATGATGAGTTGCTTTAACAGTTTCAGCACAAATTCTAATACTAGTTTATTTAACTACAATGGAGCCCACTCTAGTGAATCCACAAGAAGTTTTGTATACAAGAGGAATGTATCAATGAACCTGCCTCACTGGTCACTCTCACCCAAACCTACTTTATAGATGTATAGCCACAGTAATTAAAAAAAAAATTAAAGAATAGCCTTGAAGCACTGGAAGAGACTCAGAAACAAGAAAAATCAATTATGGCACATGATGCCTTAGTTTTAGAATTGGAGTCAAAGCTCAGTCAATCCCCATTGAAACCTTGGTCAACTATCTTCCATTGGAGAGCCATGAAATATGTCTTTCATTGCTTCTTCATTTTCCTTTTCATATTTGTTTGAATATGAGAGTTATGAGAGTGGAAAATTCAATATTGCTTGAATATAAGGCAATGCTTTCTTTTACATCATCATGGCTTTCACATTCAAAATTTCCCTCATGTTTGTGAACTTAAGTGCCATTAATGTTAATCATTTTACAGTAGATTTTTCTCTTCTGTGCAACCTGACTGCCCTTGTGCTTTTTGTTTCACATTTTATTTTGTCAAGTAAAAGATGTGGTCACCTTATATTTAGGGGTAAGTACAGTATCTTTTCACTATATTCAACGGATGAATGTATTTTTTCCGATAATTCTTAGTCAAAACTTATGAGGATTGAGTGTTAAATATGGCATAGAGGTAGATCTGGTATTGCAACTAGAAATATAGGTGCTTTGTCAATAGTGCACAAAAACATGCTAGCAACAATTGTTTAGTGTGGTGGTATTGACTAGTTTACACTTTAGAAATTTCTCCAAAGCAAGAAAGTCAAGTCACCACAAAACAGTTTGTGAAAATGTATGTACTTGCCAGCAGGAATGGCTCAAAAGTTGACTTTCTATATTTGCTTTCAACGTGGTTCTGTCTTCATCCAGAAACATTGTCCTGAGATGCCACTTCCTTCAGGAAGAGGCATCTCAGAATATGTTCAGATTCTTCTTTTTAATCACTTCCCATCTTCCTTTAACCCTTTTTTTGCCAATGGAACAATACATTGTTGATGAAGCCTATAGATGAATTTGCATGGCACCAAAGAAAAAAGGATTTTTGTCCACCTGCATGTTTGCTTCCATGTACTTCATTATTGTAACACTGCCAAAGTTTGTCCCCCAGCACTAAACAAAAATGGTTTTCATCCTTTCAGAGACAGAGAATGGTGAGCCCAGAGGAGTAATCTCAGATGTTGTCTCCTAGTCCTCCATTTCTCATTTAGTCAATGCAGCTCATGCCAAAAAGAGATTTCAGGGGATGTTGTAGACTATTTGGATGAAGTTTCTGGAGTGCTTGCCCTTGGTTGTGCTTCATCAGGAATTCCAGATTGCTTTGGTCGATCTGTTCCCCAATTGGTGTGTCTGAATTCTTTTTTTTTAGAGTATTCTCAGAAAAATAAACAGCTTAAATATGTTCTGTTACCTAAGAATCACACCAAAGTGTATTTACATCACAAAACACTGGTCTTTGGCATATGCCATATTGCACTGAACAAGTCCAGCAGAACACAGACAAGAGTAATATGAAAAAAAAAGTCTACTTTTGCTGCTGCAGAAACTTGTAGACCGAGGAAAAGTCCTTGCCACCAAATCCAGCACCAAGCATGAGTCTGTATATTTGGTGAGCCAGGGAACCAAGTGGAATGGGTGTATGTGTTGAATTGGCTGCTGTTGCTGCCAGACCCAGATCCTTAGTCATCAGTGCAGCCCCAAATCCACCCTGAGGGGTGTAAAAACAGGTCATTTAAAGCACTATGAAATTACCAAGGCCTATTATCCTATTCCAAAAAGAAGTTTTGGAAGTTAATTTGGAATATAAAGCATTTGTTAAGGCATGAGGACACACTGGGAATTGGTTTAGACAACTATATGTAACTTAAATCGAACTCATTTTGTGATATATCTAAAAACTATTGGACACTTTTTTGAAATTGTTGCATTTGAACAGTCAAGAGCAGCAGTATTATTTTCAAATTAGCAAATGCATCTAGTATGGGTGTGCAATCAAATGAAAAGGGTGGACTTCTTTTTTGTTTGACAGTATATTGCTTGAATATTCTTGCCTATTTTATCCAATATGAAGCAAACAAAAAACCAACAAGATTAAGCAAAAGATTTTTGCTCTTAATGCAAAATTTTTCACAAAACTGGCACTATGCATTATTTATGTTTGCAAGCAACTTATGATGAAATTTCATCATGTCAAAAGAAGGCTATAAGCAATTACTTAAAACAAGTTTGTTATTGAAAATGGGCAAGAACTCAATGTTGGGAGTAGAAGGGAGGAAGAGCATTTGTGGCATGGGTGTACATAAACTAGCATCCATAAAAAATTACAAGGTAAAGTATGACTTCCAAGCATAGTAGGAGTTGTGATAACATTATACCTGCTCTTTGTCAGAAAAGTCAACACCCCCTGAACATTATTACTAATGTCCAACTCCAATGCGTCTTGCCCTGGCCATCCAGGTTTCATGACATGTCTGTATGGATGAACTGGACATGCATGTGTGGGCTTGACAGAACCCACCAGACATCCTTAGTTTAACTCTGTGATGCTCTGCTGATTGAGTGGAACAACCTCCAACATGTGGCAATCCTGCAATATGTTCTGCCCATGAAAAGGTGATGCCAAGTATTTGTTGATACCATGGAAGACACCTATTGACATAATTTTTAATGGGAATCACCCATGGTGATTCCAATAGAACCTCCAAGTAAGCAGATCTGTGACTTGTGACTTTTGACTTTAAAGCCCACCTCATTTCCACCTCTGGTGGAAAAATTTTTTAGTGAGACTTTTCCTAACAATTTGTGCTTTATACTTATGATGGTTGTATAAATTTATGTGTTCAAACAGCCTAGCTCTATTTATGTAATACATATGATTAAATATTGTGGATGTAACATTTATTTTATAGCAGCTAGAATCTGTTAGTCTGCTGGAGTCCCTTGTCCACTTTCAATATCTGATTTCATTAACCATTCATGGCCTTGCAGTCATGGGTCTTTCTTTCATCATACCCTTTGCAATACATGATGGACTCTTAAAGTTGCAGCTGCATATTCAAGGGAAGATGAGAGTCTTTCCTGCCAGCTGCTTTTCCACTGTTCAATTTTTTTTAAATTATACATAGTTTAGTTCACTAGGGAGTTGACCTACCTCATAGTCCTTGGAACTAGGAACATTTTCAAGAATTCCTGGCACAGGATTGTAGACTTCACTCGACCAGCATCTTCCTGAGCTACTGTTCAAGATACTTGCCAGGAGCTTTGCATCAAGGCCCAGCCTAATACAGATCCAGTACAAGCATGAAAAACTAGCCCCATGGTGAAGACACAATAGTAAAGTCAACACAGCCTTCATAGTAGTGAGATGGCAATTTGCAAGAGTTTACATTTAACTAAAGGGACAGAACAGCATGTTAACAATTAGCAACAGGTAATATTATGCAGCACTTGTTTCCTGATAAAACTGAAGTTTTAAAGTATACCATGAAGACACCATCATATCCTATAGAATCTTAATCTTCTAGAGAATCTGAAGCCATTTTTCCAAGTGTTTGTCTGTCCCAGAGAAAAATGTCTGAAACCACAAGAAAATGCATTTTTCACCACTTAAGTTAGTTTTTGTACAAAAAGGAGATAGCTCAACCTAATTCCAAGGTTCATGGTCTCAGCTGTGCCAATCATGGAGATGGCAAGAAGCATGTTATTGCAGATCTTGGCTGCTTGTCCCATCCCCACATCTCCACAATGGACAATGTTCTTGCCCATGCTAGACAACAATATCTTTGCTGCTTCAAATTCTCCTTTGCTTTTGGCTCCAACCATGAATGTCAATGTTGCAGCCTTGGCTGCATTCACCCCTATGTTAAAAAAACAAGTGACATGAGCATGACCATCCAGACAATAAATATATATAGATTCCAGGTAAAAAGTTTTTTTTGCCATAAACACAATTTATTATTATTTAGTTTTCCAACTATCATCAGTGCTCTCTCTTGTTCAAAATTCCCAAGTAAGACATTAACAAATATTAAAACAGTAAAATGAACAATGATTAAGGTCAGAAATGCCATCATTTAGCAATTGATGGCTATATTGACTACTTTCTTCATCTTTTAGGTAAGTCCCTTCTACTTCCTGCACTAGCCAAATTGACCTATAAAAGTGAAAAAAAAGAATTAATTAACATTATGAATTTATGCAGTGCATTAACCCTATCTGTTTCATTTCAATTTGTACATTAATACCTTATTTTCGTTTTCTAATTTTCCCTGACTTTTCTTATTCAAACTTAAACATTCTCACCCTTCAAGAGACAGATATTAAACTTTCTTACACATAGAATGAGGAATAAGGGCCAAAAAGGGCAAAGAGAGCAGCATTAGTTGAATGAAAAAAACATTGGGTTTTGGGTTGTTAAATTCTGAGAAAAATATTCAACTCAATCTTCCCTTTAGATGAGGGAGTCATATAATGGCCTGATTTTCCTGTAGTTTGCAACAGGTCTGGATACTTTCTCATGAGCTATAAACTGAGAGATAATGGTGTAGTATATATGGTGAGGCAAACAAATTACCAGCAACTTTTAACCAAAATGCTCTGCTTCCATTGAAACCCTATTTTCAATAAAATTTCAGTCTATAGAAAGGTACATTTCTGACTCAACCTTTCATTTAACAATAAATCATTGCATTGCTTCTACAATATCAATTCTGATTAAATTTCACAGGTCTGTTTGGAACATATCAATCTATGCACAGAGCAAGTTTTGGAAAAGTTTCCTGTTTTTTATTTGTATTACACAGTCCTACTTTGTTGCTCACTCATGAGATTCAGGTTTGGCTAAAAAAAATACACTCAACACCACAAGTTTTGCAGTTTCATTCTCCTTTTAGGGATACACTTGACACATTTTATCTTACTTTGGCATTGCATGCTAGGCTTTAATCAGGTAAAATAAAAATTTGACCTGATTTAATGATATGACATTCTATGGCATTTTGTTGAGCAGCTCACTTAATTCCCTTAGATTAATATTGCAGGTTAGACAGTAGACAGAGTTAAGAGAAGTCACCTCCAGAGACAGGAGCATCCATGTACATGGCACCCTTCTTTTCTGCTTCTGCTGCAACCATTTTGGCTGTCCCAGGATCAATGGTGCTGCTGTCAATGAGAAGTGTTCCTGGCTTCACTGTCCTGAAAGGAGGTATCAGTCGTATTCAGTGAATAAGCAAGAAATACCTTCAAGTACTTCTTGCTGTACTGGGAATGTGTCAAGGACATTCCCACTGTAACAAGGAATGTCTCACTTAAGAATGCCCTTGTCTCCAAGGTAGACATCAATAACATTTTGGGATGCAGGAAGCATGGTGATGATGGTCTCTGCACAATTCCCTACATCACCCGAACTTGATGCAATCTGTGCATTGGTGTCACTTAATGCTTCCATATTTTCTGGGAAGATATCAAATATCACAGCTGGATGCCCCTGCTGTACAAATTGATGAAACATGCTGAATCTACCAGAATTCCTAAAGGGATGGTCAAGGAAGTGACAGCTCATCAGTATAGGCCTGCTAGGTAGTATTTAATCAGATGATAGATTAAAATTAAAAAGTCATAACAAGGCTTACATTGGACCAGACACAAACCAGTTTCCATGTTATTGCCCTTCTTGGCAAAAGTGAAGGGCACTTTTTGTGCCAAGATGGGATTCGAATTTGATGGGTAGTATTATAAAAATTAACAATTATGTGGCTAGTGGCAAGACCTTAAGTAATGGAATGCACACATGCTATGTAGTGTGGTTGCTGCTGTGACTCTTGGATCTTGAATAGAGACTCCTTTCCTTCTCAAATGGGCTCTGACTCCAAGCATTTGTAATGGTAACTTCAAGCATCCTCTCCTACACCTGGGTTCATCCCCATTTGCTAAAATCAGGATGGGTTGGCTATGTGGGGATAACCCAGGAAAATACTGGAGATAATAGCTATTACTAAGACAGAATTTATGATGCTTGGCTACATCAATTACAATGTATTCATTCATTATACAGGCTGTTGGATAAGTAACACAGATACTTTTATTTTTTAACTGACAAAGTCACAGAAAGAAACTACATGCATTTAGTATAAAATAAAAGTTTGAATCATAGGGTTTCTTTCTGAGCAACATAAGCAACATGAAGGCACAGTGCTCTAGAAAAATGGAAACAGCAAATCCTGAAATATATGCATAGCCATCAATAATTCCAGGATTTATCTATATTTTTCATTTTCCTCAGTTGTTTCACTGAAATGAAGAGCACCAAGGACTCTTACAGAGACTGGTCCATGCTGGCAGACAGATGGCAAGACGAGTTCTGCTGTTAAGATAAGGAATTTTGTTAATCAGTGGCTCTTTAACTGAAAGAATCTATGAACTGACATAAGTTCGACGATAAATTATTCCATCAATAGAGTTCAGTTTGGGCATGGTGTGTTGCTTTCTACAAGCATAGATTTTATGGTGGGGCAAGGTTTGAGGTGAGAAGCTTTCCAGTGCATGGACAGCAGTGGTTTGGCATTTTTAATTCAGTCCATTCATGTTAAACTGTTCACACAAAAACTTACAACTCCTAGGCATGTCATGGGCATATCCAATTTGTGATTTACATTTGTGGTGAGCTTGTAAATTGTTTCCCAAGGGTTCTCCATGACAGGCAGATGCAGCAGTGCATAAATGTACCTATGGCCACAATAAGTCTGCTGGGCCACTGGGTCCATAATGTTCTAAGTAGGAGTAATGTGCTAAGTGCTTTCTCTAACAAGCTCTTAATATGATCCTTTGAAGGTTATCAAAAAGAATTTTGAAAAGAAGAATTTTACTTTTGCATATATATCAGCATATTTTAAGTAGGACTACATATAAAGATGCAAATTTTGGCATTTCTCGGAGCTTCCCTAGTGGAAGTATACTTTTTCCACCATCCACTGATATAATTTGAGTATCATTTTGATCAGTGGTGTCCCACCTTCTTAACTCAGGGGCCACATAACTCACTCCTCCAGCCATTGAAGGCTGCTAAATTATTATGGGTTAGGGTCTCGCAAGTCATTTGTAAGCACCTCATAGGCCACTTTTTTCCCTCAGGCCATGGGTTGGACTGATTTAGATGGACAAGAACCTGGACAAGAACCAACAAAGATTTTAGAATGGGATCTTGGGGGGAAACTGTAATCAATTATTCTCAGTTACATCAGCAACTAACTAAAGTTCATTTGGGGTTGTCAACTGGCAACTAAATGCAATGTTACGTTTTTCATTGTGATTTTAGCGCATAGTGGGGGAACCTGTCTAACTTCTGCCAGTGCTTGGGGTCATGGATAGTATGAAAGGGATTTTTGGGGTCATGTTTGAGAAAGGTTGGGCAGCCCTGCTTTAGGTGTTGCTAGCATTCTTCTCAAACTCCTTTTCAAGGTACAAAATCTTGGCTTTTTTTTTTTTTTTACCGAGTACTCACAATCCACAGAAGGCCAACTGTGTTCCTTAGTGACAAGATATTGATATCAATCAGTAACAACTGTTTCACTCCTTTCTGCCACTATCTCCTATCTTCCCTATTGATCCCAAGTGGTCTCTGGTCTAATGCTGGCTAGTTGACATAAGCACTGTGAGACTTTTTATTAGACTCATACTTGTGTTGGCTAAGACTGTACATGACAGGCATTACAGTTTACTTACTGTAATTTTTTTTCAAATCATAACAAAAATGAGAGAAACATGAGTTCATGGGCAAGGCATGCATTCAGTCATTTAGGAGGAATACTATTAAGGTGTAGTACATAAACACAGGTTTGCAACTAAACTCATGAGCTGCCAGAGTGGAGTTAGTATATGCTATATCTGACAAACCTGGCTAATGAGGTTCCTGGCCATGGGTCCACCCATGTTTCCCAATCCAATGAACCCAAGCTTCAAGGATTGTCCCCTTGCTGTTGCTGACACTGCATGTGAATAAAGCAAGATCCAGTCAATTGCATGTTTACTGTCTTAGTCCTAGTTCATATATGTGACCAAGGAATTCAATGAGAAGTTACATACCGCTGAATGCCCTCGTAGGTCTATTCATGATCTTCTGTGCAGATGAAGTATATCTGATAGAGGCTCTTAATAAAGAGGGCCATGACTCATGTGTCATCACCAATGCAAAAGCAGATTGCCTCCAACAACCCTTCATCACTTTCATTTTGCTGAGGAGACAAAGGTTAGGGCCTATTTAGGCTCACACCTCTAATAGCAGGGCTGAAAACTGAGTCAACTAACTTATGATACAAATAATGATGACAATCTGACTTATAGAAACCCTAAACATGGCTCCTGCAGTAGCAGGAATGGTAGCATCCATATTTGTTGGGAGGAGCAACCGTCGTGTGTTTCTTCTCGGCCAAAGCAGATGGCAGGCCTCAATATAGGAATCACGTCACACTCAAGGACGCAGCTGAAATCTGACAATCTATCTGATTCTAACTTTTCCTGGATCTGCAGGGAAGATTTCCTGAAGTATGTACCTCCTTGGATGTAGCTACGATGCCAGGGGGGGAGACTCCCTTTCTAAAAGGGACATGACGAGACTCAACATCCGAGACACGTTGGTACCTCTGACATGTGTTCCTTCGACTAGTGAGTGTGAAAGTGTGAATGAGTGAGGTCAGCCTATTTGGGGAAATTTTGGGTCAGTTGGCTTGGTGAATTTTGAATTGCAGACTTGAAGTCGCGACTTGATATATTCTAATTATATCGAAAAGCTCACAGTAATGAGTACACATGTAATATTTTATCTGCATTAGCGAAGCAGGACTCACTTTGCAGCATCTCTGCCCCCTCCTCCAACAAAACAGGATGGGCAAGCCCAGTCCAGTAGTGGACTTCCTTTCATTTAAGGAGACCCGCATTTTCTCACCTAAGTCAACAAAATTGCATCTCTTACCGGTCCTCAGCCATCAAAAACATAATTTTCTACATGCGTTTGAAAATCGACCCATGGTGCCCATGAAATGATGATGGGAGGATGGAGGGTTGTGGGTGTTTGGAACCATCCTCCACGAAGGTTGGTAGGGAACTGACTGCTCTGGCTGCTGACACGGCACTGCGCCCAAGGCCTGGGTCGTATGCGCAAAGTGATCCAGATCCTGAAGATCTCACGAGTACTAATTCTTCCCCTCCGTGACCAAATTTCAAATCCAAAATTTGCAATAAAAATGTCAATTTTGATGCAAATTCGCCACAAAACGAACTCAGTCTGCATCTTGTTCATATCTACCCGATTGCCAATTTTCGCATTGATCAGGCCAATATTTTTTTAGTTATCGTCGGACAACCAAAGTGTGACACACGGACGGACAGGACGGGAACATGTGGTCTCTTTCCTTTCAGGAAAAGAGGCCCACTAAGAAAGAGAGACCATAGTTTTACTATTGCCTGAGCGGCATCCCTGGCAGCACCAGCTTCCTTCTGTTGAGTGTTGGAAGATGGACATTCCCTTTCCTTTTGACTAGTGCATGGTGAGTAGCTCCGGGAAATTTGACATTTGCGTGTACGTAAATTATTTCGACATGAAGTCTGGCCAATGGAAATACGCATGATGTGGAACCTGGCGTCATATGCCCCTGGCCGGCACCAGAGGAGGCGAATGGGTAAAACTAAATTCGGTACAACCGTATCATCACGGCAGGTGAAGTGCGTACAGGATATGCGATAAGATCCACCGCGATGGTCCGGTGAAAAACGGGGAACGGAAGGAGATTCAAGGCGAGATGGGACGATCGACATGGGAGGGCTAATGCGCGATGGAAGCACACTCGATGTGTCCAATAGAGAAATGCCCCGCTGCCTTCGCAGGAGAGACATGGGCTCGGCAACTGCATTACCATCTCTTCGGTTTTATTTTTTTTACCTTCTTTCTTTCAGAGAGACTTACAGACAGACTGGAAGAAACATGGAGGGGGCACTCCCACGAGGGGGGAAAAAAATCCAAGGGTTACATGGTAGGGACGGAGGGGGGAAAGCATACAATAATGAGTCACCCGGCGATGGGGAGAAAGAGGAGGGGAAAGGGAGAGAGGAGGGGAAGATGCTATGCATCCCTATTATTGCCTCCCAGTCTCATCCGATTCCTGGGTGAGTCCGCCTCTCTCCCGCTTTTAGTCGTTACGTGTCGGGAGTCGGGGCTGGGAGTTGCTGTCCGGGGCGTCGCGAGGACACTTGCGCTCGTCTGCTTTCTCGTTTCCATCGGAGACTTAAGCGGGAATCGTCGTCGAGAGGGGAGAATGAGGTTTTCTCTCTCGTGACCCTGTTCGTCTCTTCGGGCCGTGCGTGTTCGTTTGTGACTTTCTAATTCTAAGATGCATTTTAGAGTGAAGGCATGGGTGTGCCGATTTCTCCCTCGTCCGTCGTTGCCGATGAATAATCGTCTGTCGGGGCTCGCACGGAGATCGGCGATCTCGTTCCTCTTCGTGACGGTTTCCTTGCGTCCGATTCATTTTTCCCGTCCTCTTTCCAGTTGCTTTGCGTGGAACGATCGGCGACGCGATGTGCGGCGGCGATAGGCTGGTCATCGTGACGACGCGAACGATCCTGTGGTCGTTGTTGTCGGTGGCATCGAGTCTGGGACTGCTGGCGTCCGTGCTGTCTCCTCAGTGGCTGCTGGGTCCGCTGCCCGAGTCGTCGCTCCGCTTCAATCGCTCGGGCACAGGTTCGGCGAATCGTTCCTTCTCGTCCGTTCTTTGCATTCTCGTATTTGTTTGAAGTGATGGGGCTGAGAATGGCCCCGTTGTTTACATTCTCCCGGTGCAATTGCCAATTAGAGCTTGTATCTCTTGCCATCGTCTGTTTTACTTTTTTTTTTCCCCTGGAACGAATCCATCGCAGATGTGGAAGGGGGAAGAGGATCGGAGGGAGAAAGATTGTGGCGAAGCCTCAGTCTCTGGTTACAGTGTCACATGGTGGACAGGGGACTCAGGGACTACGACTGGATTCTGAGAAAGGCGGAAGACCCGGGAAAGGTGCACATCAGTCCAAATTGTTCGCCTTTCGTCTCCTTTCCCGACTTCAAGGCGGACAATGACCATTTCCCTCACGCCTGGAAGGTCCGCCCCTTTCATGTCCAACAAAATAACGTTTCCTCGAGTCGAGATCGGACGGGATCCGACACGTCCGAGATATCGTTTACATCGTTCACTCGTTTCCGCAATCGAGCATTCGGATCGTTGCGGAATCTAAAAATAAATACTTATATATAATATGCCTCACGAAATGACTACCGGGTGTGGTGGATCGAAATTAGGTGTCGGTGATATTCCTGGCGTTGGGTGTGGTGTTGAGCACGTGTTTGGCATTTTCCTCCTTCTTCTGTTCCTGTCTTCAGAGTGTCTGCAAGAAGTCTCTCTTCCCCATCGCCGGTTTCCTTCAGGCACTCGCCGGTATCTAATCCTTTCTTCGCTCCTCCGTCTTAATGTGACAAGCACCGAATCCGTTTAAGCTAAACTAATCTGATCTCACAATGGACCCCAATGGGAATCAGTTTAACCGAGATAAACGTATTCCCATAGGCGCCCATTACGAAAACGAATCAGTTTAAAGTTGAACGAATCTGGTGCATGCCACCCTTAGATTACTCAAAAACGACTCCCCGGCGATGGCGATTTTCCTGCTATTTTCAGGCCTGATGTTGATCGTGAGCCTGGTCCTCTTCCCGGCCGGATGGACGGGGCAAAGAGTGAAAGAAGTGTGTGGAGCCCGCGTCGCTCCGTTTACTATCTCCACCTGCTCCCTCGGTACGCCTCCGCCGTTTTCCACACCGCCCTCACCTTTTCTTTTTTTATTTCTCACGGGCTCTTTGTGATATTCCGGCTTCTAGGTTGGGGGTTCATGTTGGCCTGTGGAAGCACGTTGTTGACGCTGATGACAGCCTGGCTATCGATCGAGGCGGACAAATCAACTTCATCTGACAAGGTTCAACACAAAATCGACAAGGGTCGCACCTTCATCTGTCTCCTCTAAACAACACGCCCCCACCCACACCCCCACCCCCACCCACATCCTTACCCGCACACCCACCCTCATCCACACCCACACACCCACCCCCACCCACTCACACCCTCTCCTCCCCCCCACACACACACACATACACACGCGCGCGTGCTATTGGTGCAATTACTAGTCGTTTGCTGTAAGCTCTCGTTCGGTGATGCTTCTTCCTGGTGTTCCCTCTGGCAGTGATAAATTAAAGAGAAAGAAGATTGAAACTTAGATATGAAACTTCAACTCATATCCAGTGCAATTCGTGGCATATCGAGGTCAATATGAGGATTGCCTTTCCAATAAAGCCCATATGCCAGATCATCGGGTCGATCATTGAAGAAAAACCCAAGAACCATGCCGAAAGGCAGATCCAGCTTCTCTTATCTTAAAAGATAAGAGAAGAGAGAGAAATCTTAAAGAGCCTCATGAAATGGACGAGACGAGCCAAGCAAAAACTTGAAGTGAATATCATTTTCGTGGGTGCCAAATCAAGAGATGACGCCATTCGCATTCCTTAATAACTTGAAGGCTATTGGGCCTTTCCCTCCTATATTCAATATTGTATTAAATACGGTACTTGGGGAATCAACGCAACGGTCAACCGAGGGATCTTATTTTATTCATTATTATCACGATACGATAGATCAATGTTGCACGAAAGGTACGCGCGTCATAGCGCGACGAGATAAATCTGCAGTGACGTATCCCCACTTGATCGGAAATGTTCCGCGTCCCAAGGAGTCCCGGAATCGTGAGGAGGACGGACTCGCAGGTGATCGTCTGCGGCATTCCATGCATCCAAACCGACTCACGCATACCACGCCATTCTTTCCTACGATTTAGGTTGCCTTACGGTTCGTGTGACAGCCCATTTGTACGGTATGCTCTATCCCAGATGCCCCACAAAAAAATGACCTCGATCGACTCGCCCTTTGCCATTTCTCGAATGCGATGTGCAGAAAGGAGATGCTATTTTGCTTGTTGCGATGAGAAGTAATGGGCTCCCGACACATAAGTTTTCTGTTACTTTGTTATTGTGTCTCATTTTGGTGGGTTGCCAATCGTAATAACACGAGGCCTTCGTGCAGCACGAGAGCGTGACTGGAAAACACGAGGGCTTCAAAGAGACTCATTCCCCGAGAGGCTTTCTGTTCCTCGAGGGTGAGCATAAACATGCTAAAAGATAATTATATGGGGCACTCCCATCGCGTCCGCATGACGGTTAATCTCGAGAATGGTCCCATCAACTTTTTTACAATCTGATGGAGAAAAGATCCCTATACCCAGGTGATAGATTTAAGAGAAACCTGTGCCGGAAGCTCCCCGATGCGGATCAACTGCAATTGTTGATGTTAAATCTTAATCACTTAATCTTACTTAATCACCATAATAGTCAAAATGTAATGCAAAATTGAAAATATCGCCGAGGAAGGACGACCTTAATTATGGGGAATTTCCATCATCTCCATTTTCATAGTCAGCAAGAATCGCCTGTCCTATTTTCACCCACGTGAGAATTTGGTGACTTCCTTTTCTTACGAAGACTCAATTCTCATCTCCATGAGAATCAACAAATTTCTTCCTAGTAGGCTTTTTGTTCTTAATTGAATATTTGCATGAAGTGAGCGGATGACAGCGCTGTCCATCCGACACGTTTGGACTCTCTCCCGGTGGCGTGTTGACAACACGAATCGAGGGACCGCAGATGGACGAAGTGAGTCGCTGGTACCCCTCACTCGAACCGATGTTGCAGCACGCTGTATACTTCTGAAACGGAGAACTAGCAGCACGTGCCATCGTGCGTTAGCTTTGGGTCATTGGTGGTTCCCACGAAAGGCCGACTTCGGGCACTGGGGTCACCGGTGACCCCCATGCTAGCAGACGTCATACTTGAAGAATTGGACCTGTTGCAAGGAAACTCCGGGAAATGAAGGCGTGGAAAGTGATTCCCGAGTCCGTTAGTGTAGCCAGGATGACAGCAAGATCCCGGTAAGAGGTTACTAGAAAATGGAACCATTTCAAACGCGAGCGTGCTGGGAAACGAGAGGAATGGAGGCAGGGCTTAAGTGTCAAAGCACAAGTTTATTGCTCTAAAAGATAATCCACGGCTAAAATAGCTGGAATTTCTGTGCATTAGCTCAATTCTGGAATTCTCGGTGGTATAGACATATGGTTGCCAGACAAACGTCTGAGTTTACGCATATAATATTAAAATATCTATCACATAAGTCCGAACACAAGATGACTCTCTAAAATGTTGATTTCAAATCTGCTCGAATGAAGCAAAGACACCGATCTCGAAGGGACGAATCCCAAGTGAGACCGATCCGTTTTTATCCGGATGGGGGGATTCTTTCCTTCCAGCACACTGTGTATAAAGTATGCCGAAATTCTGATGACACACCCAAAATATGAGGTAGGTCCAGAGCAGAGTTTTTGTCTGTATCCGGTGCCAGGAAGAGGGAACATCGCACTCGAAAGTCACTCTTTCAATTTTTATATGAGGTAATCCAAAGACGTTATGTACGTTGCAGACTTTATATTCCTTCATCTTATTTTCGTATATAATTCCCCCCATCTCGTTTAGCTGCAGAAGCACTTTAAAGACTGCGAGGAAATTATTAATCAACTGAGGATGAGGGAGCGGCATCGAAGCGTCTTTTCCGGACGAAAGTGCGCCCCGGCTCGATCGAAAAGTCATTCTCGAATGGAAACCGTGGCTGAATGTCGTCATTTCGGTAGCTCCCCTTGGACCCAAGGGGATTTACAAAATATTTCACTCGCGAATTTGTGTGGGTGAACTAGCTGAGGGAAAAACTGACAAATTTTCCAGTATAGACAAAATGTTAATGCATACCGGTTGGATCTTATACGGCAGTGGCTTCAGATTTTTTAAATTTAAATATCCAACAGCGGTGCGGTTTTTTTTCTCTACATCGGGTATATGGATTCAAAAATTACTCTCAATCGAACAGAACTTATCTTTCTAAAATTTTGGTTGTACCTACCTCCCCTCTTCCGACAAGCCTGAAACGGAAGGGGGGGGGGGGTGCACATATATGTATATATATACAGGGCGTTTCATTTAAATTGTACATCTTTGAACGCTCATATCTCTGTGAGGACGCAACCGTTCCTTACGAAATTTGACCACAATATAGAGCAACCTTTGCTAAATTATTGGACAGAGTTTCTTAATCGCAGCGCCATCTATTGAGTTGAAACATGTACAACCAAAATTTTAGAAAGATAAGTTCTGTTCGATTGAGAGTAATTTTTGAATCCATATACCCGATGTAGAGAAAAAAATGCGTTGGGCAGCGAAAAGAGCCTGAGAGAAATGGAAGGGAGAAGTTTCGACTTTCGATACACATGGACGACTCGATGCGTTTCCTAACTGGGAGATAGTTCTCAGGATTTTTATTACCCTTCCCTCACCGATTGTTTCGTGTGAAAGAAGCCTAAGCAAACTTAAGTTTATCGAGACACATGTCCGATCCACGATGGGCCAAGAAAGGCTTTCCATCGAAAATCAAGTAGCGAAGGAAGTGGATTTTGACCTTATCATAGACGTCTTCGCATCTCGGAAGGCAAAGAAAGCAGTGCTGCAACTATCGAGGGAGACCCATGAGGCTGCCAACGAATACCCCTGAGCTCATGACTATTCTGGATACTCGAATACTAAGATGCCGACTGGGCTTTGCCATTCGGATTCACTTCAACAGAGGGGGTGCAAACTTAGACGTATACACGTAGATACTACTTCGAGGGACGGGAGAAGTGACAGACGCAACGAGAGGGAGAAAGCCAAGGGGAGGGGAAGAGGGAGGGAGCGCCACATGGGGTAATTACAGCCCTGCTTAGGAGCATACCTGGCATATCTCACGGGAAGATGAGCGTAGGTGCAAATTTTAGCGAGAGTAATTCTAGACTCATGGACCCTCACGATCATGCGAGAAAAACCTTTCCAGGCTCACTCTCATGCACATCTATGAATTCACCTGTTTCGCGATCAAGCATATCCATTGTGACCGTGAATGTGGCTCACAAAATTGTTTATGATGCGAGTCACGAAAGATATAGACAGAGTGAGGGGTGGGGTGGGTGGGGGGGAGAAGGAGAGAGGTGCTGAATGAAACTCATAGGAGTTACGGCACGACGTGGACCGCCAGGAATCCATTTTGGAACCAGTTTCTGCACCAAGGAAAAAAAAGCTGAGTCGAGAGGAAGCTCTCTGGCGGTGGATGAAAAATTCTTTCCTCCATTCTTCCTTCTTACTCGCAAACAAACACGCTTCCCTATCATGAATTCCTTTCTTGTCACGCTCTCAATTAGAGTCTCGTCAAAATCCCTGCGTAAGTCACGACTCACGAAAAAGCCGTGACTCACGCACACCTCTAATGAGAACGGTTTCGCGCGCCAATCGGTTTAGGAACCGCTGCATGAGGCGTCGCTCCCACCATCGCATGTGTCGTGCCTTGTGCGGAGTCACAGGCAGGCGGGTTTACAATGTTTGGAGTCCTCCGGTCGGGTAGTCTTTTGTCTTCCTTACGCATGAAACGGTTGAGCATCTCTTCACTCGAGCCAAATTATCGGGTGCCAAGAGTCGGACCCGATGCCATCTCTAAGCAGCCTAGCATGGCGCCTCTCACCGCCGTCACCATGTGGGATCCCACGTGCAAACTAGTCTTTTGACCCTTGCAATTGGTTTTTTTTTTTCCCCCCCTCCAAATCAGAATGGACCGATATAAGTGCTGAAATATGAACAGTTCTCTTGTTTAGACACTTTCCACAAGTTCTCAGTTCCCTGCTCAATAAGGGAGGACGGATAACATAGGCCTGGACATGAAGTCCCTGGTTGGCCACTTTCCTTCTTTCACTAAAGGTTTCAATTGTGTCAAAACAAATCTGCAAGCCGAATGCTTCAAATAAATTTCCTATTCTCGCAGGTCTTTAGAAGTTACCGACGCCTTCTGAGGACCTCTCAACGTGTGTTTGATAAGGACTTCCAAGCCCTGCAGGGTAAGTGTTGGGTCAGTAAATTGGCCTGACTGCTCTGGCAGCAACATTTCATCTTGTAGCTCCTTGAACACAGTGAAGAAATGATATCCCATGACTCTTTTTAATACTTTGTTACACAGCTGCTAGGGAAGAGATCAGGAAAGGGTTCAAGGACAAGAAGCACATCAATGACACTGAAACCATCACCCAGGTCAGTTGCCATCAAATTTCGCATATGGAGTTGGTAGCTGAATTGGGTTACTTCAGTTTAATGACAAAGTAAATGCTGTGTTGTCTCCTATTACCTACAGTTGATCAAGTATGCTGATGAGGTTGAGGAAGTTCTCAGGACATCTGTGATTCAAGCTCAGAGGATGGATGAAGATAAATATCGTGAGTAAATTCTTGCATTTCCTTATGTTTCTTTTCTGGAACAAAGGTATTCTCTTTCTTTATGTCTCTTTCAGGTCTAATAGTGAGGGAAGATGTGCAGAAGTTTGACAACATACCCTATAGAGATTCATGATCTAGATGATGAGAGTATGATTGATGTATAATATGTTTTGGAGTGAGTAAAGTACACAGACAGACATAAAGACGTATTTTACTTTTTTCTCACTCGTAATAAATTCATAAAGAATTAAATACATAAATTGATAGACATCTCAAAGTCACAAAAACAAGGGAAGTCTTCTGATTGCCCCTTTGTCCGACTAGGAAGAAACAGTTAAAACAGAGTCTTTCCTCATGCTGAGAATAAACTCTTACATTGAGCAATGGTGCAATGGAGCAATATGCAAAAAAATTGTGAAAATTCTGAGTGAGCAAAAATGCAAGCCACAACGAGACTGGCATGTTGAGAAGAGATCACATGGTGGCACTGGAGCCTCAACATGTCTAATTCATGGTCCTGAGTGCAGGTTGCAGAATTGGCACAAAAGAATTTGAAGAAACATGTTGAGAGGCTTGAAATTCTGACATTTTTGAGATCAAATAATAAGGTGCAGGTTTTGAAGCAAGCATTCAGGTACAATCAAGGCCTCCTAAGAAATTTTCATTCGTTTCAATGGACGGGGAGAGAGGTCGAGGTGACTGGGGTTGACTAGCCATTGATGTCTCAAGGCATCCTTGGCACGAATCCGAGATGATGGATGGTAAAGCAGCATTTTCTGTATGGGAGTAAGAGATAAACAACATGGTGAGGAGTAATATTTACAAATTGTTTCCTCAAGAAAGGACAGAAGCAAAACCTTAAGAAGATCAAGGCCATCATTGTCAAGGGAAGAAATGATTGAGGAAAGGTCTTGTGGTGCCCATTTTGGAAAAGTAGCCTTGAAATCAGACAGCCTAGTGACCCCAGGCCAGACTTCTTCATCGGGAGTTCCCAAGGTGCGGAAGATTCTGAACAGTTGGTCGATCTCTGAATCTCCAGGAAACAGAGCTTTTTTCAGAAGCTGCAAATGGATTACATGTATTTGAAGTCTGCTCCTGCCTTGCGAATAACAGATGCACTTCTACTCACAAGTAAGAAAAAGTTAACCCATTACCATCTTACCATTTCAGCAAAAATACAGCCAATGCTCCAGATGTCAATAGCAGTAGAATATATATGGGTCCCAAGTAGGACTTCCGGTGCTCGATACCACAGAGTCACAACTTCATGAGTGAACTGACGCAAAGGGACTCCAAAACACCGGGCTAGGCCAAAGTCTGCCAGTTTCAATGTGCCCTCCTTTGATATGAGGATATTTTGGGGCTTGATATCTCGATGAAAGATTCGATGTGAGTGACAGTAAGCAATGGCCTGCAGGAGCTGCTTGAGGTAGCTCTATAAGCAAAGGTAAAGGTTAGTATCAGTGCTGTTCCCCTAAGGACATTCTCATAAGAGGAGACAGGTACATACCTTGACTGTTGGAATGGATAGACCATCTGAAGCAGAATCAAACACTCTTTTAAGATCATTATCCACATACTCAAACACCATGTAGACTTTGTTGTCTGAGAAGATCACATCCTCCAAATAAACTATATTCGGATGATCCAGTTCTCTCAACAATGAGATTTCACGAAGAGCTGTACTGGGAAATCCTTCAGAGTCCCTGCACACAGTCATGACACAAATGAAATTAAGCTTTGAAATGTTATGCCATAGGTCTAATAATAATAATTTGATGGAGAAAGGACAAGCCAATCTCCTTGTATGAATTTATTCTCACCTCCTTCAAGTATAGCTACAGGTACAGTCATGTACATATTTACCCCTTGATGCTTTATATTAGACTAGAGCCTCATTTCAATATAAATGTGCAGGTAAGGCCTGATTCTTTAACACTAGAACTACCAGAGCAGTCAATTTGACCATTGTATTAAAAGTGGTATAAAACTATAATTCTGTAATATTTTATTTTTTCCATATGCTGTTTGGTAAGTTCAAAGTGTAGATATCAGATAGGAATAGTAAAGTGCATTTAACTCTTTGACTGGCAAGTTTTGCAGACGCCTATTATATGAGAGCCTGTAAAATTTACAGGCATGCCGCTCAAAGGGTTAAAAATGACAAGCAGTTAAAACAATTGTCCCAGAAGTTCTAGTGTTAACTGTAAATATACCAGAGTTGTAGATTTGCAACAACTTGGGATGTCCATAACGATTTATGGGAAAACTTTGGGTGACATGAACCACATCAGTTTAGGAGCTAAATTGATCTGATGTCAGCAAATATGTTTCGGATTGAGTTGAACTTATCATTAACCTTTATTGGCTGAAAGGTCACTTTTGTGCCACAGAATGCCTTTTTCCATTACCTATAGGTACAAATGCTATATTGTAACTTTTTGGGAAAATGTTCTGATACTCCATCAATAATGACTTCAATATCAACTGTTTATTTTTAGGACAGTTGCACTACTCAGCTAGCGAATGTTTAGGAGCTTCAGAGAAAAAATCAGACTGCCAGCACTTATGTGGGAGATTTGAATCCATACAAAAAAACAAAATTTGTGACATGCACCAAAAGCAATCAGTTTACTTCCCTCTTAAACTAATCTTGAAAGATACATCTGTTCCATCAGGTTTAATTCCCTAAATGGATTCTCAGAGGTAGTTCAGCATGCTGCTTTGCTGGAGTGGGACTCATCTTTCTTGCCTCTCATCATCTTGTGACTGTGGAAATGGAAATTATGAAAGTTTTTGATGTGATCTTGAACCAAACTGCCAGGAGGACTATCAGAAATATGTTTAAACCTCTTGAATGGTTCATTGGAGAAAAATTCTGAAGGTTTTATCTTTCAAAGGACACTGTCGCCAACTTGGTGTGGACAATGGAGCAGCAGCTGGCACAATACTCATCATTCTCTTTTGAAGTGCAATCACACCGTCTTTAACCCTTTAACTCCTGAGTTTCCTAAGGAGCCCACAGAGCTATCATGAGTATACTTGGGCATGGGATTTAAGGGGTTAAACATGTTTAAATCATGGATAAATATGTTCATGGAAACTAATTTGATTTTTGGTGGTGTATTTCAAAGATTAACACATTCCTAAACATGTTTATCTCATTTCTAAACTAATTGGAGTCCTCAATTGGTGCATGTCATCCTTTATTTTTACATTGACCCAGTTCAGAAGAGCAGGAACACACCCCATACTTTAGTTTCTCAACAGTCCTGCCCTCTTCAGTTGAATACAGAAAAGCAGTAGCTGCACTGGAAGAACTCAAAGGAAAAAAGAAAAATGTCTGGGGACACTGACATTTGGTTCCTTGAGGGTTAACTACACTGTCCACTTGCACTGACCCATTAATAAACATGGTTTCATACTCATATTTTCTACAATTATACTCACTCACCAAGTGCATCTACTGCAAATGAAATTTGCTATATTGAAACATAATTATCTTTACATACAGTTTTAGTTGTTGATAGGTAACTAATTTTTAGTAACACCCTACTGTATCTGTAACCAGTTCATGAAAGTGGAAAATTTGTTAAAATAAAAAATACCATTAATTGCCTTGAAAGCAAGGGAAGAAAAAGAACAATGACAAGAACAAGGATTAACATATTTGTCTCAGTATTATCTCGTTCCAAAAAATGGTCTGTCCTTCAAGCATCTGAGTGGACATAACCCTTTTCCTTTCATGCTCATTGCTCAGATATCTATGCTGTGATTATGGTGAATTTAATTGTTGATTGGAAAGCTCTCTTTATCTCCTTTGATTTTGTATGGCAATACAAGAGGATTCTTGCAGGAGTCCTAGTAGGGCATGAAGGAATGGTCCTTCCCAGCACTATTTCTTGGCCACTCTTTACTAGGAATGGTATATGAAGGAGTGCAGGGGAAAAAGAAAAAACTGGTCAGATGGGTTTTATCACCTGCTCTGTGCATGAGCAGTGTCCTACTTCCCTCTTATCTCATGTTATATTCTTTTCCCCCCTCAGTCCTCATGATTCATCAGACATGAAGAATTTTGATTTGGATTCTCTGGTTTTCCTGATGATCAATATTCCCAATGAAACTATAAATAGTAACATTGAGAATTGAAAGTTGCAACCCTACTGTGTATGCAACAAAAAAAAGAAAAGAAAGGTAAATACATCAACATCCAAGATATAAAAATGATAACTCTGAAAATAGCAGCCAGTTCTTAAAAAAAAGAGTAAAAATGACAGTTCCTGTCTTGGCAAAACTATACAGACCACCTTAACTACTCCTTACTCAAATTTGCTGATTCTGGACCACTTTTCTTTCCAAATTTACATTGTCTCATAGATAACTCAGGATTCAAATCAGCAATTCTGAAAATGAAGGCCTTACTTTTTAAGACTTAAGGATTCCAATTTTGTTTCAAATGGTTAAAAAAAGAAAGACTGAAAATTTTCCACTTCATACCTCTCCACATTACCAATCAAACTTCATATCCACCATCTTGAACTAATTATTTTATGCACAATAAGTGTTACTTTTCTCCAGAAATATGAGCAATGGAGACTTTAAATATACCCAATTAATAACAAGTCCCTTGGCAAATGCACCAAAAAGTAAACTTGATGTGAGAGTACTTTGTTGGTGTTTAGATATGGGGGGAGGGTGGAAACTTAGACAGATACTAAAGTGAAGACATATTCATGGGTGTAAAGTGTCTTGTAGTCCATTGTACTGTATTACAAGTCTGTGAATGTATTCTTTCTCTCTCATGAGATAGGCAGTATATCCTCTATATTTGACTCAAAAGGCAATTAGTTTAGAAAAGCAAATGGGATACTTAGCATTTAAAGCTAAAACATGATACATTAGAGAAGGGAGACAAGGAGCTGTCTCAGGATGAGGCATGGAAACAGGAATAAGAGGATGGGAGATTAGGGCTTGGGAAACCCCACCCCTGTAGGTATACATTGCAACAGCAGGATGACAGCCACCTAAAGATATCATGAGTTGTATGGGAATTCTAACTTCCAGGACAAAGCTTACTTGATCGCACCTCTAAATTAGGCTAAATGTTTGCAAAAGTATGCTAGTCTATAAGGATAAGGGCACGCCAGGCTGAAATATAGTGGCAGACACTTGAGAATGATGATAATCGCCAATAGGTTGAGTTTCTTCAAAGGGGCAGAAAGCCAATCTGCTTAGTAACTCCAGGCAAGGGTCAACTTTACGTTCTAACCGTTGTTACCCTCAATTTCTAGGTATTCACAATACATGAATGTATAACAAAAGGACACGGGAGAGTATGATTTCTTGTCTCTTGAAGGGCTAGTTACGGCGGATATTGCAGAAAAACGCAATGAAAGAAACTCACATATCCAATCGTATCCGCTTGAGGGCAACTAATCTCCCGTCGGGAGACTTCAGGTCCTTGGCTTTGTAAACAACGCCGTACGTGCCCTCGCCGATCTTCTCCACTCTTTCAAACTGATCCATGTATACTCCCGAAGACAATGTGAGAGATTGTAAACTCCAAATCAGAATGCACTAAAAGCAAGTGCGAAACCCTGTCCTCTCGTTCACTGGACAGGAAAGGAGATTTTTCTGTAACTCGCGCCCCGTGCGAGACGCCATTGATCTCTCTCCTTGGTTGCCCGATCAGTAACACGCTTCCCCTCAAGGTTCTTTTGATTTTCGCTTAAAATAACAACGCCCAGAAAATTTTAGCCTCCCCTGAACCAGTTCTCAGAGATATATTGAAGTTTAGTTTTGATTTAATGGTTGTGGATGTGGAATTTTAGATAGCTTCAAAATTTTTGAGGCCTGAGAGAAGATAGGATATTTTGCATCTGGCTGTGACTGGCGCCCAGATCAGCTGTTTTTGTTGGTCCCCTAGTCATTATGAATATATTTCGCGCGAACGTTGTCATCCTTTGCATCGTCTCTGCGAATAGGCATGACACCGGAGCCCCTCCCCTTTCTGTTACCAAGGTTAAACTTTCGTCAAGGCCAGCCATTTCAACTATTAGGCCTAGGCCTAGCTCAAGTACTACCAAGAAGAATTGACCTTCCATCGCTTCCTAGTTTGGCAGATCATGGGCTAGGCCTGCCTCTAATAGGCTTAAAAGAACATCTAGTCAAGCTCGGCTGATTATTAAGCCTCTGGGTGTGTGTCTGATAGCACCTAGCCTATTGATGGTAGCTCTTCAAGGTTCGAATAGGTATGTCAGGGCATTTTTGACCACTATGCTGTTCCTCATGAAGGTCAAGCATTTGTGCATAAGAGAGAGTGACTAATGATCAGTTCTGTTCCTGGTGTTGCAGTCATTCTCGGTTGAAATTCCCAGCCTCTGTGCATTAGATTCAATGGTCTTTGCTTATCTTTACTGTGCATAGGAATTAGACTATTTCTGTATTATTATTGACACTTGGCAGTCAGTGCAGGATTAATATTAGCTAGATTTTAGCATCACTTTTATTTTTTTTATGCTGTCAGTGCAATTTCGCTGAATGACCTGGTGAGGAATCTTGCAAAGTGAAGGATTCATAGGACACCACCACACCTCATCATTTATGTTGGCAACTTCTCAATGAGGAAGATTATTGTCTTCCAAGCTCTAAGTTGTCTGGATGGTGATCCTTTGCATTGCAAATTAAGCTAATTATGTATCTTGCATCCAGGAGCATGAGTTGGTCCACATATCAGATATGGAAAGAAACAATGTCAGCCTGACAACCTTTTAATTTAGAATGGCCTGCTCAAGGTAAGTAAAGGAGGGACCCCTTCATATTGGTAAATTTAGACCTGAGATACAATATTAGGTTATTTATGTAAAAAACAAACTCAATATTCCATGTTGCTACTAGGCAGCTTTGTTGCTACCTAACATGTAGGTCTTAGGCTATGTTCACCACGTGAAATGAATGCTTTGTTTTTTGTTGTTCTAGAGTGAACATCTACCAATACTTTTGATTCCCATTGGCTAATTAGTGTACAAATTTGGTCAACTTGAAAATGAATGAAGAAACCTATATATCAGCTGAGGTGCAGGGTGCTTGCAGTGCCCTTGGGTTTTTTGATGGGAAAGATTATCATCCTGAACCAGACTGCCTGGGTGAGTGTCATGTTTATATCATGCTGATTAATATTGATTAATAAGTTTTTTTTTTAAGTTGTCAATGACGTGTTCTTTAAAATGCCATGAGATCAAATTACACTCAAAACTAATGGACATTCCTAATGAGAGTTCTAAAGTGTTCATGCTGACATGCCAGGTAGCACTGGTCTCCAATATGTATTTGATGCCAAAAATCCATAGGTCTGCCTAAATCCAAGAAGACCATATGAATTCTGATGCAAGAATAGCTTTTAAAATTGCATTCTAGGCTTACTAATATTTTTTTTTTTTTGCTGGGTGAATCATCAAGCAGGACCAATAAATAAATGTCATGAAGTATTCATTTCATGAAATCAATTTTTTTCCCTCATGGATTCTATGAAAATTTGAACCTCACAAGGTGACTCCTGCTGCATTAACAGCTTTGATGTTTTTGGCAATCCTTTGCCTTAAATTTTTTATTTCAGAAACTGTGAAAGATCTTATTCGTTTGCTGCGAAGAGATACAGCCAATCATGACATCAGGAGACAATTAGGAGCAGCTGGGATCCTTCAATCTGACATCATTCACATTCTTATTCATTCATATAAGAAGAAGATGGAGTTGTTTGATGTCACCCTAAGGTCTGAGCATGTTATAACTTCATTCTGTTCCTTGCACTCTTGCTTGCATTCTTTGCTATATGGAACTAGGTTTTGCATTTCAGGTTAATGGTGAACCTGACAAACCCATCTTTACTCTTGTATAATGAAGAGCTACCAGAAGACAAAGCAGGACGTAACTACTTCCTGCAAATTGTTTCTCACTTGCAAAGATGCAAAGAAGCATTCACCAATGAGCGACCATGGAAAGTGCTCGTTGATGCTCTTGGAGATCTTCTGAACAAGGTTGAAAGTGTTCCCTTGCTTTTATATTTTTTATTCATGTACAGGTTTGCCACCTTCTGGAACATAAGTTCTTTCTCTTCATTCAGAGCTGGGAAGACAGGATGGAGGATGATCGAGTCATGCTGGAGAGGATACTGGTCTTGACACGGAATATTCTCCATGTTCCTGCTGATCCTCAGGCTGAGAGTAGAGCAGAGGGGGATGCCTCTATCCATGATCAGGTGCAGAGATGAATTGTGAAGCCTGGCTTATCAACTGATTAAAATTTTTCTTTCTGTCCCTTGAATTGGGGGCAAAATATGTTCCAAAAATGCATTGAATCCATGAGGTGTCTTTACTTGATGTAGGTGTTGTGGGCAATACATCAGTCTGGAATGGAGGATATTATGCTGTATATTGCATCAACTGATTCAGAGAAAGATTACTACCTGCATGTACTTGAGATACTTTCACTCATGCTCAGGGACCAGGTGAGACAATCAGACTAATCAGTTAGTACATGTGGACCTGCTTATTCTCAGAACTTCCCTCTTGAACAATCTAGAGAAGGGCCGATTTTTTCTATTTTCTAATTGGCAATTTGGGATTGGGTTTGCCTTTCTCTGCTGAAAGTTTTTTGGGTCCACATATGACTGAATACACCTGTATACATCTAATCTTATATTTCCCTGCATCTCTTTCATCATTTTGCAATTTAGTTAATTGTGTCTGTTTAGGATCCTCGAGAGTTAGCTGGGTCAGGAAGAGCTCGAACCCAATCTGAAAAGGAGAAAGATGCTCGGGAGCTTGCAGAGGCATTGTCCAGAGAGAAGAAACTCTCTGCTTCTAAGAATCCAATCTCTCACAGGTAACTCTATATTGTGCATTTCCCAGTGAATTGGGGAGTTTTTAGAACAGAGGGGTCCAACACTCTTATGATAAGCTGCCTGTATGTAAACCTTTTTTAAGTTCTTGCAGTTCAATATTTAATACAATATTTCTGGATATCACTCTAGTATTTCTCAAAACCTTTAACTCCATTGTGGTTATGCTTCAGCCAAGGAATTGTCATTGACATGAAATATATGAACCCACTGACCTAGGAATTGGTGCAAATTCTATCTTGGAGTTTTCCCTGCTATGGGACAGCAAAAAGTTAGAGCATTTCCTAGAGTAAAAAAATAAAAACTACTCCATAGTTTCCATCCCTGGAATGGAATATTTCCTGGAATCCTGAGCTTTTTCCTTGTCAAGGAAGAGGAATGAGACAAGGTGCAGGGAGTGAGTGAGATAAAGGCCATGAATCTGTAGACTTAGGGTTTCTGATCTGAGTGTGCACCCCCCCCCTCCCCTCTTATGAAGGGGGATGTGCCATATTCCAGTAGACATTGTATCTTAGTCCATGTTGTAATGAATTTTGTACCTACAGGCACTCTCGATTTGGTGGAACGTATTGTGTGAAGAATGTAAAGAGCATCTCAGAGAATGATATTATCTGCCACAACCCTGTGACCAGCTTAACAGGCCTCTCCTTCGACTACCGCAAGGTCGCATTTTTTGTCTTTTCTTCAAGGAGCTCTCTGTGTCATTGTATCTCTGTTCTCTGCTTAGACCACATCTGCTATACTCCTGAACAGACTCGACGGAGAGTACCAAAGAATCGTAGGATGGCTGAAGACGGGGTGAAGGCAGAGAAAAATCAGTCTGCTCTCTCTGTTCGACTCATTCTTAGAGAACTTGCTTTGGAATTCCTGAATGGTGCATACAATTCCTTCATGAGTTCTGTCAAGGTCAGCTCACAGTTTCTTATACCTAAGACAGAAGTACAGTATCTGGCGGAGGATATTCTGGTTATCAGTTGTGAGGCTTGCTCAGTTCCAGTAATGTGATAATTTATCAATTACAGGGTTTGCTCAGCTCTAGTCAAGGGGAAGCTCATGATGATTCCTACTTTCTCTGGGCCCTGCACTTCTTCATGGAATTCAATCGATGTCTGAAATTTCAAGTCCATCTTGTCAGGTGAGACCAAGACTCAAGATTTATCAGTTTCTTGGATTTGGAATTTGGGAATGCTCTATCTGTGGAAGGCGAATCAGTAATTTCCTTGATTTATTATGCCAGTGAGACAATGGGGATGTCCTTGTTCCATTGGGTACAGACACAAATGGAAAAATACCTAGAAATGATGAGAGCGGACAAGAAGAAGCTGCGACTCTGGTCTAAACGTCTTCATCTGGGATTGAAAGCCTATCAGGTTTTCTCAGTGCTGTTTTTCTCTTATGGTGAATGTCTTCCACTATAACTGGGTTTTGGTTCTCATTCACCAGGCACTTATTTCAAGTGTGGGAGAAATGCTAAAACTAGGAGGAGAAGATGGGGTTCTTGGTTCAGGCCAGACCCTCCTAGGAAAATTATTCTATATCCCTGAATATAGAGAATTCCCTGTGCATCTCCTCAATACCTACACCCCTGTCAAAATGTCCAAGTGAGTCCACGCATGGATATAATATTTGTTCTCTTTTTTTATTATGGTTTTTATCAGCAAATCCTCAGGTTTTGCATCACATCTAATTCAGTCATCCCTAAGCAAGAGACTTCCTCAGCCAAGATGGGGGTTGGAAATGAAATGGAAGAATGCCAAATGGAAAATATCTATGGAATTGAGAACAGAAAAATGTGAGAAAGAGGAGGTGAAAAAAGAGAATGACCTCCAAAATTGCTGTCACTCCCCCCCCCCGAGTGACAGCACCTTATTTTCTGAACAATATAAAAGTGCAGGGTGCAGGTGCAGAGGATTAGTTTCCAGGAAAAGCAGATCATTGTAGCATGGATGCCTACATTGCAGGAAAATCTGTTTGTTACTAAATAAACAAATTGGCAAGTTAGAAGCAAGTCATTCCTGATGGAATTGCAATGAATGAACATTCAAGAATGCAGAACCAGTGGTGCTAGAAAATCATATAAACACAGGCATATATGTTGTGGGTGTTGAGAATCACTATTCTTTAAGAGTTACCCTCTTATGGTGTTCTTTATGAGACCTGGATTACAGTGACTCACCCTTGAACCCTTTCCATGGAAATGTCTCCATTTGGAGACACTATTTGAAATTCATTCAAAGCTTGTAACAGCATGTGCAGCAAAGCTTTGAGGGAAAACAGAAGTTCTGTTGAAAGAATGAACTGCCATCCAGCAGTTCCGACCAGTTTCATCCAGCACCTCCGACCACTTTCATATTAATTTGCCATGGAAAGGGTTAAATGAATTGCAGTCAGTGGTGACATTTCTCTGCTGCTACAGTAATTCATTGGCCAATCTAGGCCCCCAATGTGTTAAGCACTCCTAATAGTAAAGCAATATTTGGGAGTAAAATTAGTTAGTGCAAAACCAATTTTCTTTTTGTGGGAAGCATTTTCATAACACTAGGCTTTGGTGATTGGTCCATGCTTTGCAATTACCTCAGCTGGCTATATTATTGGTTCTGTTGGAAGCACCACCCTTACATTGTGGTGACTTGTAGGTCTTTTTTCATTTTGCAAGGATAGCAACTACCCGCTTATTCAATTGATGGATTTAATATACTCTGTTCTTTTAAAATATATGGTAAGCTTTAAATTGCAATGATTGTGGATTGGCTGACAAATGAAGCATATGTCTGTCGCTTGGGCCTGTAAAAGTACATATTTACTTTCTCTTCCCCCCCCCCCTGAATCCTTGGGCAAAGGAATTAACTATTTGACTTGGCTTGAAAAGGTACCAAAGGGGTTTAAAATACTATATGCATTTTTCAACTGATCATTAATCCTTAATATATATCCTATTTTTGGGGAATTAAATTTATTATTATTATTATAAAAGTACTAATAAAATTTGAGAGCATGGTTCAGTATCAGTGACAATATATTAAAAGTATGTATCTAATGCTCTGGAACTAAAAAGTGTCCCCATTGAACTCTTTTCTCATACCACATCACACAGTCTCTTGGTTTCTGAGTGCCTGGGTTTGGGATAAAAAAAAAAATTATTTCTCATGGGCCTGGGCATGAAGAGGTGGAACACTTGAGTGTGGCTGGTTGATGGAATCAAGCATCGGTTAGCCTTGAGCCTGACAGTCTTGGCCCACCTCATCTCTACCATGCAACAGACATAATGCTTTATTTGACCACAGAAAGTCATACTGCTTGGGATAGCTAATACTTTGGACATGGACAATCTATTATAGCTGCTGTACAAGCTTACCATGCAGAAATGGGATGTGTTATGGTTCCTGCAATCATGGGTTATGAAAGTGCTGATAAAGGTCAGGGGAACTGACAGGATTTAGAACATCAAGAGGTTTGGGTGACCTGCAGAAATGGACCTAATACCTCTTGTAAATTAAACCCTATGTTATTGGAATTTTAAATTTTCCTCATATTTTATAACATTCCTGTATTTACAAGAGGTTCAGTTTTATCGAGACTTTCTGAATCATGTCATGATGTTCTTGTCTGAATTCCATCTGTGTTCTTTTTTGTCATCAATTTGGAACTCTTAGTTTTAACTCTTTGCAGGGCATACTTGAAAGATTTGGTGGAGTTGACCCAGATACATCTGAAACTAGTGGAAGAGTTCTCAAAGAGCACCTCTCACCTTATGGTGAAGAAGAAAAATCAGAGGAGGAAGAGAAAGAAACAGCCAAAGAAGGATAACAACTCAAATACAAATGGACAAACTAAACTCCATCAAGGTGAGCCAGAGCCCACACACTTCTTCAACTCAATATTTATCTGCATTGATATGTATACAAATTATAATTGATTAATTTAGAAGAGGATTTGGAGGGTCTATGGCACGAATTGAAGAGGTTGATTGAAGGTGAAGGAGAGATTGCTGATGATGAACCTGTAGTTCCCTTTGATCCTTTGATGGGTACTGATGAGATGGAAGGGAAAGCAGAGGCTGTTCGACGTATTCAGGCTGCCTTGAAGGCCAAGAAACCAAGTCGTGCTCGAGCTCTTCTTCGGGCTGCTAGGTAGGTCCTCAGGGTTTTCATATTCCAGGTTCTGATCCAGCTCCAAATTTAAAATAGCCAAGAGTCATAGCAGAATTACATCTGAAGCAGAAATGAATAATGAGGAAACGGAACATGACAAGTAACTAAGGTAGGAAGCACAATTCATCATTAGATTGGCAAAGCATTGCACAAGAATTGGAATATGATGGGATATCAAATGTATACTAGGGGTTTCAGTGGTTAACTGTGTAACTGCTTAACCAACTGATCTTTACTAACTGATTGCTGAAAAGTTCGTTTTGGTATGATACATTTCCCTCAGGTCTCTGGCATAAAAAACATGGAAAGAATTCCCAATCTATGAAATATTTCCATCCCTTGTTGGAAGCTATTTTTTTAACTTTTATTTGACTGATGGTTACTTCAATTCCTTGGTTACTGGTTAAGTGCTATAAAACAGAATCTGTCATGCCATTGTCTATGCAAAACAATCCAGTGCCTGCTGTAAATTCATTGTCTTGTGTGTTCCAGGGAAGTATGGGGAGATGAAACATTTGGTGAAGATGGCAGTACTCCTGAGGATGAGGAGAATCTCCTGCATGAGATTCTTCTTGTTCAACTTCCCAGATCGGGTAGGTTTGAGTTTCTCTCATGAGATTTTGGAAATAGTTCAAACTGTTGTTTGGGAATCCATGTGGTGTTAGTCATCACCTGGGTGGCTTCCCATGACTGTTATTTGTTTCCTGCATGGAGAAAGCCTGCTTTTTTTCTTTCTCTGTGTATTGGCTCTAATGCTCATCAACCTTGTTTTTCTTTTTATATTCTAGGTGTTAGGCTTACTCTTGCTTGGAGCTTGATGAAACAAAAGAGAGTGGGATTTAAGTTCCTCAAGCTAGGATTGTTTGACAGCTCTTCTTGCAGTTTATCATCCATTGAGTGGAAATGTATTGTTGAAGTGTTAGTGCAGTTTCAAGTGGAACATCTGGAATGGAATTGAATTGAATGTTCTTTCCTGAAGTACTGGGAAGAGTATCCACAAGGATCATTCCCATCGTAAATATGTACATCTTCAAACAAGCAGGGGATATTCCAGGTGGAGGTACAGGGTATCCTATAAGTTGAACAATGCTTTAAAGTTCATGGTTCCTTGTGCATTGTTCATAAATACCCTGTATATGAAAATTTGAATTTTCGTGGAAGGTTGATAGTTGTTTGACATGTATTTGTACAAGTTTCTTTTTTTTTTTTTAGTTAATAAGACTCGTTTTTAATTTAATTTGTGCTCTTCATCTACAAATGAGATTGTTAAATTGTGTAAAAAATCTTGCCTTTATTCTACCAAACTGCAGAATATGATTTATACGCAATCCATAAGAAAGTATTCCTTAACATATGAGATGCTGTGCACCTCTATAGTCTATCAGGGCCAAATTTGCCACGCCGGCATTGCCTGCTTTATGGTAACTCATTATTTTTGTGCTGTCATCAGCCTGTCAAAACGTCGGGCTCGAGGCTATCATTGGCGGACCTAGCTGTTCCTGGCACTCGTCAGGCATCTTATCAAGATTTCTAAAACCATGCATACGTGATGCCCCCCACCCCTCAGGAGCGTCGCGCCAGTGTTTGGCGGAGGGTCAATGGGAATTCACCCTCTCCCCTCAGGGGAAAGGAAGATGGATGGCATTTAACGAATCCTTTGAGGATTAAAAGTGTGGCAAAGTTGGACTGGATAGACTATACCTGGATTATTCCCTAATTGTTTAATGTATTGTGCTTTGAACATGAATTCATTCAATATTCTGCAACTGCATAATGAGGATCAGCTATTCTTGTGTGGTCACTTTGGTATGTGGACCAATATCTCTCTGGTAAGTTATTTACCCCAGTTAGGCTTTTAAGTCAGCTATTTACTAATCATTTTAAACTCCTTGGTATTAGTTCGTTATAAGAAAGCAAAAATCTGCCATTCTCAAATCTGCTACAATATTCAGCTTCGACGAAACGGTCTTCGATGGTCATTCATTTCAGAGTATTTCCCAAGTATTTTTTAAGCTAAGTTGCATGCGTATTTTAAAAGCTGTTGTTTAACAGTTTAAAAGCGTGTGAATCCGCCCTTCTCCCGAACCGACTAGCCGCTCGGGTCTTGACGTAGCGATGCCGACAAGATAAACCGCAGTAGGTTAAACCGGAATAATGAAAAAAAGAAAAGAAAATCGTATTGGGGCATCCGCGGGAGGTCATGCAGCCGATTCAAGTGCGGGAGGTCGAACGAGGTTCATCCCTTCACGGTTGTTCTTGGTTGGTTGTTCTTGGCAAAAAAAAAAAAAATAAGAGCGAAACCTTCAAACCTTTCAGCAGGTTTCTGAAAACTCTCCCCGACAAAAACGGAATCGTGCGACTATTAACGTTTTCCGTTGCCCAAAGCTTCTGCTTGAAAGCTCATACACTGAGATTAGATGAAGTTCTCTCTCTCTCTCTCGCAAATTCCCAATTAGTAGTTATCCGATGGTCTGGAGATCCCCCATTAAAAATGGCGTTATATTTTTTACGCTTTCGCTTTTGTGATTTTGAAAAGGAAACAGGCCTACTGAATCTTGTGCTGCTGTATGACCTGCCATAGTCCGTAAAACGTTCTGACGCGGTTTCATCTCGATGAAACCGAATGGTAGTAGGAGGCGGAAGACGAGGTTGAGGCAAGTAACGATTCCATCTCGTATTGAAGCAGGACTGCTTTGTTCGTGGGGCTCTCTCCGCCCGATTTTCAGTCTCGTACCCTAATGATAGGGGAGGGAAAACCGATACGATCGAAGAAAGGGGGGTAAGGATCAGGAACGTGTTGGTTCCAGGCGGTTTTCATTGAAAATCGATTATGCTGGGAAGAGGAGAGGGGATCCCGAGTCCTCTCTTCTCTCCAGAATGGACTGACCTACTCAAGTCTTGCTATGCTGTAAATTGCTTCCATGGATGGACGTGGATGTGCTTTTCGACCATCTCGTTATTGAAATTGTGTAGCGAGTATAGTGCAGTCGACTCCACTTATTTAGAATGCTGCTTAATAGAATACCGTTACGTGGTCTTCGTTTCTTAACCATTACATGCATTATGAAAAGCATCGCGTAAAGTAATGCGGCTATTAGAATAACCCGTGTTAAAAAAATATAACTTTTCAGAAATATGAAATTATTTTAAAAAATAAATCACTGAAAGGCAAAATATTTCCTTTTCCTTTTTCACGTTTTCGGAAATTACCCACCGACTTGTCCCCCGACTCCACCCTTGCTTCATGGAGCCAAAGTCATGAACAACTGCCACTTGAATTTTTGTGAACAGAGATTGGGGTCAAGAAGGATGGAAAGCACTCCCTTTCCCTTGAAATTCGGGTATAAATATAAACTGCAGATACGGAAACCAGGTATATAAGCTTGCCTTTTTCAGATGAAAATGAAAGCAAGCTCACCTGTAAAATAAATTGAGCCTATCAGCTCCAGATATGCGAATTCCGATTTGACTATGGAGAAAAAGAAAGACTATGGCTTGACTGAAAATGTTGCAGTACTGAAAGCTCATCGAAACGAAATGGAGAAATAAATTTAGAAAATCCAAAAATGATATAGTGCACAAGAAAGGAACGGATGTAAATTGCAAAAAAAAAAGATCTTGAAAAGCATACAAGGCAACCCCTGGCACAGGGAAGGTCGTAAATATGCGCGCATGCAGAGTGACGTCACAAGGATGCGCATAAAAGGAGCCCTCGGGCACGCTTTCGGCTCACTTTATCCCCAGTAGTCCAGGCAGAGGGATGCATCCTCTCTCGTCCTTTTCGCTGTTCTCGTGCACTCAGCCTTTGCGCTCTACTTGCCTTCCCAACTCCCCTATCCTATTCTTTCTCATCCATTGGTATTCTCTCGGAGTCACTCTAAGCTTCTCGCTATTTCCTCTCACTGGTTACTTTTCCCATTCGTTAGGTAGAAAAAACTGCATGAACCCAATTAGATTGAATTATGGGGAAAGGAAGTGGAAAAACCTGCGTGGTTTTTGGTTGTGAGCCTTCCTATCGTAACAGTAGAATAGAGAAGTCGGCATTTCATGTTTTCCCAAATTCTCTTGAAAGAAGAGAATGGATGAAAGCTTTAGGTGTCCACTCGATACCAAATACTGCACCCATACGCTCGCGCCACTTCTTGAAGGATTGCTATAATGCAGGATATCCTGACCAGAAAAAAAATCCTGAAAAATGCAGTCCCAAATTTCCAGGCATAAAAAAGTCTTCACAGGGTGACAGGGAACTGAAAATCCTCATATAGACATGTCAACTGAGTCAAACCTTCCTCCTCCAGAAAAATCCCTGTAGCGTATGAGTATGTATCGGCTTCTTCACCCTAACCATCCATCCACGTAAACACAAATTTTTGAAGTAGAAAATTCAAATGAGGTGCAGGCAAAAGTAGTTTTGGTCCGATAACTGATTATTCCGGAAAAGAAACCTTGGCAATTCTAGCTACGATTTTTCTTTTGTATTGGGATTTTGCTCTTCCCAAGGAAGACATGCAAGGCGAAGCAACATTCGTTCATAGCGAGGTGTTCATTTTCACTCTGGAATTCCTCTATCTCTCCCCACCATCCTCTTTTTTTTCTTTTCATCTTTTTTTTTTTAATCGGTGAAAGTACGAAGAGGTACATTACGATAGTTTCAGTTATTAGAATACTCCAGATTATGGAATCAAGTTTACTGGTCCAGGGAGTATTCCATCAAGTGGAGTCGACTGTATCTAGTGGCGAGAGAAAAGGAGAGATGAAAGTAGAAAATTTAATTTCTTCTAGCTTTGTTGGTTCATTTGAAGGGAGTCCAACTGTAATTTTCCCTTCTCTTTGCCTCGTTCTTCGTCCTCTCGTTATCTGCCTCCTCTGCACTGCCTCCATCTTTGCATATTTTTTATTATTAAAACAGTATCAAATTAAGTATGTAAAAAGAAAGTAAGCCCGCGGTCTGCAATAGAAAGAAACATCCAGAATGATGGCTCGTCTTTGAAGGAGTTTTGGAAAGACTAGGCAGGTTCGTCCTTGTGTTGCTTGTAAGTGACGTGAAATGCCCGGTTGGAGAAAGAAAATTTCTTCAATCGATACGACACGAAACCGATTCCGAGGCCGAGGACGAGGACTCCGAGGACGCTGGAGACGGCGACCCACATGACGTAACGGACGTCCCCGTCCTCCTGCGGACGGTCGACTGTCGTCTGCGAATGAAACTGCTGCTCCGCGGGAATCCGCGGTGACTCCGTCTCCGGCTGGGACTGGGTCTCGGACGTCCCTGAGGGAGTCGCGGCTTCCGTCGCGCTTCGAGCTCGAATCAATTCGTTGAGATCACCGTCTTGGAAGGAGGACAACGGCTTCTGGGCCAACGCAGTGGGGCTGGCACAACGAATCGAATTCGTGCGGTAGAAGATCCCTTCGCGTTCCTTGATCCAGTGGAGGAGGCGAGACATGTTCACGGATTGGCAGTCCCAGGGATTCCCGCCGATCTTGAAGGTTTCCAAGCGGACGAAGAAGTCCGATAGGTCTCGTCTCAGATCCCGTAGTTCGTTGTGCATGATATTGAGTTCCCGGACGGTTTTACCCAATTCCGCGAGGGCGGACGTGGATGCCAAGAAGTCCGCTGTCAATTTCGGGCTGTTGAATAACTCCAGAATCTCCAGGCTCTTCAACGGATGGAAAACCGAAGCGGTGAAATACACATCGTCTCCGATTCCGGATAGTTGGATGACTTTAAGATTTCCGAGAGGCAGGAACGTATGTTCTGCAATTTCCTTCAAAGGGTTTTGCGACATATCCAGAGTTTCCAATTGCGAAAGATTCTTGAAAGCCCCGTCAGTGAGGAATTGGATATAATTTCCTTGAAGGTCCAAGTTCTTCAGTCTCCAAAGGTCGCAGAAACTACAGAATCGAAGATCCTCGATGCGATTTCTCTGCAGGAACAGTTGCTCGAGTTGAGAGAGCCCCGAGAAGGCATTGGCTGGGATCTCCTGGAGCCAGTTTTCCTCGATATATAGCACCTTGAGGGAAACCGGTAGTCCAACTGGGATCTTCCTCAGCTGGTTCCCATTCAGCCAGAATTTGGTCAACGAGCTGAGATAAGCGAAAGCGTTCTCCTCGATGCTCTGAATGTGATTGTCATCAAGGACCAGAAGACTCAAGGCTGGATAACTCTTGAAGTCCTTTTTAGAGATCTTTGTTAAATTGTTACCCGAGAGTCGAAAGTCCCTCAGGCTGCTCGGGGCCATGTTCTCGGGTACTTCCATCAGCCCAAGGTCACTCAGGTCCACGTACTGCAGTTTGGTGCCGAATTGTTGAAGACTCTTGATGCCGGGTAGGGGATTTCGACTCAGGATCAAATGGGCTACGCTCGGCAGTTCCATAAACGTAGATGCTTCCATGAAGGATATGGAATTCCTGTCCAAGTTCAGGTACTGGAGGTTCTCCAGACCGTGGAAGGAATCTTGAGTGAGCCTTCCGATCTGGTTCTCCTTGAGATTCAGTTGTTCCAAACTCTTGAGCCCCAGAAACATGAGGTCGATGTTTGTGAGGTTGTTGAAGGACAGATCGATGGAGCGAAGACTTTTCAGCTGGGAGAATATGGTCTCTGGGAGATCCGTGATGTTGTTGTGACTCAAGTCCAGCCGGACGAGGCGAGAGAGGTCGTCGAAGGTCGTGTCGCGAACGCTCTGGATCCCACAGTGTTCGATCTTCAGCTCCGTCAGATTCCCCAGTCCGCGGAAGCCCTCTCGCGTGAGTCGAGGAAGATAGAAGGATCGGACCTCGAGGTGGAGGATGGAGGTAGGGAGGGTGGAGAAGGGTGGAGCTTCCTCGGGGGCAGAGCCTGCGCACGATGCCGTGTCCGCTTTTCCCTCGGCACAGTAGCAGGAAGTGGGGCATTCGTCCCCGCGACCGACCGCTGCGACGACCAGGACCAGGGAAAGGGTTAAGCAGATGTACATCCTCTGAGCACACCGGTCAATAGAGGAAAAACCTGTCCTGGAAGAGAAAAAAAAATTCCCTTTTAATTTTTTATCTCGGTTGCCCCCAGTCGGCACAGGATGGCACTCTTTATCTCTCCTCTATTGGAGGAAGTTGTCATTGATTAAAGACCGGCACACGACTGCGATACTTCCTTATCCTGACTTTGACCTTTTCTTCCTTTGCTCCCGGAGGTTCTTTTTTCGCAAATAACTTTTCTCTCTCGTGACCCCAGTGTTATTTTTATTCTCTTTTTTTTTTCTCTTCCTCTACGGATATTCAGGTTTCATATTAGCAGCGGCTAATGATAATTCATGATTTTCTCTGTGTCCATCACGACAGCGTTTCTCAACCGTTGCCCGCAGCCCTCTATGGTTCCCCAGTTTGACCCAGGAGGTGTGCAAAACCATGTTCAGAAAAAGGAGACTACTATTTTCCTATGGAACATTGGACCCCCACTGATTTATTTGAGTTAGATGTCATTTGAAGCCCCTTTGATGTTATACAGAAAAGTCTCCTGGGACTTTTTGCGAAAATCAATCATTTTCAAGTTACGAGGAAAAAATTACACTGTAAGATTTGATACTCTTCAAGTTCTTTTCCTAGGTTTTAAGCAAAAAAAGTTTTGTATTGCTCTCTCCCCATCTTGTCGGGGTAAACCCGGAGGGAGCATATAAGTAAGAAAAAAAGAGCGAAAGGCTGAAAACTAAATTAATAATGTGCAAATGCTCTCCAGATAGACAGGAAGGTTGAACATTTCGTTAAACTGTCTACACGATGATTTAATCACTGTTGTCTACCACTGGTAGTGTCCCAGCAGCCCAAACTTGTGCCACACAGGCCTGGGTGTCCACCTCTGCCTCTTAGGGTCTCATTATTCGTTAATTGATAATCACCGTCCTGAATCGTCCGGAGCTTATAACTAGGTAATAGGATGAGATAGACCATAAGCTGTGTACATAATTTGAATTAGCGATTTGAAATTACTCAATGACATCGGTATCGAAAAGGCCCAAAAATGGTACCATTCCGAAGTAAACTTATGTCGTTACCAGAAACGACTAGTTTATAGCTATACATGTTTGTGGAGTGGGTTCACTGGCCCTTGCGGTGTCCGCTGGGAAGGGAAGAGGTGACTGAGAATCGCAGTATGACGGTGGCTTCTATCATCCGTGACCGGCACTTTCGTCGCGGGCAAAATGTCGCATGCACTTTAGGTCGTTGCACTATTTCGTCGCGGACACCGATCGTCGCACTGTCTTTGTCACCAGGGCATCAGAAGGGTCTGGGAACGGATGGAGCTCGCACGAGTCTACGCATGGGTTCCTGAGAATTTTGCGTGGCGGCTTTCGGTTCCCCAACTGCCTTTGGCACTCGGACGCGATCGGGACTGGATGCATGATTGTGGTCGGTGGGTGACTCCGCCACTCCGTCATTTTTTGTGAGCATTCTACCCTTACAGCTTCGCAGTTCACATCGCCATGCTATCTTATCGAAACTTCGCCTCTCTGCATTATAAAGATATTTTTCGTAGTGAAACTTTTCTTTTCCTTTAGATAGATGTCTTGAGTTATTCCAGTGCGATCAACACGACTCAAGTTACATGCATACGAACGCTGAACGGCTCACAATAACGCGAAGAATGCCCTAAGACCCTTTGCCTCCACTTCCCTTCCCCAGCTGATATCCATGAGGAACACAGGGACCCTATTCCTTTCTACCCTTTTGTTCGTTTTGCTTTCGCCCCTTTCGCGCGTGTAACAGTCTTTGCCTGTGACGTTTTGTCCGCGACGGAAAAGCCAGTAACCCTGTCATCACCTACAGAGTTCCTCGACCATCGTAATTGCAGATAATGACGTTCAGATTGCGTTTGGTCACTTTCAGTAACACTAATTAAAGTAATCGCCGCTCCCCCGTTACGATAGGCAAGTGAGAAGCAAAAGTTTCCAATTTTTTTAAATTGTAGATCTGGGAAGCCTTGTACAGCTGTTAACAATTTTGTAGAGGTACTGAACCGGGGTCGCGGAGCAATGCATTCGGATGATCCAGATAGGAGATGCAATCGATAAGTGAAAGAATCAATTCCACAGAATTCTTCTTGTCCTTTCGTCTCACATTGGCTGTTTCAGTACCGATTCAATCTCTCCAGCGTGCGTCTATCCGATTCCCTCAGGAAACTCAAAATGTAAGTATTTTGCCTCCGTCAAGGTCACTTTATCATGCCTTCGATCTCGAAGCCAGTTTTTGTTGTTTTGAACCGGCATTTCGATCTTGGACTTTTTCTTACCGGGGGTGTTGCTCGGCGCATTTTTTATTATCTCGTTATGGTGGGAGTCATCGCATCGCATTAGTTGCTCTTCGTCGTCGGTCCTGCGCGCGAGCGAGAAAAAGCGAACCCGAGGAACGGAACGTCTTCGTGGGTGAATACAAACCTGCGATGGCCCTTTCATAGAATCGGATGAGCATACCTGAATGTCCTCGGGGCTGGGGAAGGGATCGGTCGGATGGAAATCCATGGAGGGAATCGGAGTTGCGTCTCTGTTACACTCTCGACTGTAACCCCTTCCCATCTCACATGCTCTCCCCTCGCATACACAGACCAGACTGGAAAAGGACTCGGCCCGGCTCCTCCTTCCATCATCCCTCTCTAATCGGGGTGAAACCAGAACGCACTAAACAAAGGAAGGAAAGAGAATACTTGGCTTTCGTTCTCCATCTTCAGTGGATCCGATTTCTTGGGGCTGCGAGGATCCATCGTCTTAATTGCAGTTGCTCTGTTGCCTCCGTTTCCGTCTTAATTGAGTTTTCCACTTTTTTGTTTTTCTTCCTTTGCAGAAGAGAGGGAAGGAGGAAATGAAGCTGACAATAAAACGGAGGAAGGCGAAGGAGGAAATGAAGCTGACAATGAAGAGGAGGAAGGTGAAGGAGAAGAGGAGGAGGAAGAAGATGGTGAAGAAGAAACTGTCTCGCGAGAAGCGGAATTCGATTTCCCAGACTTTTTAACCAGGTGAAAACACAATCTTGCTCCCTGTAGCCTTTGTTGGAAGTGGGGTATGCCGATAGACCTCATCTACTAAGATTTCTGCTCATATACCTTGAATGCTTTGCAGACTCGTGCAATTTTGCAGTGGGTTTGACGTATCTTTTATTTTCGTACTAGCAGGAAGGTCCACGAATATTGTGGGCAATCTAGATAGCACCTTTGGATCGGGAATCCAGCTCAAGGCATGAAATGGAATGATGAGAAGGGTATACATATATAAAGGACCTGGATTCTACGCTCATTCTTCATTTGAGTAATTTTCGCGGTTTCGGTTTACTTATTTTGTTTTAACTCCTCGTGCTATACTGAATTCCAGAACATTCTGCACGTTTGGAGCATTTTTAGACATTTACAGGCATTTCGAGACATTTTGGACATAATTGGAAATTTTAAATTAACTTTTGGATGATTTGGCATTTTTTGGCAAACCACCATGTCTTGTAGAGTCCTCTCTGTCATGTACAACTCTCTAGGAATAAGCGTGACAGGTGCCTATTACACTAGATGAGACAAAAAAAACGCGCCGTTCTTAGAGATTCTTTGAAAGTCATGAGATACCAGATAGCAGGACAAACTTTTTTTTGCAACGACTTCTACGTATCCTTTAAGGTCCTAAAGGTCTTGAAATTTTTTTCTCCAACCGTTTTAGAGCAGGAGCGAGAACGCCAAGGCAACTCGAATATTTTTTTACGCGGAGGCACATTGTCAGAAGAGTAGTTGGCACGCGTGGAGCGCACCTATCTCGAGTCGGAGCTCCTCTGTCTGCTCAAAGAATGCTGCTCTTTGCGAAAGGATGGGGTGCGCAGGATTTCGCAAGAATTTCCTGGATATGTAGAAAATAAATATAGATCTATTGTTAAGAGATTGATTCACAAGCTGTGAGAAACTGGTTTATCTGAGAGGAAGTGAAGAAGCAGAAGACTAAAACTATCCGGAGCTGAAGAAAAATGCGTTTATGTGGAATAAGTAATTGTTTCACTATCATAATCTGAGATCCATAATTCTCATCTGCGAATTGCCAGGCGTAAGGACGAGTCAAAGATCTACTTAGCGGATTCTGAAGTGCAGAGGAAAAAATCCTTGAAGAGAATTGTCATTTCTGGAAAACGTTTTCCGTCACCGTCCAGGTGCAAGTGCAAAAATAAGGTTCCAGTCGCTTTTGTAACATCACTCGTTTGGGCTAGATGACCGAGCAAAAATGTTCACGTCCTCAAAGGATGCATAGAGGTGTGTATAATAATAAAGGTTCGTTATTCTAATAGCTGTTTCAGAAGCGCCATGAATTTTCAAAGAGCGGCGCTGATTTTTTTTTTTGCCTCACCTGGTATATGTAGATTTTCTATTTCAATGGAAAAATATATGTGGGCTCTGATAGATGGAACACAGTATTAAGAGGAAGAAGCATTCTCCAATAAGCATGAAAAAATTAGCCACCAAAGAAATTGAAGAAATAGAATTATGGCAAAGGTTATATGCCGCAAGAGAGGGAATGGGATTACATGTATTTTAATGCCCAAGCATAAGCCTGCTGTCTCTGGAATATGCTTATGACCCTGAGGTAGTTACCACAATTTGCAAAGGATGAGTATGATCTGCCCCTTGAAACAAAATCAGCATGTCAGCATCTCCTATCTCCACAATGCTGACATGTTAATAACTTATTATAGTCTCTATTATCAAATTTTCATAGCCACATTCATTGGTTATACTTCCTTTCATTATATGCTTTTGTCTTGGCCCAAAATGTTCAAAAATATGGACAACAATTTACTAAATTGAATGCCTGCATGGAGCGTTTTATGTACCTATTGCATGGTTTTGAGTCATTGTAACAAATTGTTGTATGATCAAGGTTTGCAACAAGCAAGGTGGTGATGGCTTACAGCCTCCTGCTGAGAGAGTATGCAGTGTTGAGCCCTGGGACTATCATGTGCATCCTGAAGATGATGCACCGACTAGCAGTGACGTTGGATGACCCGGCTTTCTTCTTCCAGGCTTCACTGTTTCGCACCTTTCAAAAAATCCTTTCTGACCCTGTAGTTGAGATCAACCCAGCACTCCTTGTATGCCCTCATGGCTTCTCAAGTTCTCTGATCTGAATCAATGTTTCTCTAAATGATGAGGTTTTCCTATTAGGAAGTGAAGAGGTTCATTGCATTTATCATGAGGAAGTTCATTGAAGAAGCCAAGAAGAATTCCAAGTTGTACATGGAGCTCCTGTTTTGGAAGACCTTGCGAGATGTCCAAGAGATTCAGCACGGCTACGTCCCTTACACGTATGCTCGTGTCTCTAATGCTGAGGAGTCTCCATGCAGTCTCTGTCATCATCATATACTCCCATGTGGGATATTTTTTCTTCCAGTTCCAGATCTCAGGCAATGGAATCTGTGTGGACAGAGGAGCAGGAAGATGAAGTCCGGCGCCTTTACGACGAGTATCAAAAGAATCCCTGCCCAGGTTCCTGTCAATTATTTCATCTTTTCATGGATCTGTCTTGAGTAGACAAAATTTTATTTTCTGAGCATTTCTGAAACTAGGAAAGAGTGTGGTGGACTTCATCCATGAAAATCTCATCAATAGATGTAGGACACGTCGAAGGATCATGAAGAAAATGAGGGAATTGGAGCTTCCCTATGCAGTCAGCCTCTTCCTTGATTTCTGCTTTTATTGAAGTTAGAGTACTGGCACTTGCAAGGCATTTTCTTCATTCTACAGGTAGTACAAGGAAAGAAGCGTCCACCAAAGGAATGGAGCCAAGAGGAGCTGCAGGAGCTTAAGGGGCTATTTGAGCAGCACAAGAATGAACCTGGTTGGAATTCTTCCCAGGAGTGCTTGTTCATGTGTGATGCATGTTAGTTAGGTACAGCATTCATTGTCTTTTGTCATGATTTAATTTCAGATGCATTGACCAAGATTCAAGAATCAATGACATGGAAACGAGGGAGAGGGGTGATAAAGAAGACACTCCTAGAATTGGGACTCTCCCTTCCAAGGACTCGAGACCCAACAAAGACAAGGAAGAAGAAAAGGAATTTGGATGTGGCACGAGAAGACCTTCCTGAGTCGCGTAAACCTAACGAAGAAGATGGTGAGTTGTGACACTGATTGATTGGCTGGCCTCATTCTATGAATCCACCAATGAGAAACTCAAAGTCTCAATGCGGATTTTCAATTCTGATTTGCCTGGATGTTGGTTGCAGCCTTATTTGCAAGCTATTGACAGGGTGCATAGACTGATGTTTTTGAGATCTCACACTTTATTATCCTTTTCTTGTTAGAAGACCTTCCAAGTTTTTCATCCTCAACCGAGTCTTCGGGCGATGAGGATGAGGCTCGAGCTTGGATGAGACGAGGCTTGGGCTCTAAAACAAAGAAGGAGAAAAAGGAAACACATAAGAGAGGAGTGCTTTCTCATCCTCCCATTCGCCCCAAAGATGAGTTGGTGAAGGAAGGGAGAAAATTGAAGACAAATCCTTTATTGGAGTCAGCTATGAGATGGATCTTGGAGAAACTGGAAGAGGAAGCTGAAGATGAACATGAAGATGTGGATGAGGCAACACCTCTTGTTCCCATCACAGAGGAACAGGAGTCAGCCATGGAGAGAAGGGAGTTCCTCGACTACCTCACTGCTCTGGGATTCACTGCTCCATTTGAGGAACAGGAGAATTTTTGGCGGATCCCAAAGCATTTACCTCTTGTCACTTCTGCCATCTCTTCCCTCACTCATGCTTTAGGTTCATCCTCCACCTTTTGACTGCTTTTGAGTTTGAACTGGGCAGATGGTTTGTTGAACATGAATAAAAATGGGGAAGGATATTACAATAGGGTAAGGGCTATTATAATGATGATAATGATGATGATACCTGATTATGTTGATAAAGGTGATGCATGCAAAGGTACTCAAGGTATTATTTTTAAAGAGAATGTTGTGATTCAGGCCCATCATGCTTAACCTGATGAATTGCCATTGCCTGTTTCAAACCAAAGTTCTTTGTACTACTATGGGATTGAAGGAAGCTTCAGAGTTTTGATACCAAACTGTATTTCTTGTAGCAGAAGAGAGTAATGGAGATCTCGATGCAGGGGGTGTGAGCAAAGTAGTGTCTCTGAATAATGGCATGGAAGTGGAAGGAGAAGACAGTGATGAGGAATTGCTGACTGGAGGAGGAATGGAAGAAAGGAGCAAAAAGAGGATGATCCTTCAAGAATCGTGAGTGAAAACTGGGAAAAAAAAAGTATCTGTAATGGCTTTTAGAGAGCAATGATCAGCTGTTGGATGGATGGGCTCTCAGTTTTTTTTGCAGTAATTTGTTATTTTCTACTGCACAAAAGCTCCATGTGTTTCATCAACATACATCATCATTGACTTATTAAAGCACTCATGGTACTCAGACAGGTAAATTTTTCAGCTCTGAATAGACAATTCTCCCAAATTCTGAATATGCAAAAGGCTCCCTTCCAGCAAACCTTGATTTGAGAACTTAGAGTGACCATTAAAATGCTTGGCCTGACAAGCAGACAGCTAATTTGCTATTAGCCAAAAGATCTCTAGATCATCGTGGTTGGGTGGAGAACAGATTTGCTCATTCAGATCTTGGCAGAAGATTCAGGAGGTGTCAGTTCAGAACTCAGTCTGAGTACTGTGAGTGCTTTAATGTAGTAAAACTGCATGACAAAGTGATGGGGAACAGTTCCAATTATTTGAGAAAAAGGGGGTAGTTCATTGTATTAATAAGTGAATTTTTTAACAATTGGAGTTCAGCTGGGATAGGTAATCATTTCACTCTTGAAGAATTTCATTGTATCTGATTTCTATTGTGATGGGGTTTTACTGAGAGTGGTTGATGATGCAACATTGTGTGAGTGATGAGGGGGATTATGTTAATGGGATAGGAAGGTATGCAGCTCATGTCATTGTCAGAACTTACTGATCACCCTTTGTATTCATATGGATGATTGTGCTCTTGGCTGCAGACTAGATTTTTGATGCATGTAAAATATTTATCTTTCCTTTTTTAGATCAGATGAAGGAGAAAGGATTTCCAACAAGCAGCCTCACTTGAAATCTGCATCTGATTCTGATGATAGTGGTGAGTTGAGTGGAGATAGAGCCTCCAAATGCAGATTACATACAGTATTAGCTGACTGCCATTGCATAACAGGTCACGTCTGAAATTAGGGTTGAAGATGATCATGAAGTTCCTTTCTTTGGAATAATGTGTAGTAGGAGATGCAAATCATTCCCAGAGAATCACATCTTATTCACAGCTTTCAAAAATGTATTGTGACTTCCATTGTCTCCTTCTGAGGTAAACTCTGCTTCACAGTCGTGTAATACCCAATGTCCCTATTACAGCTTATCTGTCTCAGCAGTGCTTCCAGTTTTCAATCCTTAAAGGGCAATCTTTGGATGTTATTTTTCATCCTTTTGAGTGAGGTGAGAGGGTGACTTCCTCCAACCATTATTGCTGTTGGCAACATGAGGCACACAGTGGCAGGCATTATCCAGGGGGAGGGATTTTGAAACAATGAAACAAGACTACCTTGAAAGCCTTGTATCTGCTACTGATGGCCTTGGTTCCCCTTACTGAGGTCTTACAACCAGATTAATGACCACAGCATGAGGAGGTCATGCTGGTGCTGCACAGATGAAACTGTTCGGCTGTAAATGATCCTGTGCAATTTTAATTGGCAGTATTGGCTGGGAGGAAAACTAAATTACTCTCAGGTGCTTCATTGTATTCATGACAGGATGATGTCCTCATTCCATGATATCATTCTTACATATTTGCACAGGTGAAGTGCTCAGAGCAGAGTGGAGATCCAGTTCAGATGGTAAAAATCAAGAGGAAGAGAGAAGTGATTATGAGAATGATGGTGCAGATGAGGTTGAGACCGGAAGAGTGAAAGGGAAGAGACGCATATTGACCACCAACTCGTATGTTGGTTTTTCTGGTCTCTGTGGTAGGATGGTATCTATTCATATTGAAAAGTCCTATTTTGTGTTCATAGGTCAGACAGCGAAGAAGAGGTTAACAAGAAGCCTTCCATGGAATCTCTTGCATCTCATCGTGATGGTGGTGAGCAGAGAGGTGTTGGAAATTGCAAGTGCAGATTGCATGAGCCAATTGCAGGCACATAACAAAGCACATCCTAGAATTTGATGCTTCATTTCTTAATACTAAAACAGAGCGTTTTATTTCTATTGAAACATAGAAGTTGGTACAAATTTTTTTTTTTTTTTCAGATTATGACAACTTCAGTGTAATTCATTTAATTCCAGGCTGGTAATAGTTCTGTAAATGTGCAATGCCTTGTAATGCATAATATCCATTGTAAATGATCCAACTGACTTTAATGGATGCATTTAAATGGGGGAAAGGGAACATGCACCTGGTACCTCATTACATCCTCGATGTGAGAAAGCAAACAATACTTGATACATCTTTCATCCGAATTGACACAGGTGGAACACTCAGGGCTGCACGGAGACTTGAATCAAGTTCAGATGAGGATGAGAATCAGAATAAAGAGGGAGGTGATGAAGATGATAATGGAAATGAAACTGAGACGAGGAGAGTGAGGGGAAGGAAGCGCATCTTGACAGACTCGTATGTTCCTCTTTCTGTTTTGTTTTACATAAACTCGAATTATTCATTAATGCCCCTTTGGTTGGTGCTTCTAGATCAGATGAAGAGGATAAAAATGATCGTGTTTCTAAGCATATGAGACGACCAGACTTCGACCTGGGTAGAGAAATTTCTTTATTCTGACGGTAGCTCTCAGTGCTTAGAAGTTGAAGATTTGCTCTCTTTTTTTCTCCGTTTGGTATCAGGAGACAGGTTGCAGCCTCGTGTCGTGGATGATGACGATGAAGATTTCTGAATTACGTGTTGGATTGATGGAAGAATATGTGCAATGGAGCCATGCTTTTTCTGCTGCTGCTTGATTTATTTTCTCGTTTCTTAGCCGTCAAAAGTGATAGTTTATTCCAAGAGGGAGACTCAAGCAACGAACTGTAATAATCCCTGCACCCATCATCAGGAAGGACGGAAGCAGAGAGCGAGATGGGGCGGGGGTAACTATAACAAAAATGTAAGTTATTGCCGGTGCGAGGAATGATAATAGAGAAGAAGCAATAGAGTAAAAATGAGGAGGTGGTGTGGACGTGAAATCTCAGAAGGGTTGCAAAAATCCTCTTCACAGAAGCACATATGTCCCGTACCCTTGCTCTCTTTCATGCACACGTGGTCCACCATGAACAAATTGATCTGCAGCTGCCTGGAGCACATGCGCCGCACAACCTCATCCGCTAGAACAAAAACGATTTTCATTCAAGTGGAGCTTGTATCGAGTGATCGAAAGGGAACGTGTCGGTTTTGACCTGTGTCTTCCTTCATGACCATCTTGACGCAGCAGCCGAAGCATTCTTGCCTCAAGATTTGGTTGCTCAGTGAAGCCGAATAGTTGAAGGGATCCCCACACCGTGAATCCGTACGAGTGTCGCACTCGTAACACTGCACTCGCTTATCTGTCGTGACCATTCAGGAAGAGGGTCAGTCAACACAGAAAGTTTTCGTCTGAATCATGCCGATGTTGCAAATTGCTCGATCCATAGATTTTCAACACGTCGAGATGCTAGGGTGAACGTTGTTTTGGATAAAACCCAACAGTGGAAACTCAAGTTATTCCGGAGCACAGGGGTGCTGATACAGTCAACTCTCGATAATTCGAAGCTCAAGGGAAATTCGAGTTATGGAGGTTTTCGGATTCTGTGCCCCTACAACATTGTAAATGCAATACAATTCTACGAAGCTTGCAGCACTAACTCATTTTGGCGTATTCGTTTGAGAAGTCAGTCAGGCGAGTTTGGCGTATTCTCGTGGAAGCCTCACGATCAACGATCGATATTTGTGTCCTTATGGGGCTTTCGAAGGGAATCGAAGTAACTTCGAGTTATTGAGAGTTGACTGTATTAGTTCTCCCAATCAGGATGTTTTAGGGGGTTGAAGTGTGAGGAATGTAAGGAATATGCGAAAGATGTGGGCTGACGTTCCAGATCGGCAGTTCGATATCCACATTTTTTTAGCTGGCAAATATTGAAAAGGAACCTAGGGTTCCTCATGTTATCGTTCGGTGCCAAGTTTTGGCGGACGTTTGCGGGAGCGCTGGTACCAAAAGTTTTATATTGCTCCAATTCACTAATGTGCAAAATGAAATTAATTTGTCTTTGAAAAAGCTTCATCCATATGTTTTTAAAATGAAATCTTTAAAGGTGATTAAAAAATGGTATCCCTTCTTTATTAAACCACGAAGCAACTCCACCCACACTTACCATCTCTAGGCGTCACCCGGGATTCTCCGAACTCCCCCTCCCATCGTCATACAAGTTATTTCGCCTGCATCGGCTAAGGCAGTACAGAGGAAGTTTGCTACTGGATTGGATTCAACCCAGCGTCTTGACGTTTTACCGTTGAATTCTTTCCAAGATTTATTTATACTCTAGCATGGACCGAGAAAAGTAAAGCTTAGTTGACGCGGATGGTGGCAAAAGCTAAGGGCACGAGACACAGGATACTTACGCATGCATTCCTCTTCGGCCGATGCGAACAACATGCTCAGCAGAAGCCCTGTTCGAGTGGGGGATTCACATTGACACTCGATGAAAGCGTAACACTAGTCCCAAAAGAGAGGGGAGAGCATTACCAAGTGGGAGAAGCCATCGTGGAAGAGCAAGGCCATATCCCATGTCCAGAAGGGCGATGGGGGATGGGGAGGAGGAAGAATCCCTCTTCATCTCACCCACAGTCCCCGGATGATCGAGAAGTCAAGGGGACGACCCACACGAACGTGTACGCACTCTCTCTTCCCGATCCTCACCCCATTGCCAAAAACTTCCCACCTTCCCTTTTTTCTTCTTCTATCCTATGCTTCCACACTCTCCCCCTTCTCGCGACCGAGAGTCGAGATCGGCATTGGCATGGACTCCAGACATGCGCCGCACTCGGCATCGACCGGGCCCTACTTCGAGGCCAGAGGCTCGACCGATGTTATTGTGCCTCCACATATTGAGTGTCTCCACGATCAATTCCTTTTGTAATGCAATTAAAAAAAAATTTATTTTCAAATTTCACAGGTTGTCTGATGAATTCGCATAGATGATTTCAAAAGGCAAGGAAACAACGAGTTGCACTGCACGTAAAGGCTTGATACGAAAGGAAGACGATGGGTAAACGTTTCTCACGTGGAGCCGGGGGTGTTGTCACTAGAGATCCCGGGCCCATGGGTGTCAGTCGAAGCCCCGGGCCCGGGGGTATCGTCCGTCGAGATCCCTGGTTCGGGGGTGTCGTCGGTCGAGGCCCCGGGGTCGTCCACCGTCGTCTTCCGTTCGACTTCCTCATCCCGATCACCATGACAATCACCGTTCGTAAGCCCACTCGGGCCCACTTCCTGTGGATCGGGTTTCCGACCCCGGGCCGATTCTCTGAGGCGACGATTCTCCTCCGTGAGTTTGGCAATCTCTTCCTGGAAGATGCGGATTTTTTCTGCCGCTTCTGGGCTCATGGGAATTTCGCCTCGTTTCACATCATCCAGCTGATTCTCTAACAACTCGATCCTCGTTTCTAGTCCCAAGCACTCGCTCACCAGAGCCTCCTTCGTCATGGATTCCAATCTCTCGGCCGCGACGTCTTGATATTGTCTGGAGAAGTTCTGAGCAAGAAATTCCTCTTCGTCGTCGGGGGAAGAGTAGAAAAATTTGGAATCTTCCTCGTCCATGCTGATGGAGGTACTGTCACGGTGACGACGTTGATAATGTTCCACCTCGTGGTTCATCTCTTCCTGGTATTCCTTCTCGTGTTCCTCCATGAGAAACTGTGTGGTGTTGTAGGGCGCAAGGGGTTCCCCGTCCGCGAATCGCTTCGCCCTCTGTGTCTGTGCGCGACGCTCTTCCTCCGCCTCCGCTTCCTCTCGCTCCTTCCAGCTCATCTTGAAGTACGGCTTCCACTTCCGCCTGCTTCGTCGACCGTCGTCCGGCTTCTGGATCTTCGAATGCCTGCTGGTCTTCTTCTTCCGCTTCTTCTTTTTTTTCTTTTTCTTCTCCTCCTCCTCCTGGGCTCTCAACACCTGGGCCTCTTCACTGCCCATCGAGTCTCGCGTCGAGAGATCCGCACGACTCCGTACACTGAGATCACACGCGTAGCTATGATGAAGAGGCGGGGGAAAACGGGGAAGGAGATCCACAATGGCCGCTTTTCTTTGCAACCCAGCAAAATGTAGTTTCTCGTATTTCCCTCGTAGATGGAAATTCTCGGCTCTTTTTGTATGAAGTTGATAAATCGGTCTCCGTTTTATCAGTCGTTGGAATGAAAAGTCTGAGACTTCATATGAGAGTAGAGGAGAACGGGAAGAGAAGCGCAAGAATACGTGAGAGAAACAAGATCGTCTGCTTCCGTTCGTGCCGTGTCATGGATCCGTCCACTCTTCGCTCTGGTTAAGAATTCCAACCGCCTGCTTTAATATCTCTAGACTGTGTTTTCCCGCCGAGTTCTGCACTCATTCTTTCGAGTCCGACAGACATCCGGGATGTCTAGATGTAGCACCGGAATTGTAGCATAGGAAGGCCTCGAGTAGGATAAGCTCAGCCTAAGTTGCGCTTTTCTGAGGCATGAGTAATTGTTCAGTTCAATCGAAAAACCATGTAGGCCTTTGTTTATAAGAGCAGGCTATGCCTAATAATTAGGTTTCGCGATAGGCCTAAGGCGTAACGTAACATTTCATAACGGACTCATGCTAGGTCTAACGTTAGGGGCCTAAAATTACAACCTTATGAATAGGACTAGATTTATCTTTAATCATGGGCAAGCTTCATTCTGCTCGTGGGTTCACAGGACTTCCCGCAAAATTACCCAGCCGATGGCTCGTGGGTACTGGCCCACTGGTTCCGAGATACCATATGCCGATCTGTCATATTTCATGAATCCCAATCGACCCAGCGATGAGAATCGTTTGGACCTTTCAAACTTGGTGCAGCAGCCATCTAGAGGAGACCTACCATTGAATCTCAGCAGTGGGAACGGAAACTCCAGCTCGGATAGAGCTGTTGGCTCTTCAGGTGGCCATCTCCACTGCATCCGTCACCTCCATAACCCAGTGCCTCCTGGACTACCAAGGGTGATGGCCCGGGGAGCCGAAAACATCCCAGGGATCTCTAGGAATAGACTAGCTGTGGACGTGTCAACTGCATCTGGTTTTGGTGGCTGCTTTTATTCACGACCAATGCAAGATGCCCACTTTCCACTGGGTGTTGGTAGGGTGTCTCTAGGAGGAACCAGTGGATTCTATCATTCTCATGCTCAGTCTCACAATGTGCCTGGAATTCGAGTCCCTGAATTCCCAGCTCCTGAAGGGCAAGCAGATGATAGGCTAACATGGAAACCAGAAGGAAGATATGCAGTGAGAGAGGTGGATGTTCCATGGACAAACTCTGTCATTTCATCCACAACTGATGAACTTCAGCCATCTACTTCTGGAATGGGGGAAGTTGCTGGCTTCTGGAGGCCCAGAGTCAGGGCCAGGGAGGAGGCTAGATCTCTACTTGGGCCTGATTTCCTTAGCACAGGAGCCTCTGCTACCAATTTAGGCCCAATACCCCATGACCACAGAAATGGTGAGTTTAATTGGACTGGTATACCAATTGCCAGTGGCACACCCAGCCCAAAACTGCACAAACTCCCAAAAACACTACCCTGAATTTTTAGGAAAGGTATTTCTTTGATTTAGCCCTAAAGCTCTTAACATGGGTGTGATACCATTATAAGCCTACTTCCAGCAGTGCTGGAAGTTCATGCAAAGTTTTCTTTTGTCACATAGTCTTAGATCATCATACAAGAGTACGATCCTTAACAACTGGTTCTGTGCAAGTGGGTGGTCTGCATGAAGAAAATGGGGATGGTGTCCAATCACTTGAAGTTGTTCAACACTCCTCTCTTCCTGACCAAGAACCAGTTTCCTCTTCAGCATCCTCTCCACAAGATCCTCATGTATTCAGCCTAGCCCTTTCTAACTGGTACAGAGCAAGTCCATTTAATACATTTGAAATTAATGTTAATGTGAAATTCTCAGGGTGGGGCAGAGATGAGGGAGATTCCCATTGTTGACCTCACAACCGAAGATGAAGGAAGAGCTTCCCATGGCCATGGATCCTCATGCCAGTTGTCTGATCTCAGCTCAGAGCCCCAGTCACCTTGTTTGGTTAGTTCCTAGCCTGCATTTTTTAAATTTTTATTTGCAGCAGTTTTTTTGGAGTTGCAGTTCCTTTCAAGGATTGTCAGGCTCCTTAAACTTAAATTGTATGTTCAATTCCACTATACCATTATGTATGTATTGCTCTCATGAGAGAACTGTGACATCCTGCAGATAATTTTCAGGTTTTAATTTTTTATTTCTGGTGGCTATCCATATGCTACTAGACTTATGCAGTATTGCTGTTAGTGGTTGAAATTGATACCTTGAAATTATTGCTACATTGATTGCTGATATTGCTGCAGTTCCTGTAAATATGTAATGAGAGCAGCACAGGCCTTAATTTGAGTTATTGAAACCAATTCTGAAGTCATTCCATGGAAAGTGAGAGGTTTATGTACAAGACTGAATGGATCGTGTTGATATGGCAGAGGTAATTGTGCAGGTCCCACCTTATCTCTATGGCCCACCTTATCTCTATAAGGCAGTGTCTATGGTGCTGCCTTGGTGTACCATCACTGCTTAAGTGGAATATTAGTGGAAGGCTGTGTATTGACCTGTGCCATGTGTAAGTGGAACATGAGTGTGCAAAATAACTGCATAGGTGTTCCAATGTTTTTGATTGAAGAAGAATGCTTGTTTTCTAATGCAAGATGAACATATCAGGTTCATCATCTACCCTGCATATAATGTGATGAAATACCTTGGTACTGCATGACCCCTAGTAAGTTACAGCTGGTTCTTTTTCATTGCAGTGGATAGGCTCAGTGGGAGTTTCATCTGGCAGAGGAGGTGCTGATGAGCAACAGAACAATGCACCTCATGCATCCAACTCATCATGCTTCTGTTAGTATAATATTTTGCATCTCTCTCTCTCTCTCACTCACTCTCAATTCAAAGATCCTGAATCTTCAAATACCTTGTTTTTCTATAGGTGGGAGGCCATCAGGAGGAACTGCAGAAGGAGGGGGAGGGACAGGGAGTACCTCACTCTCAAACACCTGGCACCATCCAATGGCCACATGGGGAGGAAGTGGAATGACAACACCCAGTGGACCTTGGGGCATGCATCCTGTTCATTGTAGGCTCTGGATGGACCATGCTCGGAATCAGGAGCTGAGGAGACGGTGGCTTGCAGCGGCTCCGTATCCATCATTCCCTGTGCAGCCACAGCCCCACTCCGTCTTCCCACATTCCCGACCTCAGGCCCACTGCCATGCTCACCCTCCACCTGCCCCTCCACCTCCATCATCTGATCACATGGCCAGGTCTCCCTCAAATTCCCCTTTTCAATTCATGTTTCCTTACACTAGAGGATTAGTCTCATCTAGCTTTTTATTTTTCTCCAGTGGCCACTCGTTCATGGAAGTGGGAGCTGAAGGAGGGAGCAATAGTGGCAATAATGGCATCTCTGCCTCACCTCAATGGTTGGGTCCAGCTGCAGCACCAGCACCAGCAACAACAGTGCAGTCTAATTGTGGCCAAACGGCAAGGACTTGCCCCTATGTTCGTACCAATCCAGATTCAACTGCCTTCATGGGTCCTTCTACTGACTATTCTCACCCACCACCTCCTCCACCCCCTCTTGTCACTTTGTAAGCATTGGGCCTGCATTTTTTCCTTCAGAGAGTTAAAGTTAAAGAAAGAGTCATGATGTCATGATATGCTTTGCACTGTGCAGGGGCTGGGGACTTGGAGAGGTGGCATCAGCTGGTCCTTGTATCCATCAGCCTCATCCTCAGCTCAACTTCAACATCCTCATCACACCAGTTCCCCCTCTTGCAGTCAGTTTCTAACTGTCCTGTTTCGTAGTGTTGTTCCTTTAAGGTGATTAAGTAAAAGTGTATGGTCCTGTACTCCACAGTATGGCCCAGCCATTCCTGTTCGACATGGACATCACCACCACTATCATCATCACCATCTCATCACACTATCCAGCATGGAGAATGATCATCAGCGAGGGGCTTCCCAATCCACTATTGAGAAAAATACTCTTCCTTATAAATATGAAAAGGTATGTTGTAGACCTTGAACATTCTGAGAGACATGTGTTCACCCAAATTCCTGTAGTCTGGTAAGTGAAGTCTTCTTTGTTCCAGGTTGTGACATCAAATGCTGAAGAAGATGGAGAGAAATGTACTATCTGCTTGTCAGAATTTGAGCACGATGAACATGTTCGGTGAGTTGCCTGTTATTTTGGAGTCAGAGATAGGGTAAACACCCAGTTTTCGGCCACGCTGATATGACTCCCATAGGAAGTGGACACCCTCTGTGCACACAGGGAAACACTAGTAATTGATCCTTGTATGGGAAGATGTTGATAGATTGCTTGAAAACAGCCTGATTAACTAATTATGCTGAATTTAAGCCTCACTGGCCAACAACTGGAGACCGGCCAAAAACTGGGTTGCTTACCCATAAAGTCATTTAAAGTCTAATCTATCTCTGCATTCTTCTGCACATGATTTTCCTTTGCTGACTGGTGACATGTTGGTTGCTTGCAGACGTCTACCATGCATGCACTTGTTCCACCTACCATGTGTGGATGAATGGCTGCGAGGGAATAAGGTGTGCCCCATCTGTCGAGTGGATATCGAGGCTCATCTCAATCGGGATTATTCTTAGAAGATAATCTCTGTTTCATTGTCTCCCTTCACCACCACACTCATCAGTATTATTACAGGTTCCATTGAAAGCTCAAAGCCAAGTGTGCTTCGTCTCGAAGAGTTGTAGAGAGGAATGTGGGGACACCCAATTTTCCAGATATAGATTGAATGCATGAAATGAAATTGAATTCTTTTTTGCAGGCTGAGACTGAATCTGGGAATGATAGAGGACTAGCTAATGCAGGTATACAGTGCTTTGATATTATGTAAACTCACTGGCTGATCTCATATCCTAACTCCCTCTGATTTGATCATAGAACTCTGAAGTACCAATATCCCTTTGGTGCTGAATGTCCTTGGTATATGTGTTTATTAGCTTTCTTGTTTCTCTGCCTATTTGTTTATTGAGAATTTTGGTTGGTTTTCACCCCTTCAATGCAGCCTTTGATGATTGATGTTCAGCACTTGCTTGATGTGATGAACTTATGTACTTTTAATCCCAGTGTGGTGCACTGGGTTGTTTTCCTTGGTGATTACAGGGTAAACCCCCAAATATTTTGTGCAGACTGGGGATTTGAAGTGTGAAAATCTTCCTGTGCCATTTGATCGTCTCATTTATTCAAGACTTTCTTCTCCTTTTTCTCCTCTCCGTTTATATCCCCTATGTAGGTAAACATTGCAATGCTGTGCATTGGAGGAAGATGCAAACACAGGAGGGGGTATTATTTTGTGATTTGCAGTATGAACTTCCTGTTTCAACTTATTGATAAAGTTTGAAGCCCAAAAATGTGTGTGCATGCTAGATTGTCATTTGTTTTTTTTTTAATTTTTTTTTTTTCCTTTATCCTGTGCATTGCCTTTTGAAGTTGTCCTTGAGACAATAAGTCAATGAGACACTTGGGGGAAGTCGAAAATGGAATTTCATATGGGATGTGCCTTTCTTGCTTTGAGGCAGTGTTTCTGTTTCAAATGTTTACTCAAGAAATAAATCCATTCGATGAGGAAAGTCTTCAGTGAGATCACAAGAAGTAAATTGCTGACAGCATGAGCAAGATAGAGAATGGACGGTGGAGAGCAGACGTGCTTGTAAGAAAAGGATAGAAGAAATCATGAGGTAATCTCATATCAAAAGGTGGGAAAGGAAGCGGCAGAGCAAACTCTTGTTTCTTTTGTCCCGACAAGTCGTGAAAACTGATTTGAAAGTCGACTCGAAGTGACTCTCCGTGAAGGAGGTGCGCATAACGTAGGTCACGCAAGACGCCTAGGATCTTCCCTTCTCCCAGCTTCTGCTCTCCCACCAAAGCATAAAAAATGTGCAGATGCCCTAAAACGGGTAAGCGTGGACATTTGGTAACACCCGACTTCTTAGGGGGAAGCTCCGCGACTCTCTCCTCGATGGGGACCCACTCTGATGCCTGCTTCATTGGGGAGTTGGCATACGATGCGACGTATCCAGTCAAACCAAATTGGAATAGGGATGCCAAGTCTGATGCCAGACCTTTACAGTCTCTCCCATCGGTATTCACTTGACACCCAGAGCTGACATGAACACCGAAGCGAACGTTCTTTATCATTGCAGCTCTATAAAAGTCTTTACAGACGGAAGAATTGATAGGGATAGGCAACTGTGGTACGCGGATGGCTTCTTGGACCTTGGAGTCGCCACCGAGAATAAAGTGTCCACATTGGATCCGATCTCCGATACGATAACCGACTCTCCTGCTGGTCTTCCATGTCGCTCTATTCCGTTCTTCACTTTTAACCGAAGATATTCGATGTTGGAGGTTGCGATGCACTGGCAGTTGGACGCCGGTCGTCCAGAGTTTCACCGCAAAGGTCGTCGCCGAGTCGGGATCGAGCAGAAATTCGACCGTGTCGACGACACCGGCGCACCGATTCGTCTCGGAATCCCATGTAGGCTGCGGAACGTCGGTCGCGATCGCGGTGCAACCTTCGGGCACGCAGTAAGTGGTATCGACATGAGGGAATTCTTCCCAAGCACTCGTGTTCCCTGACACTCGTCGATAGTGGAGCAGGTACGGGTGTGGACGGCTCACTTCCTCTAGACAGACGTCTGTGTGATTCCTTTGGGAGGGGACGGTCCTCATCCCGACGAAAACCCTAGCGAATGCGTTGCCCTCCTCGCACTCTCGAGCGGAGGTGATCTCGCCGAAAGAGCACCGAGATGTCTGACCCAGAGAATGGGTGTTGAACGGACGCACAAAGCAGGAGTTTTTCAGGAACTCGGTCGGGAAGGCCAAAAGAGCCAGGGTGTCGGGAGGAACAAACACCCATCCCGACGGATGATGATGGGAATCCAATAAAGAAGCGAGACGTTTCTTCTTGCACTTCCCACTCTCCACTGCCACCGTCCCGTCGATCAAAAAACTCTCATTTCCCTTATTCACTGTTTCAATCGGTACGGGAACGTTTGTCAGTAGTCGAGTGTGATTCAGATCGTCACTCGAAACGGACGGAACGAGTAAGATGACAGAGATGAAATGGAAGGGAAGCAGCCGCATGTAGAAAGAACTCCACCGACGGTGCCCGGCAGTCACTGTATAAGCGATCCGAAGTTGTACGGTTTGTGCGGACACGGACCTCGGCCTTCACGTATCGTAGGAGATCGTCAGGTGGTAAACAAAAGCAGAGGCTATCGAGCACTGCACCAGGGTAGAAGGCAGGTGGTTCACAGTACGTAGTTATATTAGGGGAGCAAGTTGTGCGGGAAGAGGCGTGGCGGGTGTTGCCATGGTAACGCCTTTGCTATGGCTGCTTCCTTGTCCTTCGGCGAGCAGCTCACGTGCTTTCACTCGATTTCTCCCCGCTTCGGTTCTTCTTTCCGCCATTCTAACGTCTTCCAGGGCAACTTGAAAGAGAGCTGAGAATATCATTGGTGGGTCTCGCCAACTATCTTTCTTTGTTCTCTGGCTGTAAGACTGGGTGTTTTCTCTATAACTTAGCTAGAGTAGCCCAGGCTTTGTCTTCAAGGCCCATGATAGGTGGAAGTTGCAGTCCGTCACTTGATCGATTTTTTTTGCCAACATAGTTCCCTTAGGTCATAGAGGCCAAGGCAAAAGGCTCATTCCATCGTAGCAAAATGGAGCTCGAGGAAGAAGGCCGCGAGTTCATGGAAGACCTTCCATACAATTTGGGTCTTGGCTGTGCCCTGGACATGTTCAGGGAGGTCCAGGAAGTGAACGAGATCCTGAACATGGTTGTAGAAGACTCACAAGATGCGACAAAAGCTGAGAAGCGGTCAGCCCGTTTGTCTTTCATCTTGGATCAGTATCAGGAACAACCTCACCTCCTAGATAAACACTTGGATCAAATGCTGTCCAAGCTCATAGATACTGTCCGCCAAAAGAACATGCCCATGGCTGCTATCCATCTTGGCTTCCGCTACCTTGGCTTTCTCACCAAAGTTCGAGGTTACAAGATACTTGTACGACATCTTCCACACGAGGTGGGTCCTGTCCCCTCTGCACTAGTTGTATGATTTGTCTCTTGAAGACATTTAATTACTTTTCTGTGCCTGCATTTTGCAGGTGGGTGACCTGGATCCCGTACTAGAGATGCTGGAATCCCGAGGGACCGGGAGAGAGGAGGATGAGAATTGGGAGACAACATATATGCTTATACTGTGGCTCTCAATCATCATTCTCCTTCCTTTTGACATGAAGAAACTAGATCCTCGTTCCCTTCTTCTTTCGGCGGGTGATGCCGAAATGCAGAGCAGGAGACCTCTGCATGGCAGGTTGTCCATCCACCTCTCAAAACTTAAAACTTGATGAAATGATAGAGCTTTAGAATCATCATTCTTGTATTTTGTGTATGTGATTCTCTCCTCATAGGGTTGAAGATGTGATCAGGAAAGGATTAGAAAAACAGTATCACAATTGCTGTGAAGCAGCAGCCTTCCTATCAGCCAAGCTGTTCCTTCGTCCTGACATGAACCAATCCCATCTCTCCCAGTTTTTGCAATGGTGCATGCAGGTAAATCAGCAGCCCTCACAACACTTGTAGTTCATGATGAAATTTTAGCTGATGAAGTTTATTGATATTGTACAATGTTGCTGGATATGCAGATCATTCAAGATGATTCTGAAGAGAATAAGTGGAGGATTGGAGCATTAAGAGCCTTAGCTCAAATCTTCAAGCAGGGAGGGAGGGAAACCCTCTTGCCCCAGGCTCCCATTGTCTTTGAGTCAATCAAACAAGCCCAACTATTGAATTCCCCAGTCACACTGGTCAGGAAGATTGCAATCAACATTGTGCAACGCATTGGTCAGCTTCCTCCCTTCCCTCTCCATTGAGTCCTGAAGGAAACCAATATCATTAGAGTCCTCCTCATAGGTTTGACATTCCTGAAGCCGAGGGTTGCCAAGTGGCGTTATGACAGAGGAAGTCGCTCCCTCATTCTGAATGTGGAGAAGAACAGCAGGATCAGCTCCCAGTCAGAAACACAAGAGAAGCAAGATTTAATGGGAGGGAAAGACAGTGAAGAGGATGAAGGATATGAGATCCCTGATGAAGTGGAAGAGATTGTTGAGATCCTTCTTCAAGGTCTTCGAGATAAGGACACGGTCATCAGGTGGATTTCCCTTGCTATTTTTGGATTCAGCATTGTCTCTGATTGACTATGTTATTCTATCAATCAAACATCATTGTATGGATTTTCAGATGGCCAAGTGCCAAGGGGATGGGACGGGTGACAGGACGATTGCCAAAGGAACTGGCAGATGATGTTCTTGGTTCCTTGCTTTCTCTGTTTTCACCTCTAGAATCAGAGAATTCTTGGCATGGTGGCTGCCTTGCCTTGGCTGAGCTTGGTACATCTTTTGTTTTTGACATCTTTATATTGGGCCTCCTTTCTTGAAAGAGGAGACCACCTACAATCCTGTCCTGTCTATGTGTCTATCATAGATTTAGCCTGTCCAAAATTATGCACCTAATGGATATGCACCTATTGGGATATGCATGTCCTAAAAAGTATTGGCCTCGTTGCTGTGAAAGTTGATTAGCTGAAATATGTAGGCAAGGCTTGGCCTACGTTTGTTTTTGGCAGAATTTGTGTTATAGATAAAATTTGCAAAGCAAATTTTTATTTTTCAGATTTGCTCATGTTAGGAAAAGTATGCATAACCTTCAGCCTCACCAAAATCTTAACTTTGAGTTGCATGCCCAGTGCTTAGCCTGGATCAGGCTTTGTCTTTGAGCAGAGCTGCCACTTCTCTTTCAGTCTTTGTAACTGCTGACAGCTCCAATTTTTACAAATAAAGAGAATGGTAGTATATGGCTGTGGAGACAGGATTGCTAGCTGAATTCATGCCATACCATTTCTGGCAGTACTGCACTTCATACTCCCCTCTGTCTCTCAACCTACCTGCCACTTCTTCTACCTGTCTCCAACAGTTATTGAAAGGAGGCCTGCTGCTGGAATGGGCATCTTCAGCTTCATATGTATTCATCTCATTTATTTGTCCATGTGAATCCAATAGGAAGGCGAGGACTTTTGCTGCCAAGTCGTCTTCCAGAGGTGGTACCTATTCTGCAGAGGGCTTTGGTGTTTGATGAGGCTCGAGGGAACTTTTCTGTTGGACGTAACATCAGGGATGCTGCTTGTTATGTTTCATGGTCCTTTGCTAGAGCTTATAGCCCTCAGGAAATGGCTCCTTATGTTCCTGTGATTGCTCCTCAGCTCCTCATAGTTGCCTGCTTTGATCGTGAAGTGAGTCTCCTTTTTTACATTTGAACTGGATTTGTGGTGTTTGATCAATCATGATGACTTACATGCATGGATAAACAACTTTTAAACTGGTTTTTAGGTGTTTGAACCCCTAAATTCAGGAATTGAGAATCAAGCTTGCATTACCTGGGTTGCACTTTTGACAGGCTTATTGTTCCAATTGCTCATTGCTTTCAACCCCAGGCTTGATCAAACACATTTTAATTTGGAAAGATTGTACACATTGTCCTTTGTATCAATGATGTTCTAGGTAAATTGTAGAAGAGCAGCATCAGCAGCCTTTCAGGAGAATGTTGGGCGACAGGGCTCATTCCCACATGGCATCGACATCCTCACAACAGCTGATTTCTTTGCCGTTGCCAATCGCAGGCATTCCTATTTAGACATAAGGTATGCTCCCTTTCCCTGGTGTATCATCTTGTCATATTTCATTGATGTCATATCTCGATTTGATGCATGTCTTTCTCAATGGCATTCAGTGTGTTCATTGCTCAATATGAAGAGTATCGAGAAGCTTTGATCTGTCATCTGGTTGAGAGGAAGCTAAACCATTGGGATATCATGATTCGGTCCCTAGCTGCTGAGGTCTCCCCATCCCTTAACATCATGACTGTCAAATCTGTCTGTTTGCTGAAGAAATTCCTAATTGTAAAATTTTCCATGCAGGCCTTGCATCGGCTGACATTCCTGGCTGCAGATTACATGGTGCATGATGTGATACCCAAGTTGAAGCAGGGGATCTTGAGCAATGCTCTTTACCTGAGACATGGGGCTCTTCTTGGACTTGGTGAAATTGTTCATGCCATATCCTTGCATGCCAACAGCCAGGGCCTCTCCTTTCATGACATCCTTGGTATGTTCACATGCTTCCTTTTTCCTTCCTTTTTGTCCTTAACAGTAAACTTATTTGATGGATGGTCATGAAATTTGGTGCTATCTGTCTCAGAGAAGTTTTCTAAAAATAAAATGATCCTTCAAAAGACCATTGAGCTATTGGATTTTTTCTCCATTCTCCCTGCCCTTCAAGTTATATATTCCATAGGGTTAAAGAAAGAAAGTAGCATAAGAAACCCATTCATATGATTTTTTTACTTTTCTGGTTTTATGTAATTGAAGTCTAGGTGAATGCCATGAATGTCCATGTGATCAACATTTTCTGGGATGAGATGTACTGACCCTTTAGCTCACTGCTCAAAGGCAACATAGCAGACAATGGAGAAATCTCTGTCAAAAGGAATGGAAGGATGTATGCTATTGATTATTCATGAGGCTACAAAAGCGGTGAATATCACTTTGAGAAGGGACATTGTCATGTGGGAATATCATGCACAGCATGATATTCCCACATGACACATGATATTCCACATGATGCATTATATTCCCACATGATATTCTTTATCATGCACAGCATGATAAAGAAGAAGAGAGAGCCTCTTAACTCCTCCCTGGGTGCCAACAATGTGCCTGTCCTCTCTCCCTTTGCTGAGCTTTCTGTTTGCTGAACCTTTTAATTTTTCAAGCAATGAATTTTTCAGTGTGTGAACACATTATTGAAGTGAGGACCCATTGAGCAGTATGGCCGTGCGCTCCCAGTCCTGCAAGAGTGTGGCTGTACCAGTACATCCTGCATCTTTGAATTCAAATTGCCACATTTGTAAAGATACCAACTGTTTGAGGTAAAAATTGTTTATGTTCATAAAAGTAAAAAATTCTGAGCTGGAGCCCATCTGCAAAAAAAACTCACCCCTGGGGGCATGGCCAGTCAGAAAAAAATTCACCGCTCAATGGGTTAACAAGTGGATCTTACTTGTGCATTATTCAGGATTTCAAAGAAGGGGCATATTAGTGTTAATGATGCAAGAAAGTATGCTTAAATGGACAGTGTCATTGGGTGAATGCATATGTATGGATGTACTCTCTGTGGCACAGACATGCAGCAAAGTATGGGTATGGTGCTTAAAGGGTCAAGTCTGAAAAGAAGTCTTATAAACAAGTTAAATAAGGTATATCATCTTTTCATTTAGGTGGAAAAGTCAGAGGTAGAGGTAGTAAAGAGGAAAGGATTTGTTTTAATAAGTGACATTGCATGCAGGTGAGGAGCATGAACAGTTCTGTGCATCATTCCTTGTGCACTTGGAGGCAAAAGGGGCATTTCGGCAGATGTCAAGAGAGATGATGCGCATTGCATCATCTGCTTTTATATGCAAGATGACTCTTTCTCACCTCCCAATCCATGACAATCTCTCACTTCTGGGTCAGTCTATCTTCTTACTAGATGTATCCACAATTGATAAATTGGTTACTGATAAAATGCTGCATTTGATTTTCCATCTTACAGAAACTTGGTTGGAGCATTTGAAAGAAAATCTTGGAGCAGTGGAGTCTGCTGTGCAGGAAAGTGCAGGGAATGCCCTTGGAAAGTTGCTGGATGAATATCTATCTTGTCCTCAGGACAAAAAAAAGAAAGAAATGACAGATGGCATATGTCAGGACATCCTTTCCAATGTTCGATCCTCGAACTTGGGTCGTCGCACTGGCTACGCTCTTGCTGCTGGTCTCTCCTCATCACTATCTTTTTAGTGTGTGCTGATTCAGTAGTTAGGTGTCAAGAATGAGTGAACATTTAAATTTTCTCTGCAGGGTATCTACCAGAATCTGTGTTAAGGAGTCGTCTATCAGTCTTTCTGGAGACTCTGTATGCCTGTTCCCACATTCAACATCCTTCAGAAGAGACTTGGGCTGAGGCAAGGAGGGAAGCTGTGAAGAGCATTGCCTCCATCATCCAGACAATGCCCATGGATCCTTGTGGAGAACTGGAAATGTCCTTCAACACTGATGCTGTGAATCGTGCATTTTGTGAGCTCATGGTGTGCTTTCAGGATTACACTATTGAGGAGAAAAAAAGGGGAGATATTGGGGCTTGGGTGCGAGAGGCTGGCATTCGTGCCCTCACGGTACAAAACGTCCTTGCATCCATATGTGCTTCAGTCCTGTTCTGGCTCTGTCATTCAGCATCAACATTCTATGGAACAGATCTTGGCAGAGAAGTCCCTTGATTGCATGGCATCTGATGTGGATCAAAAATCCCTTCACACTCTCCTCCTGAATCTCTGCCAGCAGGCATGCGAGAAGATAGAGCGAACACGCATCCTGGCTGCTGACTCTTTCTTACATATCCTCCACCTGTGAGATTATCTGGTCCATGGTATCTCTGGAGAGAAAAAATCTCAATACTGCAATCATCTTGCATTGTTTTACCACATAGGGAGAGGTTGCCAGTCACCGTCCCTTGCATCCAAAGACTCCGAGAAGTCCTTCCGGTCTCATGCAAAGAAGAATGGTATGAGGGGAAGAAGGACACCTTCTCCCGCTTTGTTCCTCTCCTCTCTCTGGATCATGGATATGGTCGACATGTCCTAATGGGCCTTGTTGTTTCCACTGGAGATCTGGCTGCTGGAAATGTATGTGGAAGGCTCTTGCTTCTTGTGCTCTAGTTCTCTTCATCACATGCAACCCCTTAAAAAAATATATATTCTGTGCGCTCTATCATATCGTCAGCCTTCCTGGCATGCCCTTCAGAATGGTCCAAGCTAAAGTAAATTTTTACTGGCATTATAGGTGGCCAATTTTGATGCATTTATGAAAGATGGATGACTTGCGGATGTTATTCCTGCAAGTCATACTATTCTTACGGGATATAGATTTTTTTCATCTTCAGTGCGTCAGCTACTATAGGAGTTGACGTGGAAGATATTGGTATTTTGTCAGTGTTTGTGTCTCATGAGGGGAAACTATTATTCAAGCATGCAGGTACTGAGTACCGTCTGAGTACAGTCGACTCTCTGTAATGAACACTAATATAACGAATAATCGGTTATTCCGAAATTCATGACGTTGGCCGGTCGAACGTCCATAGACATCCATGCAAAAAAACTCGGATATAAAGAAATTTACGTTATAAGAAAGAATTTCTGTGTCCCCAGACAGAAAGTACTCAGCATATAATGTATTTTCCCCGTCCAGGAGGAAGTAGTTTTTTTTCCCTCCCTCTTGACGGAATTATCTCTCTATTCAGCCTTTCTGGGTGTTCAGCTGCACGGCCTATGAGAACCAAGGATTTGGCGCGTGAAGAATTTGCGTGATAGGGGGAATGCGAATGTCGGTGAATGTGCGTGTGGTGGGGGATGTGAACACGGGCGATGCAAGTGAACGAAGCCCTGAATGCTCGCGCCCAGGGACTTTTCGTCGGGCTCCTATGCTCCATTCATCCAGTGCGAGTTTAATTTTACAAGGCTTCAGAAGGTCCATGCCCTTTACACGGCAGAGGCTTTTTTTTATTATTATTATACATTTACCTCTTTCGCTGCGTAATTTGTTTTGGCATGCAGCCAATGGCAATGTTACAGGAAGCAACTGAAGTCGTTTTTTACTGCGAAGGGGTTAAGGCATCAGCTGTCAACACATTTTCCGACGCTTTAACCCCGATACCACGTGACCCACCAGCGGATGTGGCAGCAAAGTGTTAACGTTTTGTCCACGAAACCCTGAAAAGCTGTCGACCCCCCATAGTACAGGGTGTCCCAACGAATCGTAACGGTATGATTTTTGAATGACCTTTTTTTAATTCTGCACTGATTTTGTTCATGTATATATACTTTTGTAAAGCGTTTCAATAAAATTTTCTGACACCTATTTGAGCACAAACGGTCGAGAATAAATGAACATAAGGCAACCGTCGCAGACGCCACTTTTTCGCGCCGCTGCTCTCATTTTAAGCCGCCTGATTGCGTGTGTTAGTGTGCGCTAATTGCGTGTACCGTCTCTCTGAGTTAAGAGGTATGGAATACGTTTTAGAAAGAGCCAACAACGGAGATTCCAAGCGAAACTTCGTGATGGGAGATGCCCAAGTCAATCGGCAAAATTTTTCGGAGGCGCGTTTTCACGTGCCCGGTGGCGCGAATTGACACGCCGAAACTTCATTCTTCGTGAGTCACTTCATGGGCCTTTTCTGAATTTGCTGATGAATCTAGCCTTGCCTTTAAGGGCCATTCTAGGCCTTGCCGATCTGGGAAAGATGTGCTACTAATCGCTTTTCTTCCTTCCCGTGATTTTATCGTTCCAATAAATGGTATTTGTTGCAGAACATACCATATTTTTCAATGAAAAGGGTACCTCACTGAAACCGTCGTATTTCCTTTCCTATTCATCCGTTTGAGTTCAACGAGGTGTCAGTTAAATTCTCTCGAAACGCTCTACAAGAGTTATAAACGCGACTATAATCGGTGACAGGATTAAAAAAGTTATTCGAAAATCAAATCGTTACGATTCGTTGGGACACCCTGAACATCCACGGGATAATAATTTATACACTGGCATAACGGAATTCAGTTCTCTAATAGGAGATGTATGACTCTCTCCTGATATATAACGAAATATTCCAACGGCTTCAACTTCGTTATAGCAGGAGTCGACTGTAATTTTAAATGACGGAGATGGTATGAATGAATGCATTATGAAAGCGACATCGTTCATTCACATCCATTTTGGAGGACTGATGGAGACTAAAAAGAGATGGCTACCTGTATATAGTTATTGGCGAAGGTGCCAAGTTAGAAACATCAGAAACTGAAATGGAATGATATTGTTGTTTTGATAGAGTCAGACTTCGATGGGAGCACTGGAGTGCTACCTGTCTTCCCTGGAAGGAAATGCGAAAGCTTTAGAATCCTTCTTCTCGCTCCTTGTGGGGATCTTCGCCGAGAAGAGCGATGAGGACCGCATTGCAATACCCCTCATGCGAACTGCCACCTCTCTCCTTAAGTCGGGGTACCTTGAGCCGCTGTTGAACGACGTGAACGTTCCCGTCCCGGGATGCATGATGGACCTGGTACGCTGCACCAAGGCGGGGATGTCGAAACGCATGAATAAAACGCCTCCCATCACGAAGGTGTTTCTCGGGGTGGAACTCCTCGTGTCTTGCCTGTCGTGTCGGGATCCTCGGATCCAACGGTCGTGTCTCGGTTCTCTGACCATCCATCTGGGGTCGGTGTACCCTCGACTCAGACACACGACGGGGACTGCGCTGTATCAGGCTCTCCTCATGTCTTCGAGCGACTCGTCCTGGGTCTCGGAAGAGAACAGTGGAGAGGTTCTACGCATCCTTGAGGATACCGATTGGATGTCGGGAGACGTGGAAAAACTTCGGGGGGTCCGGGATGAACTGTGCTGCCTGCTCGACGTCCCCCCTCCGATCAGGAAGACCTAATGGATCTGACGGGACCTGGGATATTGTTCACTTTCTCTTTCCAAACTCAAAGCTATCTTTTCCACCTCACCAGACTACTCAATGAAGGTGATAACAGAGTTCCTTAATATTGCTATGGGTCACTTTCATGGCATTTACTAAACAATAGTTGATAATTTTCTTGAATGTCCCAGTACTGTACATGTCTTGAATGCATGCATGGTCTAATCCTGGAATTATGTTTCCATTTGAATAAAAAAAGTGAGAATGTTAAAAAAAAATGTTTACTTTGGAATCACTCAAAAGGTAGGCATTTTCTTTTTGTAAGGTTCTGGTTATGAGCTGTGGGCTACTATTAGTAGCCATGGATATCGATCTACACCACCACCCCTTTTCCCCCATTATTCAATGATTAAGTTTTATATACCTTTGGTCACAAGATACTAGAAGAATCGTTCGAGGTTTTGTGCCCTCAAGAAAGTAATAGATCCTTGTATGGGCATGAAGTCATCTAACGATGTATTTGAAAGATGCAAGATGCAATGCCATACCTTGATAGCTCTCAAGCCACTGTTACAGTGGTGCTTTCACTCTACGTGGTATAATCACTCTGGTATCCTGTACACTCTGCTGATATTGTACGGTACCTCAAGTTTTTTCATGAATTTCTCCTGATATGTTGAATTGAATATACTTCCAGCCAGATGAGATATGCTGATGTGCAGAGATGAGGTAGTTGTAGGCATATCGTTTGTCATCATAACTGCCAAACGTGTTGACATGGATATCTGAAAGGGAATCGAACTACACAAAGAAATAGTAATACTTCGCTCTATTTTTTGCAGACACTGACGTCTGCTTTCCAAAGCCATGCTACTTTGCTTCTGTTTGCCCATGTTATGAGTTTAAAAACTGCATATGTTTCCTTTTTGCAACTTATCGTCCTCTTCCAATGCAAACATCTATCTGATCAATATTAAAAGCATCGGAATCGCCTGCTGGGCGAGCACATTTTTATCATCTACTCTTATCAAGTAAAGGGAACGTACCTGAAGCACGTCCTATGATGTCTGGAATCAAGATGAGTTTTCTCAAAATAGCCACAAATGTTGCTGTTTTGGGTGTCCTTCACGCACATATCGTAAAGCCAGATGATTTGAACTCGCTTGTCCGTGCTCGGACACATCGCTTTTTCGACACCTACCCGATAGAAAAGACAACACTCGCGAAATCTGTTTAAGAACGTAAAGTCCCCATTGTTTTCGTTGAATCCTGACTTCTGAGGTTTCAAAGCGTGAGAGCCGAAGAGGAGGAACGCAACTTTTCTCCTATCATGCGAAGGATCACTTCTCTGGATGCTTTCAGTCGTCTCAGCGGAGCAAATACTTCACAATGCTGCCTTTCCCGTGGATAATTACCTCGGATTCTGTCGTGCTGTGAACCCTCCGTTACCGAAAAGCCATACGAATCCTTGAAGATGCAGAGAAATTAACGCGCTAAGATTGGTACCGCACATGTACGATCCAGCTATTTAACAGGTTGAATGAAAACGTGAGTGGCGCAACCAGCCCTAAAGTTTGGGGGAGGTGAGATGTTCTCGTGACCTGTCTTTCAAATGTCTCCGAATGCAAGAAGGCGTTATCAAATCATCAGGAGAGATATACTCGGCAAAAACGCGAAACGGCGCGAACACGCGAACAAAGAAAATGAAACGAAGAAAAATGGTATGAAATGGTGGAAACGGAATTTGAGCTCTAAATGATACAAGCACATCTGATATCTGAAAAGAAACTTAAAATGAACTAAATTTCGGGATTTATCCCAAATATCACTGCGCAGACACGTAACTGGAAATTCGTTAACCTGTATGTGATTCACGCCTTTTATTTGAATTGTCGGCCTTCCGTTTTCAGGAAAAATTCAGTAGCGTCACACGTGCTGGACGTTCCCTTCACAGGTTCCCTTTACTAAAGTGAGTAGCTACATGTGATTGGCGTGACTTTAATATTTCATCTCCTATCTTTGTGCCTTTCCAGCCCCGCTCTCAGGTCGTTTGTTCATGATATCTTTCTGCATCCCCCACCCTTGGGGGAGGAGGGAGATGGAGAAGTAGAGAAATACCATCACGAGCAGGGATTTTTGGGGGTGCACCCAGAACTCCCAGTTTCCGCGTGAAAAACGATGTGTTGCACGACTTCATGCGTCTAATACTTGAGAAAAAATGAATTCGAGAATACAGAGCGTCCTTTTCTGAAGAACCTGTAGGTGCGAATGTTTAGAGGCTCAAAATGAATAAGTTCTCGATTCTTTCTCATCTGATGTCTTATTGCCCAGGTAACACGTCCGCATAATGACAACATTGTGGAAATGTTGCACCACGACATATGGAATGTTATGCCAATGTAATCGAAAACATTATAAACATCATTATAAAACCTGTAAGTTTAGCCTCTCTTTTAGACATCGCATCGACAGATTGCAAACCGGTTGATGGCTGATGGCACCGATAGTGCAACACTGGCGGCCGATACCGGTGGTAGCCGGTATAGCCCAACATAAAATATTAAGCTGCGGCTCACCGTTAAGCGAAGTACTCCAGCTTTTTTTCGTGCTTTTTTTCGTAAATACGAAAGCCTAAAAGGAATTCATTTTAGAGAAGACCTTTTCCGATCTTGATGTGCAGAATTTGTTCGGAATGACTCACGTTTCTGCGCTTCAGAGCAAGTCCGCCCACGTCTTCCTATGAGGATTCTGAGGAAAAGTTTCTAATGGAAAGGGGTACTTTTCCCAGGAATACGTGGAAGCCTCGGCGTCAGATGAGATGAATCAGAAAATGTGGTCAATTCTTTTATGTTCAAACTCGACAAAATCAGGCACTCCCGTTTATTCGGATAAGAGTTAGCAGAAATCTATAAATCCCTAGCAGAAATCCCACAAAATGAACACTAACGAAAGCTCCCGATTAAAAGAGGAGCCTTCTCGCTTCCTGGACTTTTCTCTCTGTTAATCTGGACTTGCCAGCAGAATAGGCATCGTTCCAATATACGAGGGATGATTGGAAAGTAACAAGACTATGGCTGGTATGCAAGAACGTATAAAACCGATAAAATAGCTATTTTGGGGGATATCACATGATAAGTTTGATAGGTTTGATAGGTTGGCCGTATGTAGAAACATGCTATACCTATCATGATAGGGTATCATGATAGGTATAAGAATCGCTTCAATCTATAATGATCCAGAGCTTGTTTATTCTGCTTATAACGAACTATCTGGGTGGATTGAAGTGCATTTTATTAACCAAATTAATTATGTGAACCGTCGCAACTTGTGCTGAGCGCAGTTACTCTGAGATAGATTAAATTCCGTAGAATTCTTTGTATCAAGCCACGGCAGTCGGAATTCAAGCACTAGTCCGGTAAACGGGGTCAGATTAATACCGTTAAATCATCACACATTACGCTGGTCAGTCATTTGAGCAGATACACATGGCATTGTTCCTGGGCGGGAGACGATGGATAGGAGGTTGTCATCGGGAAGATTCACGAATACCTATCATGAAAGGTATGAAGATACCTATCATAATAGGTCTCACGATGGATACCTATAATTTGTTCTTGCATACGAAACTGAGCAAATAATAGACCTATCGCCTGATACCTATCATGATAGCTACCATGTAATAGGCTATCATGTGATAGGTTCTTGCATACGGGCCAAGGTCTGTGGTTTTGAAATTGGAGAACTTTGATCGATAGTAGCAGGTTGGCGACTCTGAGAGCTGTTTTGCCGAGGCCAGTGCCGGAGGGCATGAGCAGGCCGGAGGGCATGAGCAGTGGCAGTCTGAACATGGCAACTCGCTTGGAAACAAACGCGAGAAAGTTCGCAGTGTTATTCGTTTTTTTTATGGGCGATGAACGTGCCAGCGGCCGAAATTCATCGACAACTCTTGGAATTATACGGAGACATCGTCATGAACCGGCAGAACGTGGCAGAATGGTGCAAAGCAGTTTCGAAATGGCCGAACGGACGTTAAAGACGCCGAGCGGAGTGGCCGCCCGAGCACAACCACCACTGATGTCAATATCGTGCGAGTCGACGAGGTCATCCAGGAGGACAAACGGAAAACCTTGCATGCGATTTCGCAACAGCTCAGCCTCTCGTACGGAGTGGTGTTCGACGTCGCTACAAATTCTACAGTTGAAGATGCGGTTCGAGACTGGGTACATACACAGGACATGGAATTATATGAGGATGGCATTGAAATGCTGGTTCTTCGATGGGACTAATGTCTCAAGCTGGGTGGTGACTATGTGGAGAAGTAGTGCAGGGTAGGTACTACCGCAATACATGCGTGACAGGTTCTAAAATATATTGCTTTCAGAGCTACGGGCCTTGTCTTGTTACTTTCCGATCATCCCTCGTAGTTTGATTAGACAAGAATGTTAACTTTTTTTATGCCGTATTGTTTTTTAGTAACAGAGTACCCACGATTTCACATATTTCGGGAAACGAACTCAGTCTGTGGGTGGGGATGAAGACCATAAAAGTCAGTACCTAAAGGGTTAATGATCAATATAAGAAAAATTGAGATCCCAAGCTGTAAGTGAGCAACATGAATCCAGGAGTGATCGTTTGCGTGCTGAGAAGAATGAAGAAGTAGAGGTAATAAGCCATAGTATAGTGACTCTGAGGCAATAAGGCTCTCCGTGTTGACCCTTGCTTCCGGGAATACCACACCCTAAAGACTACTAAGGTAGATGCAAACTTTGAACCTCTCACACTCGAAGGGACTTCATCTTATACGCCCAATTTTTTTGTTGCCTAAACATTGAGCGCACCCCGAAAAAACCCCGGCCGTTAGGCCCGGCCATGTATAGAAAACTCCGTACCGAAAGGGTTAAGAGTGAAGAGAAAACCGTGCCTAATGTAATGGGAACGAGGAGGTTCTTGGGGTGATTGGTTCCGAGGCTGAGTGGTGTGCTTCATATAGTAGAACATTTGGGGTACCCAAGAATTGTGAAAAATAGCAGACAATTTGCATAATGAAGAAAAGGCCATCCTGCAAGATGAGTGTGATTGGGTGCGCACATCGAGTCGCCAAGACACTTCTAATCCTCATTCAAGGACCATTTAATGATTCTGATGTTGAAAGCAATTTGATTAGAATAAAGTTGGGATATGTAGAATTAGTTTACAATTTGTTCATTGAAACTTTTCTCGAAGATGTAGAGGTAAGAATAATTCTATATTCAGAGGAAGATCTACACTGAATTCTTAAACTCTTCAAAATAGGACACTTTTGATAATAGACAACTTCCGAATAAACGCGGATGATGGGAAATACAAAATAATTCAGGGAGGGACTTCCAACGATCAGTGCAAACTTCGAGAGTGGAAAATGGATCATGGGAGCGCTATTTGTAAAGAAAAGAAAAATTACGCGCAATGAAGAAAACCTGAACACTCAAACGGGATCATTGGAGGATATAAGAATGAGATTCAACAAGGGAAAAGCTGAGCAAATCATCTGCATTGCTGGAAGTCGCTGTGGGATATCAACAAATGCTTCAACTTCGTCGCACCGTTTGAAAGAGAAGCCAAGAATAGGTACATACCTGAATCATAGGGGAAAAAAGGATCAAATTCCCACAATGGGCAATGATTAAGAAAATGCTGGAATATTCATATTCAAATGAAGTAGAAAATCTGTCAGCATCTTGAGTCTCACCCGGAACAGTTCGCGGAAAATACATGTTAATTACGTTCCCAGCTCCAATTGCTCCCGTAAAAGAAGCATTAAAAATCAATTGACATCGAGCATAGACACAGAAAGTCAATGCGAGGCACACGTCCAATTTGATACATGCTGATGGCTGTCAGAACCATGATAGATCCAATGATACCACCATAGCGTCCACCTACAAGATTGTGCAGTTGCACCATGGGTTTCTCCTGTCGTAGCGTTCCAAAGTCTCAGGTATACTGTTCTTTTGAGGCCGCTTCACATTCAGTCCGGCTATGACCAAAAGAAAATATTGCATCATCTTTTCTTCAGCAGAAATGCCATGTCTTTTCAGGTAATGGAATTTACCACATCTTTGCAAAAAATTTTTGGAATCGGCTATTCCCATTTTCAGAACGAATACATGGATTCATTCCCTGGGAGGCCCCGGATTCTTTCCTAAGCGGGAATGGGTCCTTATCTGTCAAATCAACACCCAAAACTTCAGCAACTTAAAAAAAATCAACTTAACCCTCTTTGATTCCGTTAGAATTCTGTGGACTGTTAGGGTTGATTGAAACCGTCTTAATGCTTGCTCCCCGAGGTTCCGCAATGGTTAGAAAACATTACGGAGGCTTACTATTGCGTCTATCAGTTATTAAATAAGGCATTGCTACCTGCTAGTTATTTTACTTACAGGATTGTATTGTAATATTGCAATGCCATCCTACTTCCCATATCCATAGCAATGGCAAATGAACCGCAAAGAATTTCAGAACATGCTTTCTCATAAGTAGGGTCAGGTATTGCACGCCTAATTAAAAGATATAGTTCAGAATGCACAAAACTCCACTCAGTCGCATTTCAATTTCAATAGGCCCGGGAACACATGCCTGAGAGACCAATGTCTAACCCACCAAGAAGCCTTATGTCAGGTAACGAATAGTTATGGCTAATGGACCGGAAAAGTAAGCTGAAAAGGAATACAGTCGAACTCGGTTATAACGAAACCTCGGTTATAACGACGAAAGCGCCAGGTCCCGGCGTAGAGCCCATAAGGCACGTTACATTTTACCTCAGTTATAGCGAACTCGGTTATAACGAAACCTCGGCTATAACGAAGTCCATTGAAGGTCCCACAGACAAAATCGACAACGTCCATGTCCTTAATCCGTCATTCTTAGCTGAAATTTCCGTCATCGGAAAAATTAGCATTGGCGAGCCATAAGTTTATATTTCCTGGATTCGGCATTCCGTGAGAGTCATGTGGGTGCGGCTGGAGCAATGTTAGGGAGTGATAATCCCCAGTAACTAAGATCACCTTAGCTTCAGTCGCCATTTGCATTTCTCGTTGACAACATGGCCAATGGAAAACGAAAGCCTTCACGATCGAAAGGAAAGTGTGCTTGATTGGTTTAATAGAAAGAGCTCGAAGTGAAGCTAACGTCGCTCGCGAACATGGACATCTGTTCATCTGTTTCCACAAATTGGGAAAATCGTAACAGCTTCATCTGTGCTTACGAGAACATGTCACAAAACAAGAAACTTCCTGGGTCTGTCGAGATGACATCGACGAAGCCTTGCTAAAGTATAAAGTATTAAAGTATAAAGTAGTTCAAGGTCCAAAGAAGTGCGAACATCACGATTAGTGGGTCAATCTTGAAACTGAAGCCAGTGCAGTATGACCAATGTAAACTGGAGTTGTAACGTTATACTAGCATCAATTTTGAAAACAGGAAAACGGAGTGCCAAGAAAGGCAACCTCGGTTATAACGACGGTTTTTACCTGGTCCCTTCAATGACGCTATAACCGAGTTCGACTGTACTAATTTTTACTTTTTCTTTGCAGGTGCTGCCTATGAAGGGGTGACCAATGTACAGTACAATGCAGGCATGCCTCACCATTCATCAGTAGGCATTGATTACTATTTATGTTTGTGAATGCCTAGGAATATAAAAATAAACATAATAATTCAATTACCATCGAGCATAGACACAGAAAGTGCATGCGAGGCACACGTACCGATTTGGCCCATAAGCTGAAGGTGCTTGTACTCTGATAGTTGCTCTAGAAGCAATATAAAGGCATTTAAATCCACTTGATACCGGAAAGGGATATTGGAAGAAAGAATGGAATACATACCGAGACTTTGAAATAAACCCTTTGTCCGATGGAGTCCGATCATCTCTGTAAAGAGAAAAAAGCAATTTCAACCCTTAAAATCAGACAACAAGACGCTAAAGAAATAATGGGATATTCGTACCAATAATTTCCAGAAGTTCAAGCGAGTCCTCATGACTTATACTGCCTGAAAAAAAAACCAAAGAAATGCAAAGAGGTGAAGCGCCCAGAGGAAAGGAGAAAAGATGGAAGTCATACAATACCATGCTCATGTTCATCCAAAAATATACTCTTCGCGTGAAAGAGCCCCTTCTCTAGAAAAAAAAGAATCAAATTTATCAGAGCAGGTGCGGGAGGGGGAAAACAGGCAATAAAAAATAATGTTAACTACCAATTTCAAGGAATTTCCGACGTTTCTCGTCCGAGTACTCATCTGCAAAGAAAAACGTTTAATAATAGATTATGGGAAGGGACGTCATTAATATGGAAATATATGAGTAGTGTGAAAAAGTGAAACGTCGCACAAAAGATTTCGAGCAACCTTGAAGTTCTTGACAGGCCCAGGTCAGCTAACAAAGAAAAACAAACAATACAAAAATGTTGCATCAAGGAGGGACATTGGAGCAAACATCATCATTCTAACCGAAAAATCCGAACAGATTGCAGGCTCCAGTCAAGTCATGATCCCCTAGGAAAAAAAGAGACATCGTCAATCGTAAACAATAGGAGACTAAAGGGGACAGTGGAGAAGAATCCGGCTTCACCCATGCATCTCAGCACCGCAACCCTGTCACCTTTGTTCATCTCCGCTGGAAAAAGAGATAAAATCTTGAATCGAGTACAAGAGGAGACCGAAGGGGCAGTGGACAAGAATCCTGCCTCACCCATGGTTCTCAGCACTGCCACCCTGTCACCTTTGTTCAACTCCACTGGACAAAGAGAGAAAATGTTGAATCGAGTGCAACAGAAGATTGAAGATGGTACAAGGACAAGAATCCGGCCTCACCCATGCTTCTCAGCACCGCAGCCCTGCCCTCTGTGTTCAATTCCGCTGGAAAAAAGAGAATATGTTGAATCGAGTACAAGAGGAGAATGAGGAAGGCAGTGGATAAGAGTCTTGCCTCACCCATACTGCTCCAAACTGCTGACCTGTCATCTGGATCCAACCGCACTGAAAAAAGAGAAACTCTTAAAACGAGTGCATAACAAGACTGAAGAGGGTGGTGGAAAAGATCCTGCCTCACTCATGCTTCTCTCCACTGTAATCCTGTCATCAGTGTTCAACTCCTCTGGAAAAACAGATAAAATCTTGAATAGAGTACATAAGAAGTCTGACGAGGGCAGTAGAAAAAGATCTGGCCTCACTCATGCTTCTCTCCACTGCAACTCTGTCATCTGTGTTCAATTCCTCTGGAAGTAAAGAGCATATGTTGAATCGAGTACAAGAGGTGACTGAGGATGTCAGGGGACAAGAATCCGGCCTCACCCATGCTTCTCAGCACAAAAAGCTCCTGAAGCTCCAGAACAGGATTCAACAACTTCTCTGGAAAACGAGAGAAAATCTTGAATCGAGTACAATAGGAGACTGAGGATGTCAGTGGGCAAGAATATGACTTCACCTCCGCTTCTCGGCGTCATAGACCCCTGAACAGGATCCAACCGCGCTGGAAATAGAGGGAAAAATCTTGAATCGAGTACAAGAGGAGACTGAAGATGGCAGTGGACAAGAATACGACCTCACCCTTTCTTCTTAGCTCCATAGACCCCTGAACGGAATCCAACCGCGCTTGAAAATGAGAGAGAAAATGTCTTGAATCAAGTACGAGAAAAGACTTACGATGTCAGTGGGGAAGAATCCGCCTCACTCAGTCTCCCTAGCAACGTAGCCGTCTCTTTTTTGTCCAAGTCGGCTGGGAAAATAAAGAAAATCTTGAATCGAATACAAGAGGAGACTGAAGATGGCAAGGGACAAGAATCCGGCCTCACCCATGTATCTCAGCACCGCAGCCCTGTCATCTGTGTTCAACATCTCTGGAAAAGAAAGAGATAAAATCTTGAATCGAGTAGAAGAGGAGACTGAAGATGGGAATGAACAAAGAATCCAGCCTCACCCATGCATCTCAGCAATTGCTCCATATCACCCGATTCTTCTAAACAGGAAAATAAGTTCTTTAATTTTCCAAATTAATCTCTCATCCCTGCTTTTAAAAATATGACCAAAATTACCTAATTTTTGCACGAATTTCCCCGATCCTTCGACTCCGAGATCGTCTAGAAAGGGAAAAGTATGTGATGAACTCCACTTTCATTTCAGGGAAAGTAGAAGGCGAATCTGAGAGAAAATCTCACACGTACCAACCAGATCCAGCATTCTATGACGTTGCCTTATCCCGTATTCTTCTGCAAGGGAATTAACATTCGTTCAAGATCAACATTTGCAGCAGTGCGGAATGAACCTCTCATTTTGTTAAGTTTATAAACGAACTTTTCTGCTTTTCTAAATCGGACAGTCAAAACTTCGGAGGACATAATTTTGAACTAATTAAAGGTAGCATTTCGGTTTAAGCTTTGAAGTAAATACTGAATGTTCTATCATGATTTTCAATGCTGAAAGTAATGTCCATTTAGAGGGCCTGTGTACGGCGCTAAATAATCCGGTAGCTAAATAATCAAATCTCGCAGTTTATTTCAGGTCTCAAATAAGATACGGATTTTCCCTCCCCTTTTTTAAATGGAAACTGAGCTTTCAATATCGAAGCTCAGCTACAAAGTTGCTTGTCTATTAAATATCGTACCAAATTGAATGATTTTTAGTATTATTTCAAGTACCTGAGATTAGTCATATTCAGGAGGTTCCTTGAGCTTAGGAAGCTCTAGAATAGAAAATGAACATGGTTATAACAATAATTTCTGATAAAGACTTCTAGGGATTGTGAAGCACGTGCTGTATTAATAGGCTAGGCTATTAGTATAACTTAGCCTATTAATAGGCTAATCGGCTTTCAATAATGGTGAAAATACTTATTATAAACCTTACTCAGGTCACAGTTGTGGAAATCTGTGTTAGCTGTCAATCAAGTCCAGTCGGAGTTCCAGTTGACTAAAAATGCAACTATGCTGTAGCCATAGTATGACTGTAGTTGTACTCCAACTGATATGGTGCTTTGATATTGAGCAAAGCTTCAAATACGATGAAATACCTGATCTCAGGAGTTGTCAGGCAACTACTCTGGGCGTAAGCCTTTCCTCAATGTAATTTTGTATATCTTCAGACAGTTCCAATATGATACACCCATGGATTCTGATATTTTAGTCATGACTGAATGATTCCCTCTTGGCATGCACTCTAACAGGATTGTTGATCGACAGAACCCTGATGATTCTCTGTCGTGGTTGAGGTTGCCAAAGAGTATTTTTTAGAAAGCCAAATGTCCATAACTTATGAGTTTTTTATATTTTAGCTAAAAGAGAATGATTGAATTCTTGTTATTGCTGAATATTTTTTCCACTTTTAGCATATGGTCATTGGAGTTCCTTCTTGTTCATATCTACCTAATTGCTCCTACACCAGTATTTTGATGATTCATCTAAGGATAAGATGAAGGATGGAGGGCAGTTCATCAGGAGTGGAGATGAGGCAGGATGAAGGGAAACTGAAGAGGGAGCAAACTGGCATTTTGCTAACATTTTAGCAGTTGGGCATTGTCATCTTATACTGTCAATCCAGCTATGTTATACTAGAATCCTCTCGAATGGTCGAATGTAATGATGTCGAATTCACTTTTATCGAATGCTCACAAAGGTCGAACGTCCTTCGAATGGTCGAAGACAAAAATGGCGAAAGGCAAATTCGTAGAATAGGAAAATTTCGAAAATCACTTTCATAGAGTAGATGGCCACAACAAGACCTAGCCAAATGTCATAATGCTTCAAAGTTTCATCGTGAAGGGCCTCCAAAGAAATCGAGCAAAGGCCTCAAATCATACTCTTCTGTTATCTTCTTCAGGTTTCTATCCCTGAATATATTGCAATTCTTTCGTTTAGTGGTGATTATCCCCCTTTCAGCTCAATCAGTTGCTGCTGAACTGCTGACTGCTCCTCAGCGATGACGTCTAGGAAATGTAATGTAGTTGGATGGTTTCGGCAAATCAAACTGTTCCCTAATTTGTTGTGCCATCCCTCAACGTTGTTATTGATGTGAGGCTCGTCTCCGAGCACTCTGCTCCTCACATTCCACGATTTTGGAGGTGACATTGCTTCCTTTTACACTATGGTCTGCCTCTGGGGCGCTGCCCATCAATGAAAGTCTCCCTGAAGCACACAGAGATAGGTTCTGTTCCTGCAGGCATGCTCTCAAGCAGTTCCCAAAAAAAAATTGATTGCTGAGTGAAGAAATTATGAACTAAACAAGAGACAAAGGCTAACTCTCGAAAAAGAATGGACTTAGCCGTAGACAAGCGCATTCGACGTTTTCGACATTTTTTTACTTTCTGGTACATTCGACATTTTCTCCGTTCCACTATTCGACATTTCCTACTCTCTCCCATTCTACCCTTCGATATTTTATGACGTCGACATTCTTGCCATTCGACGAAAAATTTTCGACCTTCTGTCCCAGAACCGTTCTACTTCATAGTGTGCCTAGCTTTAGATAATGGGGGAAAGTACAGGCAATTTAAAGTGATTTACATTAATCCTATTGAATCAGCATTATTTTGCACTCATTCACTTTTCTGATCCATTCATTGCAGTCCAGAATTTTGAGGGATGCGGTTATGTTCAATTAGGCAAGGAAGATGAACTCCTTTATCTCCCCCCTAATTCATATAGAGAATAATTTCCCAATTAAGTTTTCATTCATTTCTTTGGACTAGGAATGTGGTTCAGTGTTTCTGAGTTTCATATCACGGTAAGGGAGTAAAAGCCTGTGACCTCGGTGAAAGAGGGGTGATTGACTCCTTGACCTATGTTTCAAGCCCCGCCGCTAGATGTTGTTAGCAAGCCCCGGTGATCGCGTATAGTATGCGTACATGAAACTAAGAGTTAATTTCCAACTCGGGACTGACCTTCCTGCGACCAGGAAGTTATGGAATCCAGGCTCGATCCGAGACCTGACGAGTTAGGTACGGACCGTACACGCTCCGCGATCAGGAGACGTGGTTCTCCGGAACAGGGAATTCCCCCCCCACCCCATAGTCCACCGCAGCTGCGAGTCAGGACTGAGCGGGCCGGGACGACGAGAAGTAGAGATCCCGGCCGCCTAGCACAGACGAGTATCGCCCTAGAGCGGGCCGAAGCGCAAGGACGAGTTGTTTCCCTCGCAGTACCCTCGTAGAAGAGACGGAGGTCCGACCTTAGAGGACACCGCCTGACACCCTTCAAGGAGTAAGAACCCTTCGTCGCCCGGCAAGGAGCGCTTCTCATCCCCGGACTTCATCCCGTCGAGAGTCGAGTGTGGAGGCACCGGCATTGTTTGCTGATTGTTGATGTACATTTGTAGCAAGGACCAGAAATACAGGTTTCATTGGATTGTTACCTATTTCCCCTTGTGATCTCATTTTCACCCGAACCTTCACCACAGGGTACAACCCCTTAGCACCGTAACAATATTACAAAATGCAAGCACACTAGCAGCAAACTGCCCCATACCGCCCCAAAAATTTATTGGAAACATTGCATAATCTTTTGCTCTCCTACTCCTCTCCAGTGCCATTTCGAATGGCAAGGCCTGCCACGCACGACAGGAGCCACATTCAGAACCTTGGAGGCAACAGCTTCCATAAGTCCACTCTTGTGGCATTTTTCAGTTTTGCTTTGTTAACACTCTTGCCCTTGTTCTTTATGAAGATTTCTGTCATTGCATGAAATTCATCAATTAAAATTGCTGAAAGTGAAACTCTCCCTTTACTTATAAGTCTCTTCAAGGAGTACTTCAACGGAATCCAACTGGTGTCCTATCTTAGATTTGTGGAAGTCACCAATGCTACATGCTTTAAATGGAGCAGGAAAAAAGTGAGAGGAGTGGAAGTAGCAAAGCAAGGGTGGTTATGGATTACCATCTGGAATTTTCTTGAAAGGTGACATCAGATTTTGCGATGAATTATATTTCAACCAATTATGCTTGTGATTAATAAACATTGCATTTGCAAATATAGACAGGCTCCTTTTGATCCTTTTGATTAGAATAGTAGCAATAAAGGCAAAAGTAGCCAAATGTTCCTATATGAGAGGAACCTGAAGTGGTGATTGTCATGGAAAGGGACTATATCCATGCATCTCAGGGTACCAAGAGCAGACCATGCACTTCTTTTTACTGGCGAAGAATTTCTAACTTTCCTTCTTATCTTTGTGCAAATAAGTATAGGTCAGTATGCCCTAATTTCTGCACTTAGTCTCAGTTGTGTCTCAGTTGCTTTCATGAAACTAATATGCAGGATATGATGCTTGGACAAATGGGCAAGTATTTGTAATTTGTATTGATTATTAGAAAAAAAAATCCTAAGGAGGAGGAAATTTTCTGCCTGATAGGCATGGAATAGTAATTGTACACAGGATAAAGGCATTATATTAAGCATGCAATATTTGCCTCCCAACAACGTGTTTTCAGCAAAAAAAAAAGATTAGCTCTTGCTTGCTGAAATTTGGACCTGAGTGGTTTGGTTTTCACCTGCAGAGGGTTTCCCCCCCTTATACTGTATATTGGTTTCATCAAGGATGATTTCCTTCAAAGGAAGGGGAGGGCTCTTCCCAGTTTAAAATCCGAACTGGAATATTCCAGCTGGGCCAAATCTGTAAATTCGGACTATTTCCAGCTGGCAAAGAGCTGGAAACTAGTAGGTACCAGTTGTTAGCTGGAATTTTCCAACTGGAATGCAGCTGGTTTTAATAGATGTTTCCAGCTGGAAAATTTCCAGTTGGAACTTTATAAAGAGGACTCTACAACTGGAATGTAGCTAAATTTACAGTTGAAAATCAGCTGTTCCTGTAGATAGACCTCTGACAAAAATAGCCAATAAAAAGATTCTCATTCAGTTGGTGATATAGCAATTAGGAACAAATCTGGAGATGACTACTTTCCAGCTGTTCCCCAGTTGTAATGGGTCCGAATATTCAGCTGGAGTCCAGCTGGAAATTATAGCTGTTTCCAGCCTGGATTTTAAACTGGGTTGCTGCAAGAAATATTCTTTAATCAGACATCTGTATTATATGGATCAGTAGAATCTAGATTCCCAGAAGTAGCCATACATGTTTATATGTCCCATTTATCAGATAAATTCAACTCTCAATTGAAGCCATCTCCTCTTTTTCAGATAGGTGTATTTCATTCTCAGATAAGCTACCCAAGTAGCACGTAGATGGTGGGCCACCACCTACATTTGGGAAAAAGAACTGGTGGCCCACCAACTTCCCTAGGTTGTGGGCCACCAGGCACATGTCCTACTTGCCAGCACTGGCCTGCCACCCTCAGGGCCGCTAGAGGGCCTGTACATTACCAGCTAGCTCGGCTGTGGTGTACCACCAGCAGGGATGGGTCCTAATGCCTTAATGCATATCTGATTCACCTCTAATACTTGGCCCTGGAGTCTACTCAGCAGAGTACTCAAGATAACCCACTCCCCCCTCCAAAATAAATCTGCTGAGGGGGCTTACAGGAGTCTACGAGTACAAAGAGGCACCATATACATGATATGATATGACAGGACAAATATTTTCTACCCTCCCCTAGTCCCGTACATTTCTAAATTTCCATACTTAACTTCAGCATCTAATAATTCCCCGAGTCTTATATTGCAATCACAACATCATAATTCCTCCCTTTCCTAGAATCTGTTTATGAATTGCACATTAAAAAGAGGAAAAGCGAGGAAGAAACATTTTTGCTAAATCAGGAAGGCAGGTACTTCTTAGCATTTATAGGGTGAAAGGAACGGGAGTACCATCTAGTGGGGGTTCTTGGTACTGCATCTGGGATAGTGCCAGCTACATTATGGGAATAGAGCTGGTGGCTCTCCACCTACAATAGGTAGTGGGCCAGCTACCGCATGTCCCACTTGCCGCCATGTCCCTCCCCCGGCAGAAATCCGCCAGTGTAGTGCCTGGGCCGCTTATGGCCCACTACTATTGTGCTACTTGGGTATTTCATTATCTTGTTCAATAGTGGCACTTTAACACCCAAGCTAACATGTCGCCCACAAAATCATATTTAATTCATGGTAGCTTCACATTTTGAAGTTTTTAAGCTGTGACTATTATTTCTAGGATCATAGAATAGACCATTATTGCTGCGATATGTCTTGTTTTTTTTTTCTTTAAGGCATCATGTTATATGTTAATTGCAAAATGATCTGTGTTCACAACAGTTATGAATTATGGTTATGACTTCAGTACATTTTACATTTTGCTTGCACATACAGATGACGTGTTGGAGTTGCGGAGTGGAAGAAAGGGAAGAGATACATGATGATCCACTTCTTACCTGGGTTGAGCGGAGGTAATCCTGCCAACTCCCTGTCCATTGAGCATAAAATGGTAATTGTGTGTCTTTGCCATGTCACTTTTGTCTTCCCTCGAAAGATGATTTTGTTGATTCGTGAGATCTGACACTCTCCATACGCCTTAGGGAGCTTCTCTGCTGTCATCCACGTTATTCCACTTCCTGGGAATATGACAGGAGGATGAGTGGGAATATGAAAGAGAATCGCTATTGGTAGGAGTAGAAATGCGTACCCGTATACTCTTCTATGTAATTGAATACATATGATATTGCAAATGCATCATATTATTGCATTTTGAGATAGAAACGTTTATTTCTTCTGGTCTTCCACCTTGCAATTGTGGTAATGTTGCAAGGGGTCCTCAATTGGTGTGCAGGAAGGCACATTAACTAACTCCCAGCAGATCGTGCTAACAAGCTCAAGTAAGGCTAACAGCTATTTATGTGCTATAATTTATCTTAATATTTCTGGCACATTCTCTGAAGCAAGAAAAAATTGCTGCAAAACATCAATCTCCAAAAAATAGGCCCCAGAGGATGTTTCCTCAAAGTAGTGTTTTATTTGGCATCAACCTTTCAAGAGGCATGCGCGCACTAAATGTCAGCTATCTCCATCTGTTTCATTAAAGTGGAAGAAATGTATGAAATGAATATTTTGCATATTTTAGAGGGTATGGAGGGAGAGGGAAGGCATATTGAGGGATTACTTCATGGCAGAAGAGACAGATGATAGCTTCAAGTACTACTTAAAAGGAAGTGGAAGATATGATTGGCAACATAAATCAGGAGGTGAATCCCAAGTATCTGCTCAGTCTTGTGAGACAGTTATGGAACATAAAAATTTATAGTAGAATAGGAAAAGAGTTTTAAAAGTGCCAAAAGTATAGTATTCCGATCGTGGCCTTAATTCAAGTCTGAGAGGGCTCAAATTGAACTGTCTAAACATTTACAGGCACTTGGTGCATTAGTAGCAGCTGTCAGGTTTCACTGCAGTAAAATGATCCAGTAAAAGTGAATGAGTTGCAGAATTGATTTCCCAGTTGTAAATCATTACTCATTAAACGATAAGTTACGAAGGAAATTACATAGTTCCGGGATATTACTATCTATATGTCTTTCACTCAATTAAAAGCCACTGATATTTCACAGCTACTCTGCTCAAACTTTGTCGACCCGTCCTGGAATGCCTACACCGGTAGTAGCAATTAGAAATTTCATATTAAAAAAGTTTCGCATTTTTAATTGCAAAATGCTGCTGCAACTCGTAGGGAATATTAGATTGATGACTTACCGCGTTGGGAGACAATGGGGAGGATGGTGATGTTCCGCTTCGAGCTCTGAGCGAAGAGTAGAATACCATGCCTGTCCTTATTCTCGTCACCTCCTTCTTTAGGAAAGAAGGTTCCTGGAAAACATTCAAGACATGCTATGTGAAAAAAGGTTTGAATGGAGAGTAGACCTCTACTTTCCATGGTCTCATTCACTGGGGAATTTCCAACTAGTTAAACCCTTTTGAGGATGGTCATATCATGAAAGAAGCAGTGACTACACCACTCCAGATAGGTGATGGAGTTGTTGAGCCTTTCTCAGAGAGGCCCCTACACTAGAGACATACAAGAGAATGCTAACTCGTTTTCCTCTTTCGTCCAAAAAGAGAAAACATTTCGAAATTTACTTTCCCTCCACTTTTCGCTCCTTCAAAGTTTAATATGGAGGGATATGCGCAAAGGAGGAAGAATCGAGTTAACAAGCATCTTTTCTCTGGATCTCTGGAAGATCGTGAATTCCTATAGGATCCTATGCAATTTTTGAATCATAAAAATCTTATAGGATTCCTTCAGGATCCTATGAGAATCCAACAGGATTCCTAATCCTTTAAGGATTGTTTGGAACGAATCACACAACGCAGTAGTGAAGCACAGGTGCTATCAATTTGCTTCTGATTGGTGAATCTTCACGTCGCATCATGCTCCTGGGAGAACGGCTGGAAGAGCCCCTCAGCGTCTCAGACACCTTATACTGCTGCTGATGTCATGGATTACATTATCGGTTCAACATCCCTTGCTGTCCTCTTTAGAAGAGGTAACCAAAACACCCTACTAATGAACCCCCGACGATATGTCCGATTTTCCTCTTAATGTACAGCATGGCCTAGAATTAGTTGCACAGGTTCAAAATCTTAGTATTCACTTGTAGGAGTAGTGATGATACAGGCATATTTTATGCAGGAAATTCAAGGACATCTCTTCTAAAAGAGTGATGCAAATACCTTGGTCTTTAAAATTTGTGGCAATTAAAAGGAGCAATTTGTCTTCCGCCACTCTCAAGGCACCCTTCCAGATAAAGTTTAGTTAATGCTTCTTCAATGCTTGTGGGATTGTTAATTGTCATACCTGCATTTACTTGGTAGACACTTAACCCCTAATGTAATGTGAAGACCTCGCAAGAAACAGTGACAGTGTGCAGTGAGATTGGTCCACTGAACTACGCAGATCTCCTTTCCTTGATGTGAATGTTACCAGAGAAGGTTATCTACGAATGCTTCTGAATGACTTTTGTTCTGCAATATGGAACTTAAATATTGAAAATTCTCAGTTCGTACAAGACAGCGCCCTGCGTCATTGCAGCTTTCATGTGCAGTACTGACAGATGGGCAGATGGATGAGTTTGTCGAACGGTCGCCTCGCATGTGTGATTCACTCCCTAAAGCTCTTCCTTGTTAGGGATATTGAAATACAGGGTGTACAGCCACGTGCCTAAGGCTGTCCATCAACTCCTCACTGCTCAACTGCAATTTCATGAGTTTGAGAAGTTCTGGTGGACCCATTCGAGAAGTTGTGTCTGTCTAAACAGACAGACACAACTTCTCGAAGACACAACTTCATGGTAGTGCTTCAGGAGTGATGTTGCAGCATCTTCACTCGTTTCTTTGCTGCACGGCACCCACACCTCTAAATGGTAATTGTAATGGTAGAAGCTGCAACTTATCTTCTTGGCCTCCTGCTTCATGATATATTGTTGCCTAATAACCGTATTCATGGAGTGTGGGGTTTGTCTCTTTCTTTTTCAATTCCTCGCTGACCAGAGTAGTAGCTCTTAAAAGGAAGCGAAAACTGTCATTCTCTCTCATTATACTCCTCCACGAGCAACTCGGGGGTAGACTGAAATGTAACAACTGCATTCTACTCATAGCAAATGTGCATATGCGAGGTTATGTATGGAAAAAGCCCGGTTTTCCTAGGGCAGTGGTTACAATTCCATAACTCGCTTTGAAAACAGGAAATTTACTCCTACTCTTTTCCTCATTCACACCAATTTCTTGATACAGTCGAAGCTCCGTATTAAGAACCTCTGAAGAAAGGATTTTTTTTCTGCAATTTTTCCCATACCACGGTTTTTTCCTCATCCATATCCATGTAAAAAAGTTTTATGCAACAAATTTTTCAGTTTCACGAAGTCATTTTTCGTCCGAAGCTCCAAAGCTGTTCTGTACTAAGAATTTTTGGTCTTGTAGTGACAATGATGGATTCTACTTTGAGGTGAAGAGAAAAAAGAGGCCAACTCACCTGATAATTTTTTCCCCATGAGGACAATTGGTCTTTTGAGGATGTCCGCTCCTTTCTGGATAAGTGGAAGAGGGTCCTGAGGATCCTCCTCCCCAAGAATCCTCTGCATGAATGGAGACAATAAAAATCAGTCAGAAAATCATTTCATTGGTTGGAAAACCTGTGCCTTTGAAAAGCGACGAGGTTTGACCTCGAAGTTTGACCGTCAACCCTGGTGACACTGGGGTTGACGCTTCGGCATATGATCTACTCTTTCCGAGCAAAAAATGAAGGAAGACATTGCATTTAAGTTCCAGACACTGCCAACGGCTCGCACTTTCTTGATTGCACCTCGAATATTGCCATTATTGTTACCATTGACCCTTTTATGCTTTACCTATGAACTTCATATTTGCACATACCAGACTAGAGGATTGTTCTCAAACACTTCCTCTTTTTATCCACTCAACTTACACCGTATGAGTTTTCGATGCCAAATCCTGTTTCAGACCCGTTCCAGACAGATGCCTTCTTGCCATCCTGTCCTGAAGTGGGGCAAGATACCTATTCTACTCTTACGTATAATTTTCATGCATATCATTCTAATCATTTTCCTGCAAATGGAATGCTGAATTCATGATAATTCCGCCTTCTCTATCTCTCTCAGTATCTCAATTTGATGACGTTCCCACTACTTCAACATAGAAGGAAAATGATGATAGGAGGATAGTCAAGACTGTGACAGACCTTGAGAAGAGGAAGATGCAGGAGTGACCCTGTGAGAGCGAGCGAGAGAGATTCCAGGATCCCTAACCGGCTACTCTGAGTCTTCAGGGGCACTGGAGGCCACTTCTTTGTCTCCCACTGCACCCCATTCATTTTCAAGAAGTCAGTGATTGTCGTTGGATGTTCAACCAGTAGTGCTTCTCCTGGCCAATCTGGAGAGAGAGGACTTAACGAAGGAACCAGTTCCATATCGTACTAAGCAAGGTATTACATCTGACGTTCTGACACATTTTGCCAAAACGCTTCCTCTCTTGCTGGAACATTATTGGCGAAGGATAATCAATATTCGCGACATGCCTTCCCCAGGATATCCCTGTTGTGTCATTGGTTTCAAATTTGGCAACGATTCCTACTTCAGGGTGTAATAGATACATATATTTCCGTAAGTACTGACTTTAAGGCTGTACAGGTGGCAAACGTCAAAATAAAAAATAAAAACGGATGATGAGTGTTGAATGGAGGTGAATGAACTTCTGAGCCAATGCATAAAACCAGATAAGTACTTTTCCAATAGTCCGGACTATTATGAGAGATCTTGATGATGTAATCTTTGAAGTGGTATGAAACGGATATCTCATTCACATTGGCTGCGCATTTCATTGAGAATTTCCTTATTTATTTATATATTTATTATCCAGCACCACGAAGCACCGTTTTTCATGAATACTTAATGCAGTGAAAATTATAAAAACTTCACAAAACTTCTCCAACCTTTTTTGGGTGGGGGGAAGCAGGAAATAAATAAATAAAATACACGAAATGAATGGTATGATGCTTTAGCCACCCTTCCTAGGTCAAGGAGGAGTACTCCTTGCTGCTGGGAACACCATTTCCTTGCCCTACTTGAAAAATTGATATTAAGTTCAGTTGGAAAAATGACATAAGTAGTCCACTATCGTTGGTTGACTCTAGAAAGCAGTCGTCGAAGAGGAAATTATCAGCAAGGAAAAGCTGGTATATTCAATGTCTGAAGCCGTTCCCAGTGAGCATGCGTGGTAGTCATTTTCGGTTTAATTTCTACCTTATCTTTATATAACCCAGAGCAGTTATGAAGAGATGGCTTGAAGAATGCCTAATTTCGGGCTTTCACCGTAAAAGAAAATCAGTTTCACTTTGTATTTTGTTTGCCTTTAGCGTCTAAGCTCAATCCTCATGGGATCAATGTAAAAAATTCGTAGAAGCTGCTGTTCGATACCACAAAATGGATAAGAGGGATAGAAAATACGACTACATCAGCGGTAATGCGAGTGACCTAGTGAACTGTCACAAACCTCTGTCCACCGAGCGAAAACGTACTGGATGACCACAAAAGGACGAAGGTGATGACTGACATGATAATTGAAAGGGAAAAGAGTTCCATCCATAGTTGCATGCATGTGCACGAGATATTCAGTAGATATTCGACACAAATTCCGTCCATAAGTTAAGGTTCGCAATTCTCTAACTGCAAGCACAGTGGAAGAGGAGTCGTTCGCTTTCATGAGTTGGAAGTTTTATACAGCCACTGGGGCTGCAATCTTCGTCTCAGCGAACAATTTGAAAGCAGAGTTTCTGGACATTTTTCTGGACACCCTTTTCATTAGCACTTTTGCCAGTCTTGTTAAGAAAGTAGCGTTACATCCAGACAACGAACACATTCTAATTCTGAATGTCACAGTAGCCGCCGTAGACGGAAGCGACATCTTTCCGACCCTTCTCTTTCAATGAAAACAAAGCTAGCATGTGATAGGATATATGCCTCACGAGCCACAACAGAACCACATTTTTTCTTACATTCTTCTCTATAAATTAAATCTGTTACGTAAGTGCTAAGGAACCTTTCTTTTATTACTTTTTTTTCTCTGCATACTGATAAAATATAACAATGATCTGCTTGCGATGAATACCTCGTACGATCAGGATAAGATCAGTAGTTACGAGGCTTAACGCACTCGGACTTTCTGAGACAGAGTTCATAGTCGTGCTGTACAGCATGTACAGCAACGGAAAAATCCAATCAACACGGGCATGTTCCATTAGACATATTCAGTTACATCATCCAGCATGCTGTACCGTACAGCATGAGTATGAACTCGGCCTTACTCTTTGCACGCATTTGGCTTGGTAGTAATTATGCTAAGCCAAATGCGTGTAAAGAGTAAGGGTATCATGCCATATTTGATCACCAGCATGAGCCCCTCTCTTCCAAATAGAGTGTACATCAGAAACAATCGTTCATTATTTGTTAAAATATGGAGTCTCATCCTTGTGGTTCACTTACCATTCCAGGCGTAACCCCAATCAGTGAAGGGGGAAGAATCCTTCGGTAAAGGTAAAACTTTGTTGAGGACCTCCCACGTCTTCGCAGAGAGACAATTGATTTTACCGGTTTCCTGGTCGAAGCAGGTTTCTCTCTTCACTGCTTCTTCGGCAATTCTTTTCGCCGAGTCATCCCATGTCGGCTCCTGCAATGCAATGAAGAAGCATACATTTGTATCAAGGCTGCGCTCTTTAAATTTTGATGGGAAAGGAATACCCCTAGAAACCAGAGAGCACCAGATTTGAAAGAGGAAAACGAAGCGAATGGAGGAGAGACACAAAGGAAGAGGTCGCGAGAGTGAGGACAAGGGGCGCGCAGGTGTTGGGCATGTTTCCAAAGGTACTCTAATTTTTGTCTGTGACTCGGAAACCTTGCTCTGGTCATCTTTCATTGCTTCTCGTACATTATTCTGCAGAGCAAATGGTGATCAGTCGGATTCATGTACTCTTTCTAACGTAGAATATTTACTTCATTAACCATTCGGTGCTTTTCCATCATGCTTGTCATGTTACGTCTAGCTGGCAGCATTCGTTGAGCGAAATCGTCATGCTAATTGATGTTCTTTATTTTAAGCACTATTCACATTTATGTCTCTCAGATAGCCACATCTCTGAAGGGATGTTGAACTGGTTATTTAAAAATGTCCACATACGGCATTTTCTCTCTCTGCCACTCACACATAAGGGGAAGAATCCTTCGGTAAAGGTAAAACTTTGTTGAGGACCTTCCACGTCTTCGCGGAGAGACAATTGATTTTACCGGTTTCCTGGTCGAAGCAGGTTTCTCTCTTTACTGCCTCTTCGGCAATTCTTTTCGCCGAGTCATCCCATGTCGGCTCAGCTCACACATCTAATATATAGACGATCGTGACTGACTGACTGACGCTAATTCTAACCATGTTCCNCTTTGCCTAGCACCGTGGGTTAAAATGAAAGGCCAGTTGGGAGCTCCATAATTAATCTATTGGCTTGACATTTGAAAACTAATAAAATATATGTAAATAAATAAAATAAATAAGTGAAAGACAAAGAACAATGACTCAGGCAATAGGCCGGAATGTAACCAACGGGCAAATCAAATCATTCTTGGCAGGCGCTAGGCCATGTAAAAACACTGAATGAACAGACCAGCCAGGGACGTGCGGATCTGCAAAGCACGGGCGGACCAACGACGAAAACAAGAAAGTCTCAGCAAAACCAACAACGGACGTGTCGATCAGCAAGTCTCCAAAAAACCAAGGGAATGTGTTGACCAGCAAGGCTCAGCAGACCAAGAAAGACTCGGCAGACTCAACACACGACGAAACAAGCGCCAACCGGAAGACGGGCTCCCCCTGACACACCCCCAGCTCTGGCTGCTCTCTCGTATATATGTTCAAGTGTCATGTGGGGTAGAGGAGAACCCCCACTTGGAGCAGTTAGAGTGTTCAATCACGTCCATGCTTGATAAAAACCACTCCTCCAGTAAAAACAGGCACAGCACAAAACTTTTTCTCAAAGCCTCTGACTAGCTGGTCTATTCCCTTTCAGCAACACTGGATGCTGGTCGTGTCGTCTGCTCCTCAGACATGACACTACAATATCCAAGCGAATCGGGCAGAATTATAAAAGGTGCAGCCGGCGCAGGCATAAGGGACGTGATGTTAATTTAAGGAAAAATTCGGCTTTTGGTGTGCGTCTCCTCAGAGCACAGCTATTGGGTTTGTCACTTTTCTAAATACATTTTTTCCGGCAACAAAAAGAAGAAACGGATTAGGCTGAAACTGGGTGGCATGGAGTTCCATGATTCTACATTTCAGTAGAAATAAAGTTTTCGTTAAGACCAATCAGGGCTCTTTCTTACAATCCCATTTTCCTGAATTTTTTTTGACTCAACGAAAAAAAGATAGTAAATTTAAAATTCCCTCAGAAGTACCTGTTTGATTGCTGAGTGCAGGAAAATTCTACATGTGAAATATGTCCCCTTAGCGTAGATTATAGGAGGGAAGTATTTCAAAATGTATTCTCTACCATTACAAAAAGAGACACATCAAACGATTTCAAATTAGGCACACTAGAAATAATCGAAGTAATGGTTTTGATAAAAATGAAGAATTTTGTCCCCATATGTCACGTATTTTAATGGAGTCGTACGTAAAATACGTGTTTGCAATTTCGCAAAGTATAAATGAATTGATCACTATTCGAATGAATGGAGCGCCGAAGGCGCGACCATAGCTAGTAAAGAATATTTTCCCCTCAAAATGTAACGTCTAACTCAAAATGTGAGGATCGGGTAATTCAGTAGGAACGTCGAACCATGCAGTAAAACATACGTATACTTCATGCTTCCTACTGGTATTACATAGACTGCCGAATAAGCATACACGAAAGGTTCAAGTGTCATTTCAGTCTTCGCCCTCAAAAAATGATCAACTTTACTGCCTTAAAATATTTAGGCCACGGTAACGTCACTCGTTCTACACGACTAAGCAACTTGTTTTAAAACTCTGAGTAATGAGGCTCTGCTGGGAAAGAAAACGATATTAACTTTTTTGACATCAAATGGTAAGAGAACTCCCTCACCCAAAATGTCCGTGACAACTTAGAAGCTATTTCGAGTAACTGAATGAAACCAGATTGTTCTCTGAGCCTCCCAGTGGGCGATCCTCACGCGTGAAGCTCTTCTTCTTTCTGTTAAAGTGTCGCAAGATACTGGTACAAGATAAAGCGATCTATGTAGGGCTCGTTCAGAGTCCAACCCTTGCAGACTAGGTGACGAGCAGAGGTCAAACAGCTGAATATCCTACGTTCTCGAAACATTATTCAGTCATGTTGTTTCTATAATTCCCATCAGTTCATCTTTTCTGAACAAAGGGTCTAATATTATGTCTCACCACTTACGTTCTCATGCAATATACTTATATGCCATAAGTTCTCTATGCCATCATACTATTGAGGAAGTTCTGAGAATTAAAGACGCTTCAGCAATACAGAACATTTTATACACGCGAAATAGATAAGATACGTACCATCTTGGTAAATAGTAGAAGAGAAAGGAACTTACTCCCACAAAGATTTCTGAGTATGAATGTAGGATGTATTCGGGAGAGAAATCATCCTGGACCTCGACACGCTGCTCTTCGATCATGGTCTGCCAGAGGTCCTCACGATTGTCGATATCGATGATGATGAGTTGAGTCCTGGACCGGGATATAACTTCTAGCAACCATTCGTCGTTCACGTTCACAGAGACGATAACCGAAGCCTCACATCCACGGAATTCCTTTGGGTGTATCACTTGGACATCGAAGCGGGTCTTCAGGGATTGCAAGGACGTAAGCAGGTCTTTATCTGAGACCAGGACGTGCGGCTGATTATTAGTCGTTTTTGGAAAAATAGCTCGAGAGAGGCCGGATACGGCCGCCACCTTTGCACTACATGACTTCTCTCCCTTGCAGAGGTATCCCAAATGCCGCCCCGAGCATTTGTAATTTTTCATGCTGATGTATTTAACAGGTGGGCCAGGCACAATGGTGGCTGGCACGGCAAACACGGACAGACTCTTAACTCTCAAGTTTAAAGCTTTTGCTGTCTCATTTTTTTGTATATGCTGCAAGAGAAGCACGTTGGTCGGTTGAGATTGAATCTCAATCGCAGTGCTGTCCGGGTTTTCCTTAAGGAACTCAATAGTTCTCCGAACTGTTTCACGTGAGGCTTTCGCCGAATGGGGTTTGATGCTGAGTATCAGGCGCACTTTCATCTCTTTCAGTCTTATCATGGTCTCCTGCAAGGGCGCCCAAAGATTTCCAGGGGCCCAGGGCAAAACTAAACCAGTGGCCCCTTGTGAGCCCCCTTGAGGCCCTTTGGAGGCCCACGAGCCTCTTCTACCAAGGGACCCCAAGGGGGTCCCGTGTGGGGCCCCTTGGTACGCGAGGCCCGGAGCAGATTGTCCCCGATGCTTCCCCCACTGGGCGGCCCTGGTCTCCTGGAGATCAATGAGGAACGGACAGTCTTCAACTATCACGGTCAAGAGACGTCCCTCTTGCTTTTCTCCTCCTTTCTTTCCCCGCTTTTTTTCCTCCATAACATATCCCTTTGTTTTTCGCTTCTTCCAAATTATCGACTCTTCTTCCTTTCCCTCTTCCTCTCCCTTTTTTCCCTCCTCCTCTTTTTCCTTTTCTTCCTCCTTCCTCTTCTGATACATTTCTACTCGGCGAATGATGTTCCCGAGAGAATTGATCGTGATGGAGCGCTCTTCAAATTCCACATTTTCTTTCGCTGACCAACGCCGTTGGTATTCTTCCAGGGACAAAATACTTCCTTGGTGAATTAGGAAAACCTGATCTCCCTTTTCTGTCACTCGTTTAATCAACATGTTGAGTCTCCTTGACTTTCCGGAGGCAGCGGGACCAAATATTATACTTAGCCCATGTTTAAGCATTAATTCTACATCGCTTTCCTCCTCTTTTTCCCTGCCACCCCAATCTAAAGTCATCCCGGGGAAGGACGCAAGAGGGAAAGCCTTTTCTTCCATACACTCAATTTTCTCTGCATCGCACTCTTGCCAGGCCTTTTCCAGCCTGACCTTGAGATCCGACTTGAAACCTTCATCGAAGCTTCTCTCTACAATGCCTGGGACTTCCTTTGTCAGACGGAAAAACTTCCCTGTCCTCAGTTGTTCTTCTTCGAACACGATGATCTTGTTTTCTCCCGTCGTGGCTGCCAATCGAGCGTAGTTCTTCCATTCTGACTGAGCGAAATCCACTACGACTATCATGTTTTTCGGATGGCAGCCGATAAATTCACTCTCGGTGACGACAACGATGGGGATCGAGTTTTTTGCGGACTCGCTTCCGTGAAATTGGTATTTCCGATCACTGAGAAAAATGAGTGGAAGGGATGGGTCGAGGGAAGCGAATATGTTTACAAGAGCATTCCTTCTCCTCTCGTGATCGACGACGACGAAAAGTGGTATCTTTTCTGATGACTTTGATTGTTCCTCGTATATGCCGTGAATGATGTGAAACGCCCTCACGACCTCACAGATCTTTTCGTTTCTGCATTCGCTAGGATGAATGGAGGAGCAAGAAGGAATGGGAGAAAGGGCCGGAAGGAATCCATTGCCTGACTGTTTCATACGTAATGGGATAGTCTTTTCCTGGGAAATGAAGATCCGGCGAGAGTAATTTCCAATGGCGAGGAACAACTCAGCCACTTTTCTGCTATTTCTTTTCACGCTTTCTAAGACGGTAACATTGAATCGACCCGGCCTCACATCTTCAAGCGGGAAATCTCTTGCGTAGGACGGGTCATTAGGGCGGAAGGAGATGGTGATGGACTTTATTGGAGGAGGACCACCAATCATATACTTGACCCATTCCCAGTGTTTGGACAGGGCTTCTGAAGTGATGTTTTCCTGGAATCCTAGAGTGATGGGAACTTCGTCCACGAGAACGTGCTTTCCCTCCCCCTTCTCCTGAAGAAATGTTTTGAACTTTAGTAGATTCTCCTCCAAGCCCTCCTTTTCCCCGTCTACTACTTCGATGGCCTCATTATCTGTTAAGAAGGAGAGCAGATTCAATCGTACAACACGATGCTACCTCATCTGGTAAATATTCTACCATATTATCTTGCAACGCTACTTGCTGTCTATTTGAATAATGCACATTTCAGTTTTAGCCAACCTGTGGGGGAAGGGTTTAGCTATAGCGCGGTGTCATGCCTCACATGAAAAAATTTAAGAAATCTCCAACTTTAACTTTTCCTCAGTATTAAAAGATGAGAAAAGGAAAAAAAAAACCTAGAAGGATGCAGCAATGTTATCAAGATCAAGATTCCATCGAAAAAAAGGGATTCAAGCTTTATTATTTCAATGGAAAGTTATCAGGCAATTTTATTAATTGCAAAGTTTTGCAATTTTCGATCGGAGGAGTTTCTCGTGATTGATGGTCATGGTCATCAAACTTGTCATTTTCTTGCAATTATGAAACCAAAAACTCATGGACATCATATGCTAATAAATAAACTTGGGTTCCAGTACTGTCGAGGATTTTTTTGCCAAATCTTTTAAAATATATTTTAAAAAAAAGATTTTTCAGGAGTTTTCTCGTTCTATTTGCAGTCTTCTTGATGGAATAGGGCGAGTCTCTCGTCTGCCATCATGTGATCAAACAAAGTACTCTGCTTTCAAGTTGGCACGTAGATGAGCTAAAGTGCACAACTTCTCCCGGATTTTTACATTTCAATCGAAGCAGGAATCTGTAAAGAAATGATCCAGTCTTTCATTCTCAATAAACAGTTCTATTTTCTTTGCAAATGTCAGAGTTCATCCGAATTTGGAATAATCGTTGGCTATGCTTCAAATTAAATACTGACTCTTACAAAGAAAGATCGGGAGATTGCCTTCGAATGGAATTCAATGTACACCCATATGGCACAAGAACGTTGCGTCAACATTGAGAAAAGGTTGAAACGTTGAGACTTGATTGGAATTGAGAATTCGACAAAGAATTATCAATGAAATGCTGGCTACTCGTAATTAACCGTATTTTCAGCATATGGCGACTACTCGTGGGTTAGGGAAGTCGCTCAGAGGCTATTCGGAGTAAATTCAATTTTCGTCCGAGTCTCACAATTGTTTCTACGTGGAGTTATCGACATCATATCAACAGAAAATAGGTTCTACGAATCGACGTGAGATGGCGCCTAACTGCCGATTCAGCGATACTTACCCTGGTACCCTGAAATAAACAGTACCCTGTATTTTTCATACAGAACCCGATCTTTTCGTATGTACAACTTAAGGGAAGGCATAATAATGTCTATATGGATCTGTTTAACGAGGTAACCCGTAGGAGGAGACTGAAAGTACTTCTGGCCAGTGGGTCCAAGGAGACATGCTCAATTTTCCCAAATCTCCACATGGCACGTATATCCACTTGGGCTTCAGCACCGAAAAACGACTCCCGGGTTCTCTTCTCTGCTGGATATGAAGGAGTTGAGTCTTGGAAGTTACTCGGTTCGAATTCTGATCTAGTAAAGGTTTAATAACCTTTACTACTAAAACCTCTGATGGTCCCCTTCCGGAGAAGATTTTACTTAATGGAGTACTGTTCGTATCACGCCACTGGGAATCCCTCCGGGCTTTCATCGAAACTCTATTTAAGGGGGTCCAATGGACCCCTACTATATTCTATGTACACGTAAATCATATTCCCCCTCTCTTTTAATCCTTGTTTCACAGCTTTTTCACCTATTGCTTGCCTGAACGGCCTTCTGGCAACTAGAGTAAGAGAGAAAAAGGGAGGAAAGAGGGGAATCCTCTATTTTATCTTCGGCTCATGGGGAAGGACTCCTCTGCGAGCCGGATCAATAGATGAGAAGCAAAGGTGAAGTTCGGGTAATCCTAGGAGAATTTTGCCCCCCTCATGCAACCGCGCCTGTCCTTTTTTCTCCCTCCCTCTGGGACGTTTTGGAACCACGTTATTCCACATATAATTCGTATAGCATAGTCATGACGTCAAGTCGGTCTTGCTGTGTTTGTGGATCGGCTCCATCTGAAAAATGTTCTTCATGTGTTGTAAACACGAAAGAGTGTATATAGATGTCTCTGGAGAGGCCTTCGCTGCCTCGAGACTTACAAGTGCTTCCGCCATCATGGTGACGTCTCGCACGTGGGAATGAATAGCATGCTTGGTTGGGTCCCGGCGTGGAGGCCCCCAGGCTCGGGGAAAGTTACCTCTTTTTCCCTACCCCTCTCCATGTGCCTGCTATGAACTCCTTGCTCGTGCGACTTCAGTAAGATGGCGGCGGCGCCTGGAAGGGTAGAGTGCCTCGCGGCATAGGGGAGGCTCCTCCATTATTCACTCTCTATGGCTGTAAATGGTTTCATTTAACGTTAGGCTAAGCTAATCTCTTTGTCTATTATTTACCTCATGAATATATTTTTTCGACAATATCATGACTTTCTTGTACTGTAAGGCAAGCTCTGGTGGCAATTTTGCCTGAAGTAAAAAGAAAATTTTGCTTGGGATGCCACATGGTGCTGTATTAATTTTTAAATTTATCGGAATGAATAAAGGAAAAAAGTTTCTTCGTCATAAACGTGTTTTTGCCTCCTGCTTTCCCACAACATATACTTAAATAAGTAATAGGGGGTCCAATGGACTCTTCCCCTTGCCCGATTAGGTTCGTCTTTTACCTTGCCCTATCCGGCAAGGTAAAACCTTGTCGGATAAGGTAAACTTTGCCGACGAACCTACAATTACAATTTTGACACTTTTTCTCTGTGATTATTCATCCCACACCCTCGAAACTGATCGATTTTATGTTTCGCTGATGCCAAGCTGTGTTTTGGCGATTGCTTTTTTGGCGGTGAGTTTATTTGGAGATGGTGGCAGTTTCCTGGTAGAAATTAATTATGTATATATATATATATATAGTAAGAGAAGTTATTTGGTGCCGAAATTGCTCGAAACTACCCAAGGGCAACAGAAAATGCCCAACCTTTGGACCCAGAAGCGCGGGACTTAGAGATGAGAGTCCGAATTATTAGAGACAGCCTGCAGGTATGGGGCAAGGCTAAAGGAAGTTACAAAGAGAAGGGACAGCGAAGGATCCTATCCTAGAAATTTGTCGGGCAGCCTGCGTCGTTAGGGGGTTGAGGCCAAGAGTCCGACTTACAAAACCTATCCAGAAAGTTTCTACCCACAGGTGCTACGGCTGTGGAATTAAACAGTTAGACACCACCTAATGTCTCAGAGGCAATCACGGCTTAAGTCCGTCTGTCAGTGCCACAGTTAACGATCGATTAGCTCGATCAGCCTCGCGACCGAAATGCATGGTAGACTCGAGCCTATGAAAGAAACGGAGCGAGAACACGGTTCGGAATGGCGCAAGCCTATGAGGGAAAATGAAAAATGGGGGGGGGGGAAGGCTAGTTGCGAAAACAAGCCTATGCACGAAAAAGTGTAGCCCATGGAAAGGCCCTACCATGCATTCAGTTACCTGCGTCCTACACTGACAGACTGGAGCGATGCCCAGATTGCCTCTGCTACCTTTATGCCTTGGCCTTGACTCATTAAGCCAAGAACACCTGACCCAACCCCGACTAACTATCTATAGATAAGCTAAACCTTGGGAATTAAGAAAAGTTATGGGGAAGAAGCCCATGCACCGGTAAACTGCCATCATCACTGGGATCGTATTGCAGTCACTGTGCTGCAACAGCCGTACATCCGAGCTGTTTATACAGCAAAGTTATAAAAACCTCCTAGCTAACGCAACCACGAAAATGCAGTATCACCCTCTTCAGATGGATACTTGCGGAGATCTTTCTTGAATTGCTGAGAAAAAAGTTTTAAGTGTTTTCTCAAGAGGTATCGTGAGAAGCCATTATTCCTCAGTCTTTGGTGTACGATTTCACTATTAAAATTCAATTATTCTATGTCAGAGCAGATAACACAAAATATTTCAGTTGGGAAATTATAACATTTTTGATATGGCTAGGAATATTATTTTGGCTTTGGGCATAATAATGAATTCGAAGTTAAAATCCCTCCTTTTATCATATATATCTGTGACGAAACAATTTGTTCAATTTTGCAAAAAAATATTTAAATCCATATAATGAGCATATTTGTATGGGGGGAAACAATTTCTTCTAGTTCAAGACAGTCAATATATATTTGATGAGGATCTGTTGTTATTGCAGCGTTATTTATTAGGAATTGGATCATCAAAATACCTGATAGTATTTAAATATGCTTCTGGATTAGGAGTTTCGTTCATAAGTTTCGATTCATATTAAAATAAAAGTAAATTTGCCATATTAGTAGAGTAATTGCTGCCCATTGGAATCCCAATCTTTTGCCTGAAAATCTGATCATCAATTTTGATGTAATTATTTTAAATACGCATGAATCCCAGGGGAAAATTAACATAAATCTTACGTAAAATGAATGTAAACATGCTGTTTGGAATGGAAACGGGAATTTCAATTTTACGTAAAATTTACGTTAATTTTATACCACCGTTTACGTATCACATAGGGGACATTTCTGCAAACATGTTGACATTATCTTGATGATGGTTTGCCTAAAATAGATATGAAATAGACAAAAAATTTACATTCAGTTTACGTAAAATTAACACAAACATGATGCTTGGGTTTACTTGGTACCTTTTGAAATTAGATCTCTAAGCCGGACGTTCTCTTCAATGTCTGGGTTGCCAGTAAGAACATGTCCGTGGTGTCCATCGACATAATTATTTTAACTACTGTTGCTGTTTGCAAGGCAAACTCTCAAGCGAATCAAGATCAAGATCCTCAACAAATGGCCTGTGATTGCATGGTTTTGCAAGGTTTTGCAAACTATAGGAGATTCTTGGATTGGCATCTTTTTTGGGAAATTTGTTTTGACATGCATACTGCTAAAAACTGCAGCCAATTTTAAAGAATCAAGGCATTTACTTAGGAAAGGAACAATAAGAAACGATTTTGAATGCGTTACTTGTTTCTCTAAAGAATTCACTGAGTTTAAATTTACAAAACACTACGACGATATCTATGAAGTGCTGATTCTTTATTTCATCAGAAAGGATCATTTTCACAAGACATTTCACTTTTGCTTTTCAGAGAAAGTTTATTTCATTTTTCATTTTAGTAATGACTTTGTTAGTAGAGAGGAAAGCACGTTCCCACTTCTTCAGTAACTTGCCAAAGTCTATAAATTTCCTGTGGGGATTGCAGTTCCTAGAAGAATGTCTATGCCTCCTTGAAAAGTATTTCCTACTTAACCTTGAAACCTGCAGGAATTTGAAGACTCAGAACTGTTCGACATGCAAGTCATATTCATGCCCTGGTACCTGTCATTTGTGACCGTAAGGGTATAGAGTTTTATGGCCGATAAAACATTGATCCTCAGCCAGGAGCCTTACATCATCGTCAATTATTACTTTCAAATTTTCAATCTTAAGCTGTTCGCGGGCATGGACCCATATATGGGTTTTAAAATTTAGCACTTTGACGGTACCGGTAAGTCGAAAATTTGTGTACATGCTTATATATATTATATATAAGCATCACATCACATCACATCTATTCTACATCACATACATGAAGAACATGAACAAAATTACTCTGAAGGAGCATGTTTTCTGAAGGCGTTGAAAAGTGTGAAAAAACTGGCCCTTGAAAGGGTTAATGTTCTGGAAGTTGTTTTTGAAAATGTTGCATTTCTATATATTGGGTTTTTTTCTATTTGATTCAACATGAGATCTGTGGTTATTCATTCTTAAGTTCACGGTTATACACGTTTGCCCGATACAGGATAGGTTGCAGGAACCACATGTGATTTTATAGATTACGTGACTTGTCTTACAGAAGGGTTGGGAAATAATTAGGTTTCTTCCTTATGCCATATAGGGACAGGTGCGGCAACGAATACTGTTACATTTGAAGGCTATAGTGTAAGTACTTACAAGGGCAGCCAACCCTCGAAAGTACTAAACAAAAGATGCGCCATACAACATTAACATAAAAATAAAATACACACGAAAAAAAACAAGCGAACAGTATCTCAAGGAGAGATGAGAAGACTCTGAATGTTATTATTCCTCCACCAAACCATTATAACTTTGGTGTATATACAGCTCGGATATGCGGCTGTTGCAGCACAGAGTGACTGCAATAGATCCCGGTGATGATGGCAGTTTACCGGTGCATGGGCTTCTTTTCCATAACTTTTCTTAATTCATCCTAAGTTTTAGCTTATCCAGTTAGTCGGGGTTGGGTCAGGTGTTATTGACTTAATGAGGCAAGGTCAAGGCATAAACGTAGCAGTGCCAATCTGGACATCGCTCCAGTCTGTCAGTGTAGGACACAGTTAACTGAATGCATGGTAGGGCCTTTCCATGGGCTACACTTTTTCTTGCATAGGCTTGTTTTCGCAACTAGCCTTCCCCCCCATTTTTCATTTTCCCTCATAGGCTTGCGCCATTCCGAGCCGTGCTCTCGCTCCGTTTCTTTCATAGGCTCGAGTCTACCATGCATTTCAGTCGCGAGGCTGATCGAGCTAATCGATCGTTAACTGTGGCACTGACAGACGGACTTAAGCCGTGATTACCTCTGAGACATTGGGTACTGTCTAACTGTTTAATTCCACAGCCGTAGCACCTGTGGGTAGAACTTTCTGGGTAGGGTTTGTTCGGTCAGTCTTGCGGCCTCAACCCCCTGATGACGCAGGTTGCCTGACAAATTGCTAGGATAGGATCTTTCGCTGTCCATTCTCTTTTTAACTCCCTTAAGCCTTGCCCCATATCTGCAGGCTGCTTTGCCATAGTTGGATTATTTGTTATATATCCTCTTCTTCTGGGGTAGGAGCTGGTCATAGCTTGCCTGTTGCCTTGGGTGGCTCATGCCAAGGAAGGCGTCACTGTTTTACTTTAATTCATTCCATGTGCACGCCTTGAATGAGTGCAGTACCCGAATGGGCAGTAAGCCCATTCGGGTAATTGCTAATTTGGCCAACTACTTTTTATATCTACGTTCTTTTTACATATATATAGATAGTAATGGACCTAATATTAAAGATAGATATTGGCTAAATAGGCAATTACCTGGCTGGGCAGTAAACTGCCCCCAACCAAGGTGCACAGATAGAGTAAGAGAAGTTATTTGGTGCTGAAATTGTCTGAAACTCTGTAGTTTGTAGTTTTTTTTAAATATTAGGTTCATTACTATAACACCAGCTGTCTGTTATCGGCAAAGATTCGCTTTGCATTGAGCAGCTTATGGTATACACTGCAATTGAAGTTTCATATGGTGCCAGCTTTTGATTTGGGACTTTTTCGTGGGTGGGAGTTAATGTGATGGCTTGAGTCTTGTGTGAAGCAAGTAGGATTAGAGATTTCTCACTTTCTCTTCCAATTGTTCTAGTCACTCCCCTTTTCGACTCTCATCTCTAAGTTCCGCGCTTCTGGGTCCAAAGGTTGGGCATTTACTGTTGCCCTTGGGTAGTTTCAGACAATTTCAGCACCAAATAACTTCTCTTTCTCTCTCTCTCTCTCTCTCTATATATATATATACACACTATATTTTATATTGATGTCTCTCACGCAAAGGCAAGCAGATCCCTGAAGCCAATGCGATGATGCAGAGTATCAAGAACGAGCACCATCAAGTAGTGCTGGATTCCCATGTTCTTGATGACTTTCATATGGCGCCTTACTCGGTCTACCTTTGGCCACCTGCACTCCTAGCCTATCGACGCATTCATCGCAACATGGCCACTATAAAGAAATTAATCTCGGTATCCATAATGCTATGTCAAGTATTTTCGTAACCAACTAGACTAGTTGATCAAGTTCATAATTAGGAAAAATACACGGTTGAATATGCGCACACGTTGTTGAAACCTGCGGTAGTACAAAATTAGATTTTCTCCTGAAACGATCAGAACACATCATAGTTGAAGTTGTCATTCGAACTTCGCGAAGAAATAACTCAAATTAGTGCCATGAACGCAGTCGGATGCAGCTTTTCGATTTAAGTCCCGTTCCATGACCAGGATAAACCGCGCGGAAATGTCCAGACGGCAAAATCCTCTTTCCTCCATTCCTCTCCTCTCGTGCGGCTGAGATCTCTGCAATTTGGTTACAGCACCAAGAAAAAGGAATGTAAATTGGATCTGAATGATTGGATTACTTACGGATTTTCCTGGAAGTCGATGCTATGTCATGCATTAAGGGCGGCTTTTGAGTTCTAAGATGAAGACAGCTACAAATGTAGGAATGGGAAATACGGACACACTTCGTATCGAATACGCTTCATGGGCATCAACAAAAAAATGCTTGTAAAAGATGCCTCTATTAGAAAGGGACTGCCGAAGGGTATTTGTTATATCAACAAATTTTATATTTTTTTTTAATGCATGAGATTTGAATAAGATTTATTTCACATTCCCCCAGGATGAGGTAGAAGAGCACAAGAAAAACCTTCCATTGTCCGGGGAACCCGAGGATTACATAGAAGCCTATCTCATGGAAATAGAGGAACTAAAGCGACGAGGGAAGTTGGATCGATATCTCTCAGGTATTCCTAGAAACTTCGTGGCATAAGAACATGATGAAATTAAGTGATCCTTTAAAACAGTTATTCAAGTGCGGTCCAGGTAATGTGTTTTTTTTTTGCGGCCCACTGAACTAATAATTGATTTTTTCACATTTAAGACTTAGCCTATTATCGGCACTCGAGAATAATAGCGAAAAATACTTTTTAAATTCCAGATTGCCTTTTTCCTCCAAGATCCTTTGCCATAAACCAGCAAGTTGAGTCATTATTTAGATATTCAGATGCTTATAATACATATTTGCATTTAAATGCTCATGTATTAATATTTAGGGGTGCTTCTGAATTCGCCTAAAATTCCGAGAATCCACATACAGAAGAGAACGTGTGTCTCACCTCGCAAGTAAATGATGAAGTTTAGGAGAGAAAAAAATATTTATCTAATATATATTTATATATACGATCGTGACTGACTGACTGACGCTAATTCTAACCATGTTCTAGAAGGGTTAGNATATATATTTATATATACGATCGTGACTGACTGACTGACGCTAATTCTAACTATGTTCTAGAAGGGTTAGAAATCTGAAACTTGTTACACATGTACTTTTTGGGATGCAGAGTTCAGAAAAAGTCCGACTTTGGAGGTACATGCCCTGGGGGTACAAATTTTGGGGTGAAACGTTTTTTCTGAATATATTTTGTGACAGATGGGGATGGCATTCAGAGAGTCTGCTGGATGTCCCAGGTTCGGTGGAGTAGTAGTAGCATATCTGACTGGCAAACAGAAGGTCCAGGTTCAATTCCTAGCCAATCCTAGGCTTTTGTTTGGCGTTTTTTTCCTTCCATGTCCTGTTACTCATTCCCCATCCATAACATTCTTTCTACTTGAGTAAAACGGAGAGACATGGAAAGCTGAAACTTGGCATAGACGTGCCTACCGAGACGATGAGTTCAGGAAAAATGCAAAATTTCAGATCCATGCCCTGGGGGCATATTTTTGTGAACCGACGTTTTTCAAATATTTTCTTTTTGTCCTGGCATATTGAGCTAGTGTGGAAAGACGAAACTTGGTAGATAACTACCTATTGAGATGCTGCAGAAAAATTCAGACTTAGGAAGTAAATGCCCTAGGGGCACAAATTTCAAAGGGAGATGTTTTCAACTAATTATTTCTAATTATTTTGCATCAGTTAAACTGATGAACATGGAAAGCTAAAACTTTGCATGAATGAGACAATGAGTTAAATAAAAATGTTAAGTCTCGATACATCCCCTGGGGGAATTTTTTCGAGGGGCGATGTTTTGAAAAGAAATTGTTGTGGCGAATTGGACAGAAATGGAAAGGTGAAACTTGGCACACGTATAAGTGACATGATATTACTGAGCTGAGGGAGTATTCATCTTTCATGGTGCATCCCCTCCGGGCATAGCGTTAGGGTGGGTCGGCTTTTCCAAACATGTTTTTTCACCTGCGAAAAGGACAAACTTATAATATTGAAACGTTGTGGGTATGTAGTTCACTGAGGATGGATTTCGGTAAGGAAAATATGGTACGTTTCGGTTAAAATGGCTCAGGGCACATATTTTAAGAAAGGCGTATTTTCAGGAATTTTCTGATCCAGCAAAACAGAGGGCGCATGAAAGTTGAAAAAATTGGCAAATAAGTACCTGATGGATAGCTGAGTAAAGAAAAAATCTACTTTTCTAATATTCTATAATAATTTCTATAGACGATCGTGACTGACTGACGCTAATTCATAAAGGGAAACGTATTAACATAAGGCTGAATTTGGGTGGCATGGAATTCCCTGAGTCTTCGTTTCAAAAGAAACAATTTTTTTCGTTAAAGCCCATCAGGGCTCTTTTTTTGAGGCTCATTTTCCTGAATTTTTTTTTGATCCAACGAAACAAAGACAGAAAATTTAAACTTTACTCAGAAGTACCTGTTTAATGACTGAGTACAGGAAAAATCTTGCTTTTGAAATATGTCTCCTTAGCGCAGATTATTGGAGGCAAGTATTTCAATATGTATTCTTTACCCTTACTAAAAGGGACACAAGGAAAGATTTACAGTTAGCACACATGGAATCATAGAAGTAAAGAGTTTGATAAAAATAACGACTTTCGACCCCATATGTCACGTATTTCAATGAGGACGTACTTTAAAATACGTGTTTCCCATTTCGCAAAAAATGAATGGATTAATCACTATCCAAGGTAATGGAACGCCGAAGGCGCGACCCTAGCGACTGCCCATAGACCACAGCTAGTTGAAAATACAACTTGTAACAAAACAGCACCTAGAACCGAAACGTTTACAGAGACCTGACTCCTTGTGGTGGTGATTTCCTTGATTACGAGATTTGACAGTGCGAGAAATTGCTTCACCAATAGGCAGTGTTTTAAGTGACTTGTATTCCCCGTAGAATTTGGACTGCGTTTGAACATTGAGGATTTATTCTTCGCCGGAAACGAGACGACATCAAACACCGTTCGTTGGTGCGTCCTGTTTCTCATTTGTCACCCGGAACTTCAGGAGAAACTTCAGGCTGAAGTTGACAACGTTGTAGGTTCCGACCGAATGCCTTCGCTGAACGACCGAAACAGGTAAGACTTAGTATTGCCTACACACGAGTCCAAAAAAAAACTTTTTTTTTAGTATTTTCGACAAGAACGGAACGAGAAAGGTTCGCTTTTGTCCTACTGTTTTAAATAAAATCTTCCTTACTAATGAGCGTGTCTCTGTGTGTGTCCCCGAGGCCCCTTCTCCTCCTAGAAGGTTTGATCCCTGACCCTGAAACTTTAAATTTAGGCTTCCTATGGGTGGGGCATCAGGATGATGGAGTTTGGTGGCCCTGCTATCGATGAGTCTCAGTGGGGCCGCCTTGGTTCACCAGGGACATTTTTCATCAAAATAACCTAATTCATTGTGTGTGGGAATTATTAAATCCCCGGGGTTTCCTGGTCAAGTTCATTCTTCTATGTGACTTTTTCCCTTTGAGATATTAGAGGTCAAAGGTCAACATTTCAGATTCGTTTACCCGGCCAAGCCGTGCACTCCAAGCCTTGCAATTTTACATTTCAGGTCGTGAAGGACTTGCACACTCAATGCTGCATAAAATTTAAAAAAGTGCGCATTTCAGTTTTTCTTGCGACTGCTACTGAATAGGTGGCGCGTGCTGCAGCAAACATTTTTGATGCACGAGCATGCGATGAGGATGGGACAGCCAAGGGAATCAGGGTCAACTCATGCCCAGATCCCAAAAAATTTTCAAACGAAATCCCGTGTACGAAGTGCTATAAAGTTATCCATTTGTGGATGCGACACACATGGGTGGTTGGTGGGAACCTCTGTAACACCAAAAAGCATTGTACGTGGTAGATAATGGGCAGGGTAGCCCGTGTGTACAGGGTAAGCTGTGAGAACAGGGTATTTTGTGTCTACGGTAGCCTGCGTGTACAGGTTAGTCCCGGAGGATCCGGGTCTTGACTAGTGTTTACATGTTGAAGGTGTTGTCGGGTTTTCCCGGTGCTTATGGAATCTCATCAGTGGGATACGTAATTTCGATGAACCTACAGGTTTCGTAAAATCGTCTCCATGATGGGTGACTGTTAATACACCCTGGGGACATAAAATCACCCTGAAACTCGGAACCCCTCATTACGTGTATTGACATTTTGCTGAAAAATGTTGGAGTGCCTGTTGCAGATTTTCAACCTTTTGTCGGTCAAAAGAATCCCATCGGATTCCGTCATCAGGAAAACCTGCAGGATTGTCCAAATTCTGAATTCTGAATAGAAAGATGATTATTATCTTTGTTTCATATACTCGTACCAATCGCCACAGAATGCAATACACGCAAGCCTTCACAATGGAGGCGTTGAGACTGTCGCACTTGACCCCGTTGGGATTTCCTCACGCGGCCACGGAGGACGTGGAAATCGCCGGATTTCGATTCCCAAAGGTATTTTTCCTCTCAAGGATAAATCTGGAAGGTCCATAGGTCACCGAAGAAACTTGTATGCCATATTTTGGCTGTAAAGTATTGTGTGACTGAATTCATAGGGAAGAAGATGAAACCGGGAATGCCATCGACTTGCTTCGTTCGAGTAAAAAGGGATCCGTTTTTTTTTCTTTTTTTCTGGGATGTACTCATGTCCCTTCTAAAAACCTCACCCATCCACACGGTGGAACGGGTGTGGAATGGCGTGGAAATCGTGAGGACTTTTCTGAATCGCATGTACAATCAGTGTGGAAGGGGGTGGAACGGGTATGAAGAGAGTGTGGTCATTGAGGGGAATAGGTGTCGACAAGGTGAGGAAGGGTAGGGATGAGGAAAGGAGGGGTAATATCAGGCAATTCATTTTAACCTTGATATTGGATAATTTTTCTTTTCTCATGTTATTTATTTTTCTTTTTTTTCGCTACTTTAATTTTTCATACAAACCTGGTGATTCATTTCAAAGGTCCTAAAAAGAAAGTGCAAAAAAGAGAAATACTAAGCCAAAAGAAATGTCATTACTTAAAAAAAAATGTAATGGTAAATTGTGGACAACCGTCACTACACACACTTGAGTAGGGTGCAGCTCTATGCTTCTCCTGTCGCTGGATGCTTGCTAACAAGGATCGATGGAAACCTCCCATGGAGTGGGATCACAAATTCAATCTGAAAGCAATGTAGAGTGCGTTTCGTTACTAGGAGTCCATGAAACCAGAGGGTCTAAGCTTCTTGTGCAGAGCGCAACAGCGCCATCTCTAAAGGCTCTAAAGGCTTCTAGCGACTGCACCGCAGAGTTCGAATGTCTAACGCAAATGACAGCATTTTTTTAACCTCATCGGGAGGGCATCCGGAACGAGCTACATCAATATACTAGTAGTTGAAGAAGCGCAGACAGTACATTCTTGGGACTTTAGCACCATTTACCTTGGACCTTCTGCATGAAACGCTGGTAGCTGTGTTTCGAGAAAACTAAGAAAATAGGGTTAGTTAATAATGACATTCTGAAATCCAGAGATTAATATTCCTGATGAGAGAATACAGAATATGATATGCACAGTATACTAAAGTGTAGAGCTGTTACACTTCCATTATGAGCATATTGAGGATCATTACTCTGTCGGGTCATTCCATCTCAAGTCAGCGAGAGGCCGGAGCATGACCCCCTTCGATATTGACGAAAAATTTTTATGTGGTACCCCTCATGGCCCTAAGTAAAAATGACAAATTTTGGCTTCGGGTATGGACCCGTTTTGGCACAACAATTCACTAAATGTTGTGAAATGTAAATAATTAAAAGGAATCCAGGGAGCCTTTCTGTACGGTATAACTTAAATGAATAATGGAGAGCTACAAGGATTCACTTTTAACTTCAGTTTGCCCATTCAGCTCTAATAGATTTGTTTACTTTCAGATTATAATAGCTTTGCACCTCAATATCAAGAGGGAAAACTGAAATAATCGAATGCTAGATGAATGATGTAATAATTCCAAAACACTTGACTGTCCATAAGTAAGTGCTGGTTCCTTTCTCTTGAAAAATTGCATTTAAAATATAACAGCTAAATCATACAGAAATTAAAAAATACTGTGATTCTGGGTATTTTTAGAGCAGCAACACAATTTTTAAAATTAAAATTCCACTCTTTTCTAGGAGTTGCATGACTTCCCCACAAATATTTCACAAGACACTCTCACAGTGACTCCACATAAGGATTCCAGGATCAATAAAATATGGTGATCCTATTCATAGGAAAATGAAGCACGTCCTAAAATATGACATTTTAACCAGAAACTCATTGAAGGATTGAATTGAAATAAAAGACAACTTCAAGTATCTCAAGTCCAATGGATCATTAAATATGAAAGCAGCCTAGACATACATTACATACCACAACTTATAAGTAGATCAGTTTAACTTTCTAAGATAGAGAGCACAGAAACCTTTAGGCCAATAAAAATCCTGCAATTTTGAATTACTTCTTACATCTAAAGAGAGTTGACAGAATACAGGTTTTAAATAGGCCTAGAAAAAAGAATGGTGTACCAAAAAGAAATATGCCTGCTTGTGGAGTCTGGACGATATTCAACTCAACTGACCCATCTTACTGCCTCTAATTCACCATTATACTTACTTCCTAAGTTTTACAAAAATGGGTATTTGAACTTAATACCAGAGAAACTGAATGGGTCTGATGAAAGCTATTAACTCCTTAAACCTCAATGGAAGTAGGTATCAATTTACTTGCTCTAGACATTCAGCATGAATTTTCTATGAAGGCAGCATACTGGTTGAACATGTCATTAAATACCAATCAATTTGATTATTTTGATACTCATAGTTCTTGAAGTCTCATGAGAAGCAATAGGCCTATCTAAAGTGAAAATAGTTGCCCAATATCCCACATATCTGTCAGCTGGGATACACATAATCCAGCTAATAATACCAACGGGACCGTGAATAGATTGGAGACCTCTTTATGTTAAACTGCAGGTAGGATTGGGTTTAGTCCTGAGGAAATGTGAAAGATGCCTAAGATGCATAATGGGACCAATCACAACGAAAGTGATTGGTTCTACAAGGAGGCATACAAATCTACCCTTGGCGTCTCTACCGAGGGGACTTAGCTCTAAACTGGACAGTTTCCCATGGAATTCGCCTTGTTCAACACAGAGTAGGCTAGCGCAACGAAATGGAGAGATTTAGGGACAAATTAGATAGACCGGCATCGCGGAAGTTGAAGCCTCCGCCACGAGCATAAAGGTTATGACACAATATACTCCTGCCATCTACGTTTCCACCTAAGATGCACGTCGAATTGAGGTATCTGTGCCACACGGGTAGTGGTGTAAACATATTTTTATGCTCAGAAACTGGCAAGTATTTATGAACAAAGAAAAAATCGCATAAATGTTGCAGATGACATCTGCCAAAAAAGTGAGCAGCGAGAGTGCCTAGTCTATAATGACTAACGAATTTAGTAGTTCTAAGCCTTAATATTGTTGCTGTAATTTCGTATTAAAGTGAAATATGTGCAAATTGATTATCAACGAAGATATACAGTAGGCATTTAAGTTTGTTGGTATGTATTGTGTGTAAATCACCGCCTCGGAATTTTCCTGTGCGCCGTTTCTTCCTTAGGAAACGATGTTCTTAGCAAACGTTAGGCGGTGTCATATGAATCCCAAGTTCTGGCCAGATCCCGAAAAGTTTGAACCGGAAAGATTCCTCAATCCAGATGGGTCCGTGAAGACCAAAGTCCCCAGTTTCATTCCGTTCTCCTTCGGTGGGTTACCTTATCCTGGCTGATCTTGGTTCAAAATATACTTGATATATGACTATGCTCTCCCATTAACAGGGAAGCGTCAGTGCATGGGCGAGTCATTGGCTCTGATGGAACTCTTCTTGTTCATGGCCATCTTCATGCAGAAATTCACATTTCGCACCACGACCGGACTTCCTCATCCCAAAGCCGAGGGTGTTGAGAGCATTACCTGGAAACCTCCCAAACCCTTTCAGTTCCTTGTCGAGGAAAGAAAACATTGAAGCAATGCCATTTATCATATCATGTCATTCATCATGATTTTCTTGACTTATCTCATATATCTTCCGTTTGATAAACGGTATATAACAGAAGGAGAAATCATTTGAATGGAATGCAAATATTTCGCTGGATTTCGCACACCTGAAAATATGCTAATAAAAAAAAGTTTATCAATAAAATTTAATTTCTAAAGGGATTTTGCAGGATACTTTCGGATTTGAGAAAACCAGGCGTTCAACCAGGGATAGAGAGTATCACAGGACAGGGCGATAATATCAACATGACGTTGCCCACAAGTTATGTGGATAGAAATTTGGAATTCCAAGACGTTGTGCCTGTGGAAATATTTGCCATCGATCCCCACAACTGCGTATGGGCCAGAGAAGCGACACTTCGAGCCATCGGAACGATGATCGAGTCGAGAAGAACGATAGAAGTTCCAGGTAAACACATTCATATCCGGTTTTCCTTCGAAAACCTCTGCGAGATCCCGAGACTCACACGAGTGGAGCCGATTCTTCCCAGATGTCTTTCGAGTTTCGAATGAGAACCGGGAAGCAGATCGCAGCAACTTTCGCCCGCATCCGACATAAAATAATTATTGAAAAATGTTTCTCCAGAGAGCACAAATGCCCTCGATTTTCAGCTTTGAAGGCCTTCACTTTCCGCACGGGAATTGAACTGAATCACTGTAGCAGTGATTCCTCATATTTCGTAAGGCTCCTTTCCCTCTCTGGAAGTGGAATCGGAAGAACACGGTCGCATTTATGGAGTGAAGCCTCGATTTGAACAATGCTTCCTCGACGATTGACGGGAGTCTGCTTGGACTGCTTAATCTGTTTCTACATTCAGGAATTCCAATGTCTTCCCCTACGTTGTTTGCGAGAAACGTTCAAGTACCGCATGAAAGTACCGTGGTCTGAACGAGTATTCCCTGATACCACCGTAGGCACCATCTCGTTTCATTTGTTCTTCAAATTGTTCAAATATTTGATATAGATGTCTCGAACGGAGCGTGGACAAATGCTGGCTGCTGCCATAGCGCCGAAGTGGGGCCAACGTGAGCAGCCCACTTCGTTCTGGACTCACTCTCCCCCTGGATTGTTTTCCTGTTTTTTTCTTTAATCAAAGTATTTATTATGTTAATCAGATGTTACTCCATTTACTTTGGACGAGATATCAGTACAATGACATTTCCCAATAAACTCTATTTTTGACAAGATTGACTGTATTTACTCCGTTGAATTTGTACACTAATAAAATGCATTTTCTGATGCAGAATGGGAAGAGAATATTAAGTCACGGCTTATTCTGTCCACCATTTTTTTGTCTCATATCTATCATGACTTTAAGGTGTACGTTATAATAAGTAATAATTTTGTATTATTTCAGCTTGTGCCTTGTTGTAACTTGTCCTGGAATTGTTTGTGAGTTGCATTCCCTTTTAGCTTCTGGTGAAAATGTTGACACTTCAGCTGATGAGTGCAATTTTTGCGCAGAAAAAATTTATTATGGTTTTTTTTCTTCTGTAGTCCATATATACAATCGCATTACTCAAGCTGGCATTATTTCTTTCATGTATACGATCCAAGGGCGAATAATAGTCTGATAATGAACCTTAAAAATTCTTGAGTGTTGCATTTGTGCATTTGAGTTCACGCTCATCTGTGAAATTCCGGTTTCACTCTGAAATTCTTTTTGAGGATTACAAGGGATGATCCAGTTTATCCCTTGAGATACAAGGAAATGCGGTAGAATCAAGATACGAAATTAATTTTTCGACATTACCTCGCCTATGCCATAATTTTACACCTTCGAAGGAGATGTTTTATTTGGATAAATAAACTGATGATATTAAATAGTTATTTCCTTATTAATTGCTTAGATGCTCTATATTCAACTTTGCCTTTTTTATTTAAATGGAATGAAGTTTGTCCGGAAAATATTTTAAATACCAAATGTAAAAAAAAACGCAGTTGAAACCAATTGTTTGACGTATGGTTTTCCGCATTGATTGTAGAGCAATAATGCCGCGCTATGCGGACGTGAAACGCTGAAACTGGTCCGAGCAAGGTTTTCGTGTGTTTCTGTTTCCGATAGACGTCCGGAGAAGATCCCTTTCGGGCTGCGAAAGTGAAACCTGAATATTGGGTGCCTTAAGATTGATCTCGCTTATGTGAGGTAGCTATAACATGAAGCCTAGCCGATCAAGTAAGAGGCCCTTTTTGGGGGTCGGGATAACATTGCCCCAACTATAAGTGGCTGGCATTTATATAAATGCAGAACCTTCATGGTGTGAATTCAGGTTAAGTCTCTGAAGCTCTGCCGAAAAATACGTTATCTGTCATTCGAGGTATGATCAATCCTAATGTTTTAGTACTTACAAGTACCTTATGCCATCAACGAAGTATGCACTGAGAAGTACTCTGTCATGCTAATCCTGGTTTACAGATCTCGCCTAATTTCACAGGTTTAACTGAGAGATATTGCATTTCACTGAATACAAAAGTGCCCCCTTTCTACTCTATTAATTGATTCGGTGTGCCGGATTTAACTTTCCCAGTATGATCAGTACTACAGAATCTAATTACATTTTCTTATCGTGGCAAAGTCGATTCCATGCTCTTTCCAACCAGTCCATTTCGGAGTTCCTATCATGCTTATGCTATCCCTGGGCATAGGAAGACTGATCACGCTTGGTGATTATGCCCTGCAAAATTGGGCATCGGGGTAAGTGCGATCGTTCCTAACGTGACTCTCTCTGGAGTCTTCCTGTCTTATTCACTCGTAGGCCTCGCTCAAGGACTTAACATTTCAATTACGTTTCTGAAGCTGAAGCCACTCCTAGCTAGGATTTAATGTCTGATCGATACATTGTGGATTGACTCTAAAAAAAATTCATGGAATCGTCTCCGACCTATCCTCACTAGGTCTTGAAATTAGGCTACATCTGAATTATTTTAAATTAATTAGTTATTAGTTTAAAATTATAATTTAATTAATGTAGCATGAAGAATGGTCTCAGAATTTGCAGTGCTTCCGTCAGTTTGACATACCTATTGCATTCAATAAACAGGTAGTTGGAGATTTTCATAGTGCCGATTAACGACAATTTTTTCAACTGGTTGCAAGAGGATGGGGATTAATGTGATCTCTGGAAGAAATCTGATGTCATAAGAAAATGCATGCAGTTCTGGCCATACGAATAAATGGACTTCGATAGGTTTGTTAGCTAACAAAAGATAAATACTGTGTCGGCTTCCATTATCAGCCAAGTCCAAAGATAGTCAAGTCAAGCATAATTCGACTCATGGCTGCTGAGGGCAGATCATCTTAGCTCATTGTTTCAAATACAAGCTTGTATCATTTGTAAATCATATTCACTGTCACACGAGGTAACAGGGAATGTAAAATCGATTTCCTTGGATGCAGAGATGCTAGAAGGGTGCCACTAAAAGATTAAATGGGTAAGCTGGAACTATTCTTTCAAGATAGAGTAGAAGTATCTCCAATTAAGTCAAGATACGAATTGATAATAAAAAAATGGAATAAAACTTCCATCATGGTCGTCAGACACACATCGGAGACCCATAGGGAACCAACTCGGTGGGATGCAGCTGGCTTGAAATTGGCATATGGCTATACGCTCCGCTTGCCGGCTCCGTCCCTCGTGGAATGTGATTGGCTGGCGGTAGAAACGAACCAGATTGAACTTGTGGGCCGCTGCAAATATCCGTTCCGTTTCGTAGTATTTGCTGTCTGGAATTCCTTGTGTTATGCTAGAAAGCGTACTTACATGGCACTTTCCCTGAGCTGCCAAGCTGCGATTGGCAGTGTCTGATGAGGAGTCCATCCGATTTGGAGCGAGCGGAAGTCATGTGCAGAATGTCCTAATGACGAATCTCAATGCTCTCTGCGAGGTTCTATTTGTGGGGATGATGGATTGCGTTTCCAGGGTGAAGAAGAGCTGGACTCGACTTCCCAAGGCCTTCGCTAGCTTCTCCAACTGGCGAATGACAATCGATTGTACAGAGATCGAAATTGTCGTTCCTAGATTCAGCCTGGAAGCACAAAGAATTACTCTACAAGTCAAGCAACACCTTCAAAGCGATGATTGGTGTTGCCCCTCGTGGAACCATAACATGGTGGAAAGGAGTGGAGTGGTGAACACCTTCCCTGCCGGGGACCTGACTCTAGCGGACAAAGTCTCCACGATTCACGATTTGCTTCCCACTGGAATGACACGGAAGCATCCGCCTTATCTCGGGGGGGAAAACTTGACTCACTCCTGAAGAGGTGGCAGTGACAACTCAGGTAACACATTCTGCTGGGTTGCAGCTGTGACAAAGGGGAGAAAATCAGTAGATTCTCAAGTGGGAATGTCACACGTTATGCAGCTGAGTAGCAGCAGAGAAAATGGAAGAAAGCACTGCTGTAGCTCAGCTGTGATCCAGCTGTGCTGGAAGCTGGTCTGCCCAGCTGCACTGCAACAGAGCATATGCTTCCAGCCCAGCCGGATCACAGCTGAATTACAGCAGTGCATTCTTCTCTTTTCTCAGCTGCAAGATGTGTGACATTCCCACTTGAGAATCCATTGATTTTCTGCTCTTTCCCATCCGCATCCCAGTAGAGTGCACAACCTGGGACTTCCCCTTTCCTCTCCTGTGCATAGAATGTTCCATCTTCCCCCAGAAATGAAGACACGACGGTTGGAGTCAGTGTTTGTCAGCGACTTTCATCAACTGTTTGTAGATGATATATACTAGAGCATGCAAGGGGCTCTCACGAGGAATATGGGCTTATTTATCACCTGGGCTCCATGATTCTGTCTCGAATATGGGGATAAGAAATGATTAAGTGTCCAATTTTATTGATTGCTATAAAGAGACTCTGAAAGACATATGGTGAGGTACTAAGTACTCCTGTGAGGGATGATTCCATGGAAAGAGGGAAGTGCACTTTTGTGTACTGTGAGAAAGGCAAGGCCCATACCTCCATCTAGTGGCCTGGAGGAGAACTTCTCCATCTGTCTGCCCATTTTAGCTTGGATTTCCCGCGAGTCAGGCTCGCAATTTCCCAAATTTTCCAAACCTCCACCTGGATCTGATAAAGAACAATTAAGTGAGCACAAACACGACATACACCACTTAATTTCTCGCAAAATTAACCTTAAATATACCTTTTGTCTCTTGAAGGTTCTAAAGTTATGAAGCGTTGAAAATGCACTGCTTCTAACGGAAGACACTGCGGGAAGCCATATGTAGTTTTTTTTTTTTAAATCTGAATGACCAATAGAATAGACCATAGACGTAAATAGAATAGACCATGACGTAATACACGCCGACCAACTCTTTCTTGGTCTTCCCCAGTTGGAATGCAGTTGCCTCAGAGACAACCCAGTTGTATGCAAGCTGTTGGATAGCAGCTGCACTTCAAAACGCACTAATCGCCTTTATTACTGCTCGATAATCAGAGCAGGAAATCACTTGGGGCATGACTGAGCTTCCTCGGCTGACTTGTCTCGGCTCCCTGACCAGCTGAATCCTTGCTGGAAATAAACAGCTTCATGACAGCTGATGAGATGATGCTGAATCCCAGCTGCAGGATCATATCCATATCGTTGTTTTCTTGTCTAGACGCGTTAATCTCAGCAGGGACACAGCTGGGATTTAAGAGTCGTGTTCGCTGGGAACTCCTGAACAGTGACAAGGTGAAGATCGTCTCTCGTCGAGTCCATGTGGTAAAGGACCCTTCAGAGGATGCGTGGATATGGGCTACTTCCTCGCAGATGCACGTTCCGCAGCGAGAAAAATAGTGAGAATAATATCGCGTTTGGTGAATCTTCAAACTCCCGTAATTGGGAATCAATTGAAACGGTGGGGTGAATTCCATTTCATTGAAATGAAAGAGGGAATCATCGGAATAAAAGCTGAGCATTGAGCGGGATAGCCGAGCGCATGGTTTGTTTATCCCATAACGCTGGCCACGTGCATCTTGAGGGCGGGACTAGCGGAGCGTGTAAGGAAGCATTAATACATTCCGAAGGCTTCCTTAGGGCATCTGGAAGGTTTCCTAAGTGCATCTCGTGACGCGGAGACGGAATCTACTCTCGAATTGTGCCTCATATGAGGAAACCGGAGAGATTTAAGGAAGAAGTGACGCGGGAGCATGGGAGGATGTTCACTGTGGAGCGAAAATCGCGCCCATTGTTGAGGTTGGCCAGGCTCTCTCCCTCTCTCCAGGGGCTCCAGAAGCAGATGGCCTACGACACGCTTCAGTCACGTGGTGGCTTGCTTCACCTGCTCTTTGTTTTCCCGCATTTCACATGCTTGGGGGCGGAGCCAGGTGAAGTTGTGTTAGTGTCTTGCCGTAGATTGTGGCAAGTTGGGGGACGTGATCGTGTTCAACAGCTCATACCATGAACATAGGCCGAGGCCAATAGGCCTGAATGTGGTCACCATGGGTACAGAGGCCATAACATAAACATCTCTCGAGTGAACCTTAACACTTCAAAGGCACATAGTTTAATTAAATTATTTTCTTTATTGTTTAAAGAAGTGGAGGACAGTGTAAAGTACTTGAACCTTTCCTTAGACAAGAACTTGCCTTGGGAAGGGCTCTGTGGACAAAGGCCTGGGTTCCTTGTTCACATACTAGTATACTAATTTGCTCCTGAAGTGCGGGACTCATTTGAAGTGGGTGACAAAGAAGAGCAAGGGGAAAGTTCAAAAGCGAACTTAATGATTTGTTCTCGAGAACAAAAATTGGAAATTGAGTTCAGTGACCTTGTGCATGCACTGGACTAGACATCCAGGCTAATGGATGTAAAAATGCCAGACTGGGCAGTTATAAATAATCATTCATGGCTCACCCCTACTTGATACTTTGAGGTGCATGACTGAAAATAACAGGACAAGGAAGGGCATGCAGAGCTTGTCTCTGCACCATACTTGTGCAAGGATTTCCATGTTTAACCCCTTGAGTGAGTATGATGTATACATCCATCATGGTGAAATGTTTCCTGGGGGATTTCGCCTTTTATTTGTTTTTGCTTCTGTTATATTTTGAGTTTAAATTAAATATGATTTGAAACTTGAAATAAGTTATGAACTTCAGAAGAGAAACATGAGTTAATTATATTACACAAAAACTAATTGTCACTCTCACAAAAATAATTTATGATTCAAGTGGTAGGCTTTTGTCCAAGAAATTCCCCACTTAACACATTGACCACCACCATTTTTTTTATTCACATGCCACAGAAAAATAAATGAAAACAATTAGTAATATCCAGTACTCCATCATGCAATGCTAGAAATCAGCAACCATGTGGTATTGTTCAAAACATAAAAGCATAAAACAACTTATCTTGTACTTGGCCGTTGATATGTTGAACAGTTTTTTCCCCTTGGTTGGTTATACAATAGTTATGCCCTTCTCCCTCACAATAAGATCCTCATCCACAGTAAAATTCCTTAAGAAACCATTCTCTGACTTTTAACCACCTACACCACAGCTTGCTGTTACCTTTGATGGTATTACACTCATTTCCAGATTTGCTTATCATATTTTGTCATATTGGAATTGCTTAACCCTCACATTGCAGGTAAGAAGAGACTCCTCTGAGGCCTTGACAACAAATTGCTTCCAGAGAGATGTGCTGTTGTTTGAAAGGATAGATTGAAAGAGGTGAGCACCTGTGAACTTGAGTGAATATGCATTGGCCAAGAAGTAATCAATTTATTTTTCAAGTGCATCTAGTCAGCCCCCATTTCAAGATTAGCTGGATCTAACCTGAGCCTGTATGGGACCAAGTTTTGGTTACACTTTCCAAGATGTGCCTTTGGATTGGAAAGCTGAAGGCATTCCTGTCACACATCAGTATGGGGCCTCTGATGTTTGCTCACATGTTTTCCATGGTACTGAGTTCAATCGTGATACAAGATATGATTTTAATGCGGGTATGCACCGTGACCTATCGGTTTTCTGAGCAGATATGCACCAATCTGTCTTCTCCAATGTATCATAATTACAGCATTGTTGTTCAGCAAGAAACTTCTGACTACAACCTCTACCGCTCTCTAGTTGAATCTCTTCCAGCCATTATCAGTTCGTTTTTCCTTGGACCATGGAGTGATGAATATGGGAGGAAACCTGCCATCATCCTTTCGCTGCTTGGAGCTTTGTTATCTGGGTTGGGATACCTGCTGGTTGGATTGGTACCTTCATATGGTCCAGAGTTTATGCTCATCCCAGCTGTTATATCAGGCCTCAGTGGTGGAGTGGTAGCTTTCCTCATGGCCATATTCAGTTACATTGGAGACACAACACCTCTTGAAATTCGATCGGCTCATGTTGCCCTCACAGATGCGTCTCGGTATATGGGTGCTCCATTAGGCATGTTGGCCAGCGGATATATCTACAAGCGTTGGGGATCAGTTGCAATATTTGGAACTGGAGCAACAGTAATTTTCTTGGCCCTGGTATATGTAACAATATACATAAAGGAACCCCACAATGCTGAAAGGAAATCCTTCAAGGTATCTTGCACAAGACTTTGTCAAGGACATCATGCTAGGGACTACCTGAAAACTGTTCTCAGGAGAAGAGATGGTTATCAGAGAACCGAGATTCTATGCCTCTTGGCTACTATGTGCCTTTGGCTCATCCCTTTTTCAGGTTTGTTTTTTGCTGAAACTTTTATGCACTCTTTGTGGTTATAGCCTATTATGTCGAGACTACTTTAACTTCAAAGAGAGATTTTATATCCGTGATTACCATAACTAATGGACATATGTTTCTACTTCAAACCGACCCTACTTGGTTGTATATGATAGAAACCACGACAGAGGTAACTCTTTGCAGTTGCAGGTTGGTATTCATTATTGTGGCTTCTGGTTTGCATCCTGATTTTTATCAAGCCAATTCCTTATTTTGTAGATTTACAATGAATTTTGTCATTCTTCCTTAGGGACTGTGATATTTGTGCCCATCCTGAGTTACAAGCTGAAAATGCCTGACTACCTTCTTGGCATTCTGTCATCCTTGTCTTACTGTGCAAATATGCTAGTCACTGGATTTGCTGTTTCTTCATGGCACATGTACTATGGTATGTTTGCTGTCATCATAATGTCTGGCAGCTAAAACCCAAAGTAGTTTTATAATAAATAAACATTGTGGTAGATTGAGCAATAGTAGCAAATGCATGAATTTTCCCTACTTTTTTTCGTGTGTCAGGGACTGGTTTGGGATGCCTCCGAGGGATTGGAACCATCTCTATTCGGAGCATGTTGTCCAAGATTGTCCTGAACGATGAACTGGGCAAGTTATGCTTTCATATTTGAAGAAATGCTTGATGCAAGAATGCATGTTGCAATGTTCAAATCATTACTGGTGGAAAAGTCATAGATGATGTTACTCCCCAAGTATTTTCGATATTTGAGTAGCTTGTCTTAATGAAGTTAGTGTATGTGAAGGTTTTCCTGTAAAATGTGAAATGGATCAGATCCTGAATTAAGTTGAGGCTGTCACTTCTTCACTAATACGTGAATGTTGTATTGAAAAAATTAAACTTAAATTTTGGTAGACAACTGATTGCAATCTTGCGGACTTGCACTTGCTGAAAGGTTGCCCTAGGGTTCCTCATGCAATTAGTTTGTTCCCAGCAGAATATTTTTTCTTTGATGACTCTGGATGACAAATTTTGCAATGACCTTCGCCATGATTACATTTTGATCAAAGTAGAACTTTGACCTTCTTGCAAGGAGTCCTTCCATTTATGAGACTTAAATGAATTCATGGTACTGTAAAGTTAGACTTATTTCATTTTTTAAATAGCCTAATATTCTTTCCTGTCTTGGTATCTGCCTCTCCAGGGAAGATCTATTCAGTCTTAGCCTCCTGTGAAGCTGCCATCCCATTGTTTGCCACTGCCATCTACACTCAGCTCTACGTTGCCACTGTTGCCACAATACCTGGCGCCTCCTATTTCTTGTGCGCTGCTATCATCATCCTCCCAATTATCATGTTCCTGTGAGTCTGTCACAGTACAATCAGGCAACAGCTCCCCTTCATTCATTTTTAAGTGAATGAAATTATTCTATTTCATTGAGTTCAGTCTTTAAATCGTTTAATATTAAGGTAAATACTTCGTGGTGTATTTTACAGGGGGGCAGGGCGCGGGTAAACGCCCTCCATGGTGCCCATAGGACAGAGCCTGGCGCCCCCCTGGAGGAAATAATTTTCTCACCTGATATCACTCGGGTGGGGTTTGGCGCCCCCGCTCTGTTGCCTTGCCCTCCCTGACCCTTCAGCCAAAATGCGCCACTGTAAATACTCATACCCATCTGACAAAATTCTGTCATTCTTCCAGAGTTCTTTGGAGACTTGATCAAAAAGGTGATGACTCCCACTTTGCTCCGCTGGACTGTCAACACTTTGGCCGAGGACACCAGCCACTCGACTACTAGATCCGGCGTTCATGCTTGATCCATTCATTGTGTATCTTGCCTGACATAATAGTTTGTTTCATTTTTGGCATCCATCAGAGGGTGTCTCTTGTTTATCTCATACCTTTCTGCTTTTATTTTATTGGTTTCAGTATTTGACTATATGGTAATGATGACTGGTATTGTATGATGAGAGGGAAAACTCGGGCCCCTCTAATCGTCGGTGACTCGACCGTCAGGCGTCTTGAGGGAGCGATGAAAAAAGATTCTGGAGCTCAGGTTTCTTTCAGTCAGTTTCCCGATTGAACACATTAGGATAAGGTCGGACCGGTGTTGTTCTCTGAGTCGGCCGAGGAAATCGGTGGTCCTTCACGTAAGGACCAACGATACTCCCAAGTCTGGCTCTGAACTCATCATGGGCAGGCTGAGGCAGGTTATTAGGGCGTGTCGGGAGGCAAGGTCGGGGGTGCGGGTGACGGTATTCGCAATCCCAAGCCGACTAGACAATGGGGAATCACGTGGTCCTGGGCGGAAGGGGTTAAAGACAGGTTGAGGGAGTTATGTATCGTGGGCAGTGCTTCTGGACACTAGGGAGGCTTTAAGTTGCTGTAGAAGTCCGATGGCTAGGGATGGAGTACATTCCTCGAAAGAGGGAGCTATAGCAGTCGGATAGGCAATCATGAAGGAAAATAAGCCTTTTTCAGGGTTGTAGAAGGAGGGGGGGGGGGGCCAAGGGATCACGAGCATGGGACAGCCACTTCAGACCGCCGCGTACTCGCGTGCAGGAAAGGCAGGGAAGAGTCAAGTGTTTCTACGCGAATGCACGCAGCTTACGTAATAAAATAGACGAGCTCAGGGAGAGGGCACTGGACAACGGTATCGATGTCATCGAAATAACAGAGACTTGGGGTGGTTCTCACATTTCGGATAAGGAATTCGAGATCGAAGAGTTTGCCGTTTGCCTCACCCAGTTTAACCTCGCCGAAAGTGTCCAGAGACCAACCGTTATTTCGACCGAAGTGGAGAACTTTACAATTACTTTTATTAAACCTCATGAGCCACTTGCTCTACTCATACAAAAGACAAATCTCTTTCGGCTCGAGCCCTATCCGCCTCCCCCTTTACGGTAAAACCTATCTTGGTGTTGTCGGGAAATTTACTCATCTTACCCTCTACGCCGAGATCCAAATCGTTTATGTAGACCCGCAACCTGTTGTGAGGAACGGTATCGAAAGCTTTCACGAAATCTAAATTGACAATGTCCACGGGATTCCCCTCATCCCTCTCCTCCGTCGCCCATTCGTAGAATTCGAGCAAATCGGTGAGACAATTTCGACGCCTCCTAAAGCCGTGTTGAGTCCCAAATGAGCGCGTTTCCTTCCGAGGAAATCCAAGAGGTGGTCCTTTAGGATGCTCTCCATGATTTTCCCTGGGATACTCGTGAGACTTACCGGCCTGTTATTCCCTGGATTACGCTTTTTGCCCTTCTTAAAGATCGGTACGACGTTTGCTCGTCTCCAGTCCTTAGGTACTTTCCCGCGCGAAAAGCTGCTTTCGAATATAATTCTTAGCGGAACCGATATTTCTCTCTTGGTTTCCTTAATGACTCTCTTGGGAATCCCATCGGGGCCGGTCGCTGCGCCCACCGCCAACTTCCCTATCATACTCACGATCGTCTCCTCAGTGATGGAAATATCCTCGATGCGCGCCGAGGTCACCTCCAAAGTCGGTGCCGAGTCGAATTCCACAGTGAAAACGGAAGCGAAGAGATCGTTAAGTATCTCGGCCCTATCTTTATTGCTTACAATCGACTCCCTCTTTTCGTACATTACAGGACCGATCGACTGTTGACACCTACCACTAGCATACCGATAAAAAGCCTTGGGGTTCTTAGCATCGCTAGCCAGCCGTTCCTCTCGCTCCCTTCTCGCAGATCTCATTTCCCGCTTCAACGTCCACGTGATGGTCCTATATTCCTCATAGTCCATTCTATCTCCCGTGTGCTTGTAGGTATCCCATTTCCGCTTTTTATCCCTGATGTAGCCAAATAACTCACGAGTTAGCTGACAGAACTTCGAGAGTATCCTCCAACACGTTCTCACGCTACGAACGCTCGAGCAAGACTGCCTATGATGACCACAAGCTTTCCTCGCACGCGCAAGCGACGGTAGCCAAATGCAACAGGATTCTAGGTTTCATTCGTCGTTCGGATGCAAGTAGGACTTCGCGCGTTATTCTTCTGTTGTATGCGGCGTTGATAAGACCCCAGTTGGAGTATTGCATCCAGTTTTGGAGGCCTACAAATAAGGGCGAATAGCTGGCCCTCGAGGGGGTACAGAGGAGGGCCACAAGAATGATCAAGGAGGTTAGGGGACTATCATACGAGAAGCATTTAGAAGTGTTGGGACTGTACTCCCTCGAGAGGAAGGTTAAGGAGAGGCGATCTCATCCAGACATTCAAGATAATTAAAGGAATAGATAATGTCGAGTGTGGTAGGGTTTTTCCAGTTCGATGGCAGCAAGAGAACGAGAGATAGCCAACTAAAGTTGCTTGAACCGCAGGTGCGGCTCAGGTCGAGATAGGAATTCTTTATTTGCAGAGTGGTGAACGAGTGGAATGCGTTAGATGAGGAAGTAGTGGCTGCCCCTTCTTTGACTATCTTTAAGAAGAAACTAGATGCTTTCATGGACAGGCAAAAAGGTGGGGGGGGCAATGTTGACGTTAGGTACTAGACAGTAAGCAACTAGGATAGTCAAATAACAAAAAAAAACCAAAACAAAACAAAAATACCAATATATATAGCTTTAAGAGGGTTAGGCCTTTCCTAAAATTAAGGAACGCTCACCCTAGACATGTGATATCGAAATGGGCGAAATCGCCACTTGATATCACTAACTATCTTGAATCTTGAATCTTGGATTGTCAACATGAAGTATTTCTCCTGCTTTTCGCTACTAGTTACACCATGAAAATTCTTGCAAGGATTTGGTCAGCAATAGCCGATCTTGGTGGATTCCTGAATTGCAGTATACTTAGGATTAAGAGAAGAAGAAATCATGAGAATTTTGCAAGATTTTGGCTGCACCAAACTAACTTGATTCTGACCCAAAGTACGAGGAAGTGGAAACCTTAACGGATGGAATAAGAAGTGGTGAGCATCCCCTTTCCTCATACATGGGCTTAGACTCAAATAGGTATGGCACATGAGAATTCCATCTGAAGTTCCCCGTACGTTGAAGCTGAATAATTTTAGGACCGTTTCTACTACAGCGATGGAAATTGTGAATTCATCGAAACTGAGTAAAGCCGCTTTGAATGATTTATCAACAGAAGGTTTTTGTTGGATGCGCTACCGTTTAATCGCCTGCGCTAGAAGCAGATTTCAGAAGGACTTTAATAATAATAATACGCTAAAAAGAATTATGCACTTCATGAACAAAGGAAATGATTTGGATCACGAAAGGAGACAATACACATGAGTATAAAACACAGAAAAAATAACTTCAACTTGTGCACGGGATTGGGATTAGAAGCCTGGGGTTGGGTCCCCGCCTCAAGGACCCAACCTTTGAGGAGAACCGGTGCGCTGCACCCCATGACGGGAAATGGGTTTAAACCGCCTACTATGGTTTCGAGAGCGTGAGAGGAAGTTCTATATAACATGTCATGTAAGCACGGTAAAAGACACTCTGTAATCGGTCCCCAATTCCTGTTAAATTCTTCGGAGCTCCTATGTTGGATGCAGAGCCTTTGGTATGATTGCATTTTTCGCTTCTCGAGACTCCTCTGAAAGATGCGCTGGAATGACTCAGATATGAAAATGCGGAAGATTCGTGCACTTATTATTACATTATTTGCACGCGAAAAAGGAAAAGTTCCAGTCGGACCCGCCACGGTTGCCGGTGTTGTAAAATATTTCCTCTCACAATACACTCCCGATGGAGAAAAACCTGATGTGATGTCCACCGCTGGTATGTATTCTTCCGCCTTCGTCCATATAAGTGACGCATGTTTATTTTTTCTTCTCTTGGATTGTAATTCCATGACAGGGATCTTCGTCCGTGCTTTTCTTCAATCAAGTGGATTGGATCATTTCTATGGCCAATTTTTAAATGAACGAAATTTTGAGAGATATTCAGGGGTTACATCATGCTTTATTCACTGTCAAGCAGCACAAGATGGAAAGATGAAAGGGACCATCAATCAGGATTTAGTGAGCCTTCATCGCCTTGAGGAAGTTATGCCCACTCGCGATAGCATCTGGGAAAAGAAAATCAATTACAACAAAATTGATAGGGAATTACGTAACAAAGACTCTTCCATGAGATCAAAACCAAAACTATTAATGCACTGTTTGGCTGGAAAGGATTGCAAGACCAATCTGAAACAATTTGCAATTTGTGTTAATGCTTTTGATGCTTTTCCAATAAGTTGAATGTAATGAAAGGACGGTGCAAGAATTCATTCTTTTTCGTAAAGGACTTCGATTGAAGCTCATCCTGGGATTCATATACCACACGGGAGAGGAAGATGACTCACTCAGGCATCCGTCCATGTAACACCAGCAGGTGAAAGGTGCCTCGAAGCAGACTCCGACAGTGTCGGGGAAGACGTCAAGGCAGGCATCGAAGCAGCCATCATCGTCGCAGCCCTCAGCTGGGTCGCAGCAACAGGGTGTAGGGGGCTGCTTGGCATCTGAAGCAATCACAAAGTACAACATCCCAATGTTGACTCCTCCAGGAAAAATCAATTCTCCAGCACCATAACCGCAATCAAAGTGCTTCACAGCATTCCAAGCCGTATTGAAAGAGTTTAGGTTTTTCTGGATAAATTACTATCGGTTACACCTATTCGTCATGACCCAGCCCAGGTAGCACATAACATTGATTCAACGTTGATTTACAAAAAAGAGGATTACCCACTACATTAAGGTCACATTGAACAGCGTCGATTTTTCACGGTTCTACTCTATTGCACATCTAAAAAATACGTTAAACATGGAAGGTGACTTACAAGCAACAGCGCAGAGGGCGATGAGAGCGAAGATAGTCTTCATGATGCTGGGTTTTGTGATTCCTGACAGGACCTTTCGTCTGCTTGACAATGTTCCAGAAGCTGAAGTGTGAGGCTCCTTGGGACACTGCCCTGCTTTTATAGGCCTGAAATTCAGACCATGGCTGATGCGTGAGAACCAGACCATGCTGCTCTTCCTATCCGGGTGCACGAAATTTTTTTTCGTATGCTGGGAAGTAGGGGAAAAACCCATATCGATTTTGAAATATCTCTATTCTTGGACTTGTGATTCCTCTCTTCGAAGTATGTCATATCTACCTGAAACTCAAGGTTACGAGAGAGAGAAAACGAAAAGAATTATCTGAACGCAAATTAAGTCCGTATTCTAGTTTTAAACCAGCAAATGAGACACCGCCATTGTAGAGAAATGCAACGGGATGCCTGCATGGGACCTTTAAGAAGTGCAATCGTGCTAGAACCTTTCGTCTGCTTGACAATGTTCCTGAAGCTGAAGTGTGTGGCTCCTTGGGACACTGCCCTGCGCTGCCCTTCCGCTCTCGATAGGAAATTCTCTTCAACCGGTCTCCAGCCGCGAGTCCCCTCACGCTTCTTCCTTAAGGTCATTATCTTCCCCTAGCCTCTCTCGTGGCCTTACTGCCCCAAGCGGGATCCCAAGCTCTGATATTCGTGTATCTCTCCCCGCTTCTTTTTCTTGCGTATTAGCACAAGGGAGGGCATGCTCCGAACCTAGAGGCGGTGGAAAGGTCAGTGATCCATTAGTTTCAGTAAGCTCTTCACTGAGATTTTTTTAGTGTAAAAGAATCCATTGAATCGAGGCTGATTTAATGTTGACACGTCCACAGTGAATAGTGCAGCATTGATTCAATGTTGAGTCAGTGTGGGTGATGGTTACCGGGTTGAATCGATGTCGATTCAACATAAAAATATAAATATTCTACAGTGAAACATTCGATCCTCTCCAAATTAACGTTGAATCAATGTTATGTGCTACCTGGGGTGTGCTAAAAAAGCACGCATCCGCGTGCACACAGATTTTTGAAGCAGTGTGGTCTGGTTCTCCCACGTTAGCCGTGGTCTGAATTTCAGGCCGATAAAAGCAGAGGAATGTCCCAAGGATCTTCACCATTCAGCTTCAGTTACATTTTCAAGCACACGAAAGGTCCCATCAGGAATCACAAACACAGCATCATGAAGGCTATCTTCGCTCTCCTCGCCATCTGCGCTGTTGCTTGTGAGTCACCTACCACTTTCTTTTAAATATTTTCAGGATGTGCAATTGATTAGAACCGTGAAAAACCGTCGCTGTTCAATGTGACATTAATTTAGTGGGAATCCTTTTTTTGTATAATTTTTTATATTAATGATTTGCTTTTGAAACATCCCACTCTAAATATACCCTGTGAGCTTATGTCTACGACCCGCTTCCTGAGTCATGACGAATTGGTGTAACCACTAGTAATTTATCCGGAAAAACCTAAACTCTTTCTGTACGCCTTGGAATGTTGTGAAGCACTTTGATTGCGGTTATGGTGCAGGAGAATAGAATAGATTATTCCTGGAGGAGTTGACATTGGGATGTTGTACTTTGTGATTTCTTCAGATGCCAAGCAGCCCACTGCACCCTGTTGCTGCGACTCAGGGTCAGGCTGCGATGACGGATGCTTCGAGGACTGCCTTGCTGTCTTCCCCGACACTGTCGGTGTCTGCTTCGAGGCCCCCTCCACCTGCTGGTGTTTCTTCGATGGATGCCTGAGTGAGCCATCTTCCTCTCCCATGTGGTACATGTACTCATGCCCTACATAGGTACCATGATGAGCTTCACTCAGAGTCCTTCACGTGAAAGAAGGAATTCTTGGACCGTCCTTTCATCTCACAGAACCTTTCAAAATACCTTTAAAATTTTCTGATTTGTCTTGCAATATTTCTTCGCAATAATGTATTTTTCCGCAGGGTATCATTTAAAAAGTCCTGTTCGTGTAATTCTCCATCTATAATACAACAATTGATTTTCTTCTTCCAGATGCCATGGCAAATAAGACTAACTTCGTCAAGGTGCTCAAGGCCCACTAAATGCCTGATAGATGGTCCCTTTCATCGTCCCTTTTTTTTGCTGCTTGGCGGTGAATAAAGCTTGATATAACCAAATAATTCCTCATGACTTTCTTGATACTGAACGCATATTCACATTTTTCAAGAAAAAAAAAGTCCTGACGTGGCCAAGAGGAATGGACGTAAAAGACAGAATCCCATCGTGGAAAATCCCATCTTGTAGCTGCAGTTTTTTTTGCAATTGACCTGACATCATTCGTTCGCAATAATATATTTCAAACCAGCAGGAGACTTCGATTCAAATTATTCCCAAATGTGTGAATATAGAAAAGACTGGAGGCAGCCGATTGTGAGAGTGAGAATATTTTTCTGTCAATGCCTGCGGCGACCACTTCATTAACCCTCTATGACGCAAAAACTCCTGGGCATTTTACTGAAATGCATTACTATGCCAAACCCATATGCTAGTAGTTGAATGTATCCATCATGAAGACATGATAAATGTGCCATTTGAAATATCAATTGCGCAAATATATGGCGATGAGTATTCTTATCATTGACCATTACTGGGAAGTAAACCCATCTTCGTCAGTGGCAAGTGCACTCACTTGTAACTTCTAAAGTGTTAAGTGATGTCTTAAGGCATGTGCTAATTCTGATGTTGTTGTGCGGTTTTATCGATCGATAAAATTGCTGATAAAATAAAAATGCTTCCCACACTTTTCTCAAGCCACTCCCTATCCTCTCAAGAGTTTTTAATTTGATCATAATGATATTTGATGACTGCGATCGTTCCATGTGATTAGACACGATATTACGCCACTTGGTATGAGAAGTGACCAACTTTTAGCGACAATTAGCGAAGATACATTCAGAATGGAAAAATTGCGTTAAAGAACTTAAAGGAAAATTTTTATTTTCCTGTCTTTGCAATCTTACCTCTATTCCATTTTCTAAATTATTTTTACTGTGGTTCGACTATGCTGCCGGATGAAAATGTGGATTCTGCATCCGAGATGGAATATAGCTCGGGCTTGAAATATGAATTACTCATAGTTGGAAGATGGGATGGGATATTTTTCATGTGTATGCCTCAGAAAGAAAATGAAATTAAGATATCAAGCTAGAATTCAAATATATACATATGACAAGAATATCCCTTCGGGATAACTTATTCAGGACAACCCAGGTGCTGGGAGCGATAGCCGACAGCAACAGACACCTTGGCTAATTATATTAGTGAGAAAATCACGCCGATCAAGTTTTCTGCCGTCAGGTGCTACGGCTGTAGAGGTAAATAGTAGAGGTAGTACTTAATGCCCCAGAAGCAATCCCGGCTTAAGTCCATCTGCCAGTGCCACAATTAAACAATCGATTAACTCGACCAACTAATATATATATATATATATATTTGGGCGGTGCCGGTGCCTATTGTGACGTGTAAAGAAACAGCAAAAAAAGCATTTGACAAAATTTTTTAAAAGTCCAATAGACATATATCAATTTTGTTATTGCTTCCACGCAGGGTGTTTCTAATACACCTATGTATCGACCTGAAACATCGATATTGCATCGATGCAGGCGGGGGGTTGGGGTGGGAGTGGTGGTGTCTGCGGATTCAGTCTTCTCTTACTGCGATCGGGATCAGGTTTCTGCCTCGTTTCCGCCATTTCTTGCCTCGATCGGAGCGCGGACCTATGTCCACTTTCCATAATCTGTTGCCTGTGATTTGAGGAGTTGGAGGGGGAAGTGTGACCTTCGCGAAGGTGATAAAGCCTACCATTCTTCAACTATCGAAAATGACAGCAATACCGCGATGTATGAACTGCGATAGCCCTAATTTTTTCCTATTGCCGTTGAGAATCGGTTACCGAGCCCCGTTCACGTGGTATTTTTTATTTTTCCTCGTTCAGCACATTCTTTGAACATCGACACCGGCTGGTTCCAAACCTGTCGATGGCCGACAGTCCAACACCGGCGGCTGATACCGGTGCTAGCCAATACATCGGTACAACTCTCTGTCCACTGCGGAGTTCTCACCTTATCTACCAAAAATCAAGCATTTTTCGTGAGTTTAATGTATTTTGGGCGATTAACAAAAATTTTCAACAAACCATGATTAAGTACGCAAAAAATCCAAAGGGTAGATAATAAAAAACAAGGAATTTTTTAGTGTAAAAGAATCCATTGAATCGAGGCTGATTCAATGTTGAGTCAGTGTGGGTGATGATTACCGGGTTGAATCGATGTTGATTCAACACAAAAGTATACATATTCTATAGTGAAACATTCGATCCTCACCAAATCAATGTTATGTGCTACCTGGGGTGTGATAAAAAAGCACGCATTCGCGTGCACACTGATTTTTGAAAGTGTGGTCTGGTTCTCACACGTTAGCCGTGATCTGAATTTCAGGCCGATAAAAGCAGAGGAATGTCCCAAGGATCTTCACAATTCAGCTTCAGTTACATTTTCAAGCACACGAAAGGTCCCGTCAGGAATCACAAACACAGCATCATGAAAGCTATCTTCGCTCTCCTCGCCATCTGCGCTGTTGCTTGTGAGTCACCTTCCATTTTCTTTTAAATATTTTCAGGATGTGCAATTGAGTAGACCCGTGAAAAACCGCCGCTGTTCAATGTGACATTAATTTAGTGGGTAATCCTTTTTTTGTATCACTTTTTATTTTAATGATTTGCTTTTGAAACATCCCACTCTAAATATACCCTGTGAGCTTATGTCTACGACCCGCTTCCTGAGTCATGACGAACTGGTGTAACCACTAGTAATTTATCCGGAAAAACCTAAACTCTTTCTGTACGCCTTGGAATGTTGTGAAGCACTTTGCGGTTATGGTGCAGGAGAATAGAATAGATTTTTCCTGGAGGAGTTGACATTGGGATGTTGTACTTTGTGATTTCTTCAGATGCCAAGCAGCCCTCTGCACCCTGTTGCTGCGACTCAGGGTCAGGCTGCGAAGACAGATGCTTCGAGGACTGCCTTGCTGTCTTCCCCGAGACTGTCGGTGTCTGCTTCGAGGTCCCCTCCACCTGCTGGTGTTTCTACGATGGATGCCCGAGTGAGTCACCTTCCTCTCCCATGTGGTACATGTACTCATGCCAAACATAGGTACCATGATGAGCTTCACTCAGAGTCCTTCACGTGAAAGAAGTAATTCTTGGACCGTCCTTTCATCTCACAGAACCTTTTAAAATACCTTTAAATCTTTCTGATTTGTCTTGCAATATTTCTTCGGAATAATGTAGTATTTTTCCGCAGGGTATCATTCAAAATGTCGTGTTCGTGTAATTCTCCATCTATAATACAACAATTGATTTTCTTCTTCCAGATGCCATGGCTAATAAGACTAACTTCGTCAATGTGCTCAAGGCCCACTAAATCCTGATAGATTGTCCCTTTCATCGCCCCTTTTTTTGCTGCTTGGCGGTGAATAAAGCTTGATATCACCCAATAATTCCTCTTGATTTTCTTGATACTGAACGCATATTCACATTTTTTAGAAAAAAGTCCTGAGGTAGCCATGAGGAATGGACGTAAAATACAGAATCCCATCGTGGAAAATCCCATTTAGCAGCTGCAGTTTTTTTTTTGCAATTGACCTGACATCATTCGTTCGCAATAATATATTTCAAACCAGCAGGAGACTTCGATTCAAATTATTCCCAATTGTGTGAATATAGAAAAGACTGGAGGCAGCCCATTATGAGAGTGAGAATATTTTTCCGTCAAAGCCTGAGGCGACCACTTCATTAACCCTCTATGAGGCAAAACTCCGGAGCATTTTACTGAAATGCATTACTATGCCAAACCTATATGGTAGTAGTTGAATGTTTCCATCTTGAAGACATGCTAAAGGTGTCATTTGAAATATCAATTGCACAAATATATGCCAATGAGTATTCTTATCATTGACCATTTCTGAGAAGTAAACCCATGTTCGTCAGTGGCAAGTGCACTCACTTGTAACTTCTAAAGTGTTAAGTGATGTCTTAAGGCATTTGCTAATTCTGATGTTGTTGTGCGGTTTTATTGATCGATAAAATTGCTGATAAAAGTGCTTCCCACACTTTTCTCAAGCCACTCCCTATCCTCTCAAGAGTTTTTAATTTGATCATAATGATATTTGATGACTGTGATCGTTCGATGTGATTAGACACGATATTACGCCACTTGGTATGAGAAGTGACCATCTTTTAGCGACAATTAGCGAAGATACATTCAGAATGGAAAAATTGCGTTAAAGAACTTAAAGGAAAATTTTCTTTTTCTGTCGTTGCAATCTTACCTCTATTCCATTTTAAAATTGTTTTTACTGTGGTTCGACTAGGAAAATGTGGATTCTGCATCCGAGATGGCATATAGCTGGGGCTTGAAATTTGAGTTACTCATAGTTGGATGATGGGATGGGATATTTTTCATGTGTATGCCTCAGAAAGAAAATGAAATTAAGATATCAAGCTAGAATTCAAATACCCTGTATATACATATGAAAAGAATATCCCTTCGGGATAACTTATTCAGGACAACCCAGGTGCTGGGAGCGGTAGCCGACAGCAACAGACACCTTGGCTAATTATATTAGTGAGAAAATCACGCCGATCAAGCCAGACCTTACGGCCAGCACGAGCCCTAACTATTGCGGAAAATGAGATGAGAATATTAAAAAGGCGAAGGATAGCTAAGGAGGCCTAATGGACTGGCAAGTCGTAGGAGTCTCGTCAGGGGCACGATCTTACCAAACAACTTGCAGTGTAATAAAACCCTTTTCGACATCTCCACACCAGGGAATAATCATTAAAAAAGAAGATAGTGGCTGCCGCAACAGATGAAACAGAAAGCTTCAACACCTTACGTCCGTCCTGCATGCACCGCTCCTGCACAGTCCAAAAGCTGAATAAGGTTCACACCTTTGGTTCCTGGAGGATCCAAGTGCATAGCGTTCTGTGCATGCAGACATGACGATGCTCAAGTCACTACCGGCAGGACCACTGTTTGGCAGTAAGAGGCTTCTCCTGGTGTGGAGATTCGTGCCCGAAGGGTTCTACCACTTCCCTTGGCTTTTAATCAAAGAGAGATTGGCAAAGAGAGAGCCAATGCACTGGGATAAGCAAATCTTTAGATGACAACTTTGGAATGAGTGAGGAGTAAGAAATGTTTCTGTGGAGTACCCCAACATCATTTTTGGCCATGTCAAGAAACGATTCGCAAAACTCGATTTTTCTATCACTGTCGTCTCCTTCAAGGGCACGTATCAGTCTGGGTCGGTAAGGAATGAAGCCATTTTTTTTCAAATGCGCATGATTGTGCGCCTGAATGCTCTTAACTCTTTCTGTAATCTCCGAGGTGGCATCTGAGGAATGAGGACAACATCGGGAACGTGACCGAGAACGAATTTGGACAGAGCCTAACATCCATTCTTGTCATCATTGCAAGATCCCGACTATGTCCCAGTCCGCGGACGAGATTCCGAAACCTCTCTAATGACACAAGCGGGAGTCCCCTAAAGACCATTTTGCGATCTTTCTCGGCTTGCACTGACACCGCTAATAACTTATCCTTTTGTCAACACTGCCAGTCTTCCACATTTTCCATTCTTCGGTGATCGCCAAGTAGAAGCAATGGCGCCATTCTTCAACTTTCGGAAAGTCACGGAAAAATTGCCTGCGGCGGAAAGAGCTGAGAGGATGGAAAGATAATTTTCATAACTGGATAGGTTTCAAATATCTCTTGCATGCGTAGATAATCACGCGAAATTGGGACATTTATCTCTAAATTTACCATTTTCCCAAATGCAACCGTCCGTTATCTAAACTATTTGAACATTTCTCAGAGCACAGAGAACTTTACCCAATATCTAACATCCGATTTGTTGCTAACGTACAACATAAACGTTACGTACGACTCTCGTATCTTAACGTATCTCTTTCGAAACCTTGCGCACGGATTGAAGGTAGCACGAGTGCGATCGCGTTCGTCAAGCAATGCTGTGCGGCCAGGAGAACCTGCCTGCTTTTCCTTTAGCTGTTCACGGAACTTGAACTTTGAATGTAATTTTCTCAAATGTGTTGGCCGTATATCAACATATGCAAATTTTGGGTGCCAAGATAAGGTTGAGGTTTTAAAGAATCAATATCCGGAAAAAGGTTACTCTAGGATCTAGAGTCTAGAAGGTCGGTAGCTTACTGGACTCCATGCCTCCGCTCTCGGCTAAAATCACGTCCAGACAACATCTAATGTCTCCTCCAGTGAAACTCATTATTTGAACATATTTTTGCTTCATAAATTTGGTGAGTTTTTCCCAAAATACCACCGATGGATCGATAGGCATGAAATTAGATAAGTTACTGTTTCTTCAACTTTTCTCTGGCTTACATCGGAGAAGGGATCAGAAGGTATGCAGCCACTCGGATGGGTCTCAAGTCACTTGTTCAATTTTCATTCTCGACTTCACTGC